TGAATAGAAATTATGGTCTAATTCTGTTATGATTTTGTGTACGGCCTTTATCACGGGGTTTATCCGCCAATCAAAATACGGCTTATACAATCTTAGCACTATGCCAAACCAATGACGTTTAACCGGTATGAGCAGTCTAGCGTCCTTATTGGTCCTATGTCCTCTTAGCCCGTCCACTTGAGTCCAGAACACAAAACCAGCTTCTGAAATATGAATCGAATTGTTTATTTCAGACATACTCGGTTTATAAATCAACCAGACAGATCATAACGTACCATAAAATAGAAAATAACATTTGTACAATATTTGGCCAAGTGTGGCTGTAAGCGTTGGAGGCAGTAGTCAATAAATGAACATAGCTTAAGAACCGTAAATCGTACAATAATACATTATCGGTCAAAATAAAGCTTGTAATAAGAGGAATATAAATATACATAATCTAATTATTGAATAATTATACAATAAGAATATTTATAGAATATTTGTTCAATAATAGTCCTCGGGAGTTACCCATAGTTTAATCCTCGTTCGGATATAACAAATTCGATATCAGTGCACTTATCATTGCTGCTAGAATGATAGACGGAATCACAAAATCCCAAATTTGTCATGATATGATTACCCAATGCGTAAGATCCGATATAGAAGTCTCACCACTCTACACATTGACTCTTCTCATAGTGACAACCAACAATCCGATGTCTGACGTTTCTAGGGCCATGTTTGGGCTGAGGATGGCATAATAAATGTAATATGAAAGAGTGGAAGTTACATAGAGTTACTACGTTTACATGGCCGAGCCATGCCATTTTGATCACGTCTTCACGTGTTCACTATTTTTTGACCTTCTCAATGTGTTTCATATTGAGAGTAGATCTCAGTTTGTATAAATTCAACTTCGAACATCGTGTGTTTAGGATCCGATATACATACAAGTTATCCATACTCCAGATGATGCAAACAACTATTAGGTTTCAAATGAACCCAAATGGAAACCAAACATATGCAGATGTAGTCAACAACAGAAGAAACGAGGCAATTTATGAAAGGGTAAGGACTGTCTGGTAGCAACGCTTAGGGATTTACCACATGCTCTCATGGGGATATGGTAATCGGTTCTATAGTATACATGATTTTTCTTCAGTTTACATATTTCTGCTGAGGCAATTTCATAGATTTGTGACTTTGTGGATCATAAATTACATTGTTTTACTATAGTAAAATTAACACATATTTCAGATACCTAACGCATTGATGTGACAACTGAAGATCTCGAACTTATCATTGTATATCAGAACACAGTCTTTCATCAGATAATTTGGATTACAATACATTAGGCAATAGTCGTCAGACCATGTATTGGTCTTATTTTACCCACTTACAACCTGACATGTAGTAGGTTCATGCCACTCTCTGACACGTGAATAAACCCATTAGTATGGATCGGTAAACAAATTCCCGAAATAAGTTCTTGAATTCATTAGTTTTACTGAACACCCCCTAACTGAAGGCGCTTGGTCCCAATGACATGCGAGTACGCTGTGTTACATATTTTTTTCTAGTAGAAGCCAGTCTAGATCAAACGCTTCTCGACATATCGAAAACCTTCTAAAAATACATTCGTACTCATTCATCCCTGACTTCTGATCTGACTGGGTTGGTCTCTTTCTATTATAGGTGTTAGAAACAAAAGTTTTATCAAACCTTAATTGTATGTGGCGTCTTCAAATAACCACCGACATTTAGTATGACACTTATATGGTAGTCATCTTACACCCTTGAAATATGTGTGCCAAATGACTTCGCATGTTTACTTGGATTCAACCTTTAGGGAATAAATATGACAACAATGATGATATGAGGAGCCTTGTGAGAAATATGCTGTAGATGTGTCCATTTCATGCACTCGTATAAGCAGACAAAATGAAGAATCATGATCGGGTCGGAAGCTAAATCCGTAATTAGATCTTTTAAGAACTTAATCAAGATATGAAATGCAGAGAAAGTAATACTGAGAAAGACGAAATATTAATACGTCAAACTGAAACGACATTATGTAACCAGAGTGGTGGTAGAAAGCAACACTCAACAACAAGTTAGGTATATTGACTGAAAAAATAATTACAGCAGCTATGTACTGAATGTTACGTTGAAGTCTCTTTTCAGTAACTTCCACAAATATAGTTTACATAGTTAATAAATATTCTCCTATGTGTTTGGCTCCGATGGCATGAAGCGAAGTAATAACCCAATGATATTTTGGAGTGATTCATGCCAGCAATCTCTCATTATGTAGAGTGATGTGTAATGGTAATGTGACGCTATTATAATCTTCACCTGTAAGCTGTGGCTGATAAGACAGAAGATGGAACGACATCGATAGTACTTATTTGAACACCAAATTCACGTAGATACTAACCAATTATTAGTAGTTTGTTCACAAGTGACACAAACAAGCAATAGATACTGAATATAAATGTGATTATACGTAAAACTTTACGAAGAACATAAGGTATCTTCTTTTTGTAGTTATGAGAATCACTAAATTTACATGTCGCTATGAATTCATCATACTAATAACTGGAGATACGACTTATTGAGCTTTACGTCTAGGACAACAAAAGGATATGTAGATTCATATGTAAGCAGGAAGTGTTAGGTCTAAAACATAAATTAGGACAAACACAATTCGATCAGTGAGATAACATGGAGATTTATGTAGTAAGTAAAGCAATTAGTAATGTCATAATGACTTATTTTCAATTAGTGGTCAGGTCTTTAATTTTGTCTAAAATAAAACATTTGCTTAGTGGTCTTCTGAATCTACTACTTGACACATACACCTGTAACTACCAATTTTGACATATGTGTACTCACTGAGAACGGGACCCGATATAGATTATAAGGCACGTTACTTTGACAGTGAATTCATTAGGCTTATATTATAACAGATATAGCACAAAAAACTTACAAAAAAGTATGTGAATGCTAGCATAATGTTCACTTAAAATGCTTTGAGACTACTTGTTGTCTTATTCAGTACTCAGAAACATTTATTTTCAATTTACGTATTTCTATGTTTTAGGGACCTGTTATGTTTGGTTGTCGCTGATTGCTGTGCTGGAAAAAACGCTTATCACTTATACTGGGAACGAGGGACCCCTGCAATTCCCACGATGCTAAGTAAGAACACAAAGACTGGTATAAGTGATGTTTCATTAGCCTCAAACACGACGACGAATGGTTATCAAAACAGCTTATATACACTGGTTTATATATTGATTTTACACCTATTTTTGATTAATAATTAGAATAAAATCACATGTATGAAAACTACTTAGTTATAACTGATTATAGTTCATAACAATTGAATACAAGAATATCATATATTATACAGAATAAAATATCATACGACAAAAGAAAACAAATAATACAGTGAATGTTCATCACATTGAATTACAATGTATGTAATGTTGAATAAAACTCATAGTAATTAAATCAATCAAAAATTGAGTTTTCTCTTCCCACCATATCAGGACCAAAAACCATGTTTTGTGATCCCTGTATAAATAATATAAACCCTGCAGATCAATATTTCCGTTTGATAAAGCCCCATGTTTGTACCTCATACACGCTTCACAACTATGACTACCACTTGCCTTGAACTTCCCCGCGCAGCTGTCTTTCAAAATAATGAATGGGGATAGTGTTAGCAAAAGGTTGTTTGTCTTTTTATCACTAATGATCTATTCTTAATCTAGATTGCAGAAGGAATTAATGGAGTTGCTAGTAAGTTTTCGAGCCATTGGTCTTAGTTTGTATGTCAGTTTTACTTACCCTTTTTGTTCTGTTGACATCAAACCATATTCCCGGTTGACATTAAGGTCATTGTATCCACTTAGTGTTATTAAATACGCATGCATGTATCTTCCGTTTCGAATTCCTGCTTAAATGGGTATGCGAGGCATCTATCCCCAACATTATAGGGGATACATTGTTATCTTACAATAGAATCCTCAGATTCATCTTTATGGTTAGTTCCACACTTGAACTGCAGTCATGGCTGCACTAATATATACTCAGCATACGTCACGTGCCCAAGTCGTAAGTGATGAACTCCCTGATTAGTAGATCTCAGCCAATTCCCGATAGCTAAAAACCAGGTTAATGGACCAAAATAATCCTGAGTTACAGTTGCTGACATAGGTATTTACAGACAGGGAGAATTAATCCGAAATTAGTGTATATCGATGCCTGATTGTAATAAGCCACAAAAACTACTTGTTTCCGTTTTTGAGCATGTCATACCTGATGACAAAATCATTATTCTGTTAATAAGTGGCACTGACTTTACAATCTGTTAATAAAGTAGTTTATTGATGTCTTGAGATGCTTTATCTGCAATCTAAATCTCCGCTTTAGTTATCGAAATACTCGTACTTCAACCTCTGAGTTGGAGACTGGAACCCCATTTCATTTGCAGTGATTTGAGCAACCAGGTCCAAAATTTTTACTTAATTATTGAGTAACAGTGATCGATTCCCACTTATCCTTCAATTGGCGTGTTCATGCGATCTATGCAACGTCTAGTTCAGACAACCGACACCTTACACAATGAAACTCAAAGCGAAGTACGTGGTAAACGAGATACGTTATAACCATGTCACTTTGTGATTGGGCCTCAAGAAAATGTGCAGTTCATTGCCTTGGAATGTGAAAATTAGTCGATGCGTGGTCTGTTGAAGCCCCTCAGAGTGCATTGAAGACCTGACACTTACATGATTCATAAAATGTAATAATTGTGTTTTATCCTGTTACTTATCGTTTGTATATATATGCCTAGTTTCCAAGTTAAATAAGTGTGCAAATCGAGCTAGTTAGCTTACCGAGAAAATTAGTCTAGTGAATTTGAAATCTTAAGTGACCAGATTTCATACAAACCAAAAGAATACCTTATTATTTTTGCTTGATATTAATTTAAAGTTAATTGTTTATTACAGATGTCTAACGACAAAAGCGTGACGGCATTTCCAGATGGTGAAAATCTCACTCGTTGGCTAGCGTCTATACGTGGTCCTGATGGAACGGTAAGTATATCAATTTTTTACATAAATGTCAATTCTTGATGCCGTTGTCTGGTCCTCATTTTTTCCTAATAATTGATATCTTACCGATTTTGTTTCTTAAAGGTATATGAAGGTCAGCAATACAAACTTTCACTTGAGTTTGGCCCTAACTATCCATACAGTCCTCCAAATGTGCGTTTTGTTTCGAAATGTTATCATCCTAATGTTGATACTCGTGGAGTAATATGCTTAGATATTCTGAAAGAAATGTGGTCTCCTTTACTGACTGTAGAAAATCTTCTGTTATCTATTCGAAGTTTATTAGCAGGTTAGTGTTTTAACATCGCATCTATATTTCTGAATTCTGTTGACTGCTTGTGCACAAAACAGCGTAGTCCTAGAATGTTTAGCATCCTCATCCAACGTGTGTATTAAAAGATTGTATATGTATATATGTGTCTGAGCTCCTGTGTAATTGAATTATTTACCTGATTGTATGTCCAGTGCTTCATGTCGGTAGAATAAATTAAAAAGCTTAGGTGTTTTAAGGTTGTTGGTACTAACAAATTAGAGTTGATTGCAATGGTGAGGCTCCATATATCTAGATTTCATTCATTTAGTTTGACTAGTAAGTATGTAAACCTAATCCAGGATAATTTTATTCCCAAGCACGATCGACAGAATCCGATCACTATAAATCAAACAAACATTATACTAGCTACCTATCAGTGGTCAAACTGTGTGAATGTATCATTTTTACAGTAGGTCTGTCGCTACTCAAATTGCTCGGTAGTGACTTGGCTTTGGAAATCATGAGGAGTATCAGGTCCCTCAAGACTAAGTACGCCATGTCAACATATACTAGCTGACATAAAATGTCGCGAAATTCTCTTCTGATCACTTCTAATTATTTAACATCGAAATAGTGCAGTCAGTGTTGAGTCACTTAAACTATTGACTAAATCAATACTAAGTACTAGATAAAAATTACATGGGTCACTAACATAGTGATCGAGCAGTGTTAAGTATTCCACAACTGTCAGCGTTATTTGCAATGTACTTCTGAACTGAATGCTTCTAATAATGTTTCTTGTCCGTTACAGAACCCAATAATGATAGTCCTTTAAATGGGCAAGCAGCCCAACTATGGTCTAATCCTTCTGCATTCCGTGCTGAAATGATGAAATTTCAAGCATCATCGTCCAACAGCTAGTCTATGTAAATATTTCAGTGTCTGGCTATTGTGTACAGTCAAATTTTCTCCTTAACGGTCCGCAAACTTTTGTACTATCCATTCTCTTTCCCTCTATTTTCTAGTTTCTATATTCTACCTAAATCCATGTATTTATCCAAATGCAAGACATACTCAAAAGACTCGCGTATAAATATTATATACATACAAAATAAAATGTTCTATGAAACACTATATGAGTTTTTTCAACTCGTCGTAGTGGTCAACAAACCATTTCCAAATGAATTTGTTTGATTTGTTGTATTGTAAATTTGATTTATTGTGTTTATAAGTCGTTGATATTGACGTTTATCAGATCGTGAAAGACATGATGCAAGTCCAGTTAACTGAGATCGTGAATATTTAGTGCCATAGTTAGTTAACCAATGCTCCCATTCGTGTATAGGTATGTAGAATGCCTGAATATATTCAATTACATAATCCAGTCTAGGAAATGACCTAGAACAAAAATGTCAATAGTGAATTAATTAATGTTGTATAGATGAGCAGAAATAAAGTAAAATCTAACATTAAAGAAAAACAAAACGGAAAGTAGTCATAACCGAACTATTGGTATCTATGATCTCAGACCAAGGATTTCACTTATCTACTATTTAGTAAGCTCAACAAAATTCAAACAAATTGTGGTATGTCTAAATCAGAATTTACGCGCAGCAGGTCATTCCAACGAATATATATGTATGTTGAGAAATATGATGAACAATAGTGACAATAACAACATAGGTATGGTATTAGTTAGGTTGTGTTTCTAGAATGACAAGAGGTAAGCGAAACGAAATGCTTTTCATCCCGTCAGTAGTACTAGAAACTCTCACTGTTTAATCTTATTTCAACGCAGTTTAGAATGGCAAAAAAGGTTAAAGTCATGCTAAATCATGTTTTGTATATTCCTCCGTAGGAGCTTGAAATCTTAAAGTTTTTCAACTGACTTATAATTAGTCTGCACGGCTTTTAGTCATAACGAATCGAGTTCACTGAGAATAAACAGTCTAAGATATTCTAAGCGCATCTGCCTTATGATATTCTGCACTTGACAGTATATTTCTTTCAAGCGAAAAGAAACAACCCAAGAAAATAATTTCAAAGAATCTTCATTTGACATTATTCACAGCTTATGGTTGACAGGATTTAATGTACTTTTAAGCTTAAAATAGCTAAACTGTTATTATGATTAGAAAACTGGTTACACTGACTCTATTCTATCCAATGTTGAAGACGTCGACAATAAGTAACAACTAGATTGGCCGTCGAATAGAGTATAAAGTGAAAGTCAGTGAAATATAGAACCAAAATAACTAAGGAATCAAAGACAATGTATTAAAACAGTTTTGTTAAAGACTGGACTATGTATGCTAGAAGTCCCGACTCTTGCTGTTACCTTAACGTGGTGGTCGGGTTCGCCTATCATAATGAACCAATCGAACTATACTGGTTGGAACAATCGTTCCTCAAGGTCCTATCATACCAGATAGGTCGGTTGAAAAGCGGTAAAACTAAAAGCAACAAACCCAAGGTTCGAGGTCGTACTGCTGGCTGTGTGTGACGGCAGTAGTGTATCCTTCAGACAACCAGCATAACAGCAATGCTGCCTTCCCACAAGGAGGAGCGGGGTTATAAAAGGTCGACCCTAAAAATGAACACCTCGCCTTTACCCACGGATATCCGTCTCTGGCGGTAAGCTCTCAACAAGTACAGATTTTTTATTTATTTATTTGAACACACAAATATTGGTACAAGAGGGCACCAAATATATATGCGCCACACAAAAAATGAGAATTCGAGAAGAGAAGAAAAGAAGGTAAGGAGCGTAAAAAAAAGAACAATAACAAGTAGATTAGTGTAAGGTAGTGTAATATCAATAATAATAATAGTAATAATGGGGGAAACGGAAAGGTACAATCAGAAGAAATCTTTCAGTTAAGGAAGAAACAACCATTTTTATAAAGAAAGTGAAAGAAGGTTACAGCAGGATCGCCACTGGCTTCTATTCTGAACCATATCTGATAACGTCTCTAGCCACTGTGTCGCACCATCTCTAGGACCCCAACCAGGGAGTCATGAAGAGCCAACAGAAGCTAGCCCTTTGCAGCTTTCTTTCATACCACGACACCATGTCATACACTGACCACATCGCTTTCTCCAACCAGTTCCAGAGTCGGCAAGTAATGCACGACGTGGAATTCTCTGGGACGACATTCGTTGAACATGTCCGAGCCACCGAAGTCGGTGTTTCAAGATGGTGACATCGATTGCATTATCACCTCTGTGCCCGAACACACGATGCCTAACCTCTGCATTACTAACATGGTGTTGCCACTGGATGTCAGCAATCCTTCGGAGATGGTGATGATCGAACACAGAGTCGTCTAACGTCCTCAGCTCGGAGAGGCCAGGTTTCACAGGCATAGAGTAAAACTGCTCTCACCGACGCGTTGTAGATCCAACCTTTTACAGCCAGACTAACATCACGAAGGCGCCATAGATAGCCCAGATTGGCATAAGCCGCTCTGGCTTTCACTATACGTGCATTGATCTCATCACTCACACTCCCACCAGCATTTATGCAGCTACCCAGATACACGAACTCCTCGACTACTTCTAACTGCTCACCATCCAGGGTGAGTACAGGATTAGAATCCCGCCAGTTTTGTAGAAGTACTTTGCACTTCGGAGGTGCAAAGCACATACCGTACCTACGGACACTGATTGCCAACTGATTAAGTGCGGATTGCATGGCCTGGGCATTATCGCAGAGTAAGACAATATCATCCGCATACTCAAGGTCGAGAAGTCTTTCTCCAGGCAACAGATCCACACCGCCATTACTTACATCCATCAGAGCTGTTTCCAGAATGTCATCGATGGCAAAGTTGAAGAGGAATGGTGAGATTGGGCAACCCTGCCTAACCCCACTGCTCGAATGGAACAATGGAGAGAGGTGGTTGTATGCCCTCACTCTGCCTGTGTTTGTATATAGGGCTTTTAGGATGTTAATAAACTTCTCAGGCACACTCTTCTTCAATAGATAATCCCAGAGAACAGTCCTGTCCAACGAGTGGAAGGCAACCTTGATGTCAAGAAACACTACGATTGTTGGCCTTTGATAAGTATGGCGGTGTTCTAACATTTGGCGGAGGGTGAAGATATGATCGACAGATACTCGACCAGAACGAAGCCCAGCCTGCTCCTCGCGAGTCAATTTTTCTCGGGTTTTGAACAATCTACGAAGTATGACGGAAGCCGATAGCTTGGACGCAATCGGAAGTAGACTTATCCCCCGATAGTTGGTACAGGAACGACGTGAACCCTTTTTAAAGATAGGGACAACTATCGACTCATCCCATGACGCTGGTACACTCTCTAGCTCCCAAACCTTTGTAAACGACATCGTCAATTCCTTAGTCAGAAAGTCACCACCATCTTTAAAAAGAGCCGGAGGTAAGTCATCTGGGCCAGGTGATTTGTAGCGCTTCAAGAGTTGGAGTTCCTTGCGGACTTTCCACTCATTTGGTGGATCAGTCGTCACCAGCCATGGAGGGCAGGACAGTCCGACCGATGTTGCTGAAGCAACGGGCCAGTTGAACTGCCCTTCGAAGGATTCTGCTCATCGTCCAAGACGTCGATGGATGTTAGTGATTGGCATTCCATCATCCTCGCAGATTGTTTCGCTCACACCAGACTTCTTGCTGCCAGTGGCTTGGATGAGTTGGAAGAGCTTCTGGCAGTTACCAGATGCAGGAGCTGCCTCCAGCTCATTAGCACGCTTCGACCATCAGGCTTCTCGGTCCTTACGCAAGCTTTGCCCAATTTCCTTACGTAACATCCTTCGTTTGTGGTCAAACTCACGGTCACCCGGAGTAGACCGACGTGCTTCAATGAGTTGTAAGGAGCCAGAAGAAACTCAGTGCTTATAAGCGGGACGTTTCGCGAAGCCGCAAGCGGCTTTACTCGCCATTTTCATGGCGTCATGAAGTTGTAACCAATGCTCATCTATACCTTTCTGTGGAATGATAGCTAGCCTAGAAGCTAGCTCAATTCGATAATTAGTTGAAACAGAAGTTGCAAACAACTTGCTGACATCAATCCTTTGGTGGCGGTCACTTCGTTGGCCAATGAAAAGTAAGGTAAGATTGGCGCAGACCAAGGCATGGTCAGAGTCCAGATATGTACTCCAAAAGGAGCGGCAGTCTTGTACACTACCACGCCAGCGGTAGCTGATCGTGATGTGATCAATCTGAGTCCAGGCTTGAGATGCAGAGGGAGGACGTTAGGTGGCACATCGGCGATGACTGTGCCGAAAGTTGATGCTAGCCAGAAACAGGTTGTGGTCTGTGCACAGTTGCAGTAGACGGTCCCCGTTATCTGTCCTGCGACCAACAAGTCCTCATCGGCCACCTAAACGACTCTCTTCTGTGCCTAGACGTCCGACTTGAGCATCCAAGTCTCCGGCTAGTACTACAATATCTGTCGAACGCACTTTCTGGAGAAGAACAGATAACTAGTGGTAAAACTCATCCTTGACTGCATCCGGGCTGCAATCTGTCGGTGCATAGGCGGAGATGACGAAAAGACATCGTTTCTCACGCCGATTTCTTCTCACGTTGATGGAACTTTCTAATCTAACAGCACGTAACCGACTGTTAATGGGGATCCAATCGATTAGTGCTGCCTCAGCTCTATAGCTTAGTGCGATACCAACGCCAGCAAGACCAGACAAAGATGCCACAGGGTCACCGGATAAACGCACGCAAAACAAGCTTTTTGAAGCGACAGGTGGAGAGCGAATTTGTAGTACTTCACCAGAGTCTTGAATACGGGTCTCGGATAGACAACAAACATCAATATTAAGACTTTCCAAAGACATAGCCAGCCCTATCTGTTGTCCGACCTGCATAAATGTGCGAACGTTGAAGGCAGCCAGTTTGAATGGTGCACGTGGTTTCAGAAAATCTGCTTCAGTCCTCGTATTCGGTGGTAACATACAATTTTCAACCGGACAGTGACTCGAGAACGTTTAGATAGAGTCGAATTTCCACCAAAGACGAGCCGCTGTATAAGTATAAAAGAGGGTGAATAATGTGGTAGTTAGTTGAAGCAAGTAAAGTAGTTTCCATAATTATAGGCAGTTCATCATATTTGTGTGTGAGCTGTGGTACTGCCCGGGTGCCCAGACCGAAGCAGGTGGTTTTCTTAGGAGGCCACACCCCGAGCCTTTGACTTAAAAGTCTGACCCACAAGGAAGTGGAGCATCGTAAGGAGGTGCAGTCCCATGGTCGCCGGTGACCAACGATTGGTTCATACGCCATTTGTTCCCTCAGGATACTGGAGCCTATGTGCACCATTGGTTTGGGATCCAGTTAAAGCGCCGGACATTCGCTTTTCTTCCTCTCATTTTCGTAAACAACACCAATCACCACGAGAAGGCAGTGAATAGGACTTCCCTGGCAGAGGCTGTGTACGCGTGGCCGTGTGAGAGCATTTCGAGAGGGAGGGTGGGCCCACCGTTCTCTCGGCCATACTGGGGCCTTTGGGGGCAACAAGTACAGAACTAACACGAAAACGTCGTATATGACCGACCTCAAGCAGTTATTTCTTGGCCACTGCGGTCATGCTCTCAGGTCACTAAGACCACCTCTAACCCAATTTTCTTCTCAGGTAACTCTAGAAGGACCCTTACACGGTGTGGGCGACCGGGAAGTGATAACCGCCTTCACACCTCTAACAACATTCAAGATCACTGTATTTATAGTCAATCTCCCTATTTGATTCCCATTACTCCCCCTACCTCGACTATCAACTCTATACTTCCTCCTCCAGTGTCACCATGGCCAATGATTTTAGTGCGCAAAACACTGTCCTAGGTCTACTGAAACCTCTCTCCAAACTATACATTGGAGCCTTCAACGTACGCTCCCTGTGTCAAATCGACCAGCAGGCCTTCTTGGCTAAGACCCTAGGATTTTGTACCATTAATGTATGCTGTATCTCCGAAACACGCATACAGGATCCTAGTGCATTCATTCACTTAACCTCACTTCGCCAAAACGCAGAGCCGACGAGATACACCATCCGCGTATCTGGCGACCCGAGAGCAAGTTCTCGTGGACTGGTGGTTGTAAATATAGCACTAAGTATAAGGGCAGAAGAAGCACTATTAGAATGGATCTCTGTTAACAATTGCTTACATGCTGTTCGGCTAAACGGCTCCATAAGAACTCGGAAGGACAGGGATACACGTCGTCGCCTTTTCATCATTTCTGCTCACGCTTCCACTGACTACAGCCCGGATGAAATGAAAGATGAATTTTACAGAAAGCTTCCTCAACTTCTTCAAAAAGCTAAACGCTCAGACAGTACTCGTAGCAGGTGACTTTAATGCCCAAGTAGGTAGCTTAAACCAAGCAGAAAGACATTTAGGTGGGTATATTAGTATTTCGGCTCAGCGAACAGATAATGGTGATCGCCTACTGCAAATGTGCGCAGACGATCGTTTATTTTTAGCAATCACTAATCTTAAGTATAAGGAGAGACATTGTCTGACGTGGTGACTCCCTGCACCAAGCCAACGGTGGACTGAAATAGACTACGTTGCCATAAGTCATCGTTGGAGAGCATTTCGAAAGAAGCTTACTCTCCGCACCCTCGACCGTACCGTGAGGCTAAAATTAATTTATACCTTTCTTTCTATAAACTTTTTCTTTATTCTTGTATTATATCTTCATATGCAATCTTTCTTTTATATATTACCACTACTGAAGTAACTACTTCTACAAATTTGGTGACCATCTTGTTGTGCTAATGAGGTGTTGCAACTTGAACCGATACGTACATGTGCCTGGTACTACATTGTAATTGACTGACTGATACTAGTAGTAGTCTATTCTTAATTAATAGCGATGTGATGTGTGTACTAATTAAACTCCGAATAAGTTCAGTAGAATGATTTTAGCAGCTGGAAGTAGCTGAGATTTATGTCTTTCCAAATGATTTACTGATATGCAAATAATTTTATACTTTACTTTTGTGTTCCTGATAATAAAGATAATACCATCAAAGTAAACTCAAGGAATGTGTTGAGTTTCAGTTAATACCTCTTGATCAGGAATCAAACACAAGGGGTTTATGTATCGAGGCGAGGGGATTACCCTTAAGATAATAAGTTGTAACTCAATTATCTATATTTCTAACTCTAGCCAGTTACCTATGTAGCGCAATCATCGTTCAGTATCATTGGTGGTAACAATTTCACTACCGACAGATATGACTGAACTCTATTAGTCATGACTCCTCATCTCTACCTTGGAGTTAACCGCTGGGATGCATAAAACTTATTTAGTTGGCCAAATGGTCACGAGATTTAATCGATTCGACAAAAAAACATCGGAAGTTCGCAATTTTTATCGAGTAATTCACTACAAGAAAGAATTGTTGAATTTTTAAATTAGGATTCGTATAATAATTTAGCAATTAAAGACTATTTATCAAATTGAATTTCGCGTTTTAAACATACCGTATTTTACTAGCGGATTGAGCGTATACAGCTAAAGTTTGTATGTCTAATAACATTTGACCACGTCCTTCATCTGAACATTGTTGTACACGACTTAAAGCTTCAAGTAATCGTGAGGCCAAACAAGATAATAATGCTTTCCAAATAATAATAATAAATACATGATCTTGTAAATGAAATTCTTTTGATATGTTCTGTAAAATTAATGATAAAGGATGAAATACATTAATATTTATATCATAAACATATGAATTTGGTGTGTTAGCCACTTCTTTAGTTGACCAATTCATTGCACATATATGCATAGTTAATATGTCAATCGAATCGGAAGAAGTTGATACAATTAAGTTGTTATGTACTGATGATGGAGATGGTGAGCTTGTACTGTTATTATTATTTGGAATAGATGGTTCTTTGTCGATAGTTTGTTGTTGCTGATTTGTATTGGATCCTATTGGCCATATTTTACTGAAACTTGAAGTAATCGATGCACTATTTGTTGCTGTTAACTGCTTACAATTTTTTGTTGTCACACCAGTCATTCTAAAGCGATAGAAAAACGAATTTTTTATGATTATAACAATTCGAATTTAAATCTTTGATAAATTTGGCTAGTAAATAGTTTTTGTTAGTTACAGATAGCTATATGGTTAGAATAATCCCAAGTAAGAGTGGATTAGTTCCGTTTTTTATATAGATGGTCAAACTTATTTTGAAACTATTTAAGTCAACAAAACGTTTAGTTATATATATCATAGTGACAAAATCCAGCTAATTGGATGGAACTCCTGTTTGTTTGAGTCCTACCATACACGGAAATTCAGTTGGAGAATGTTAAAACTAAAAAAAATAATTGAGGCACGTTGGTGGATTTTTACGACTGACTATACTAGGTTGTGACGCCGGTAAGGAATTTCTTTCGGACAATATTGTATCACCAGAGATGTTATTATCTTCACATAACAAATAAAAATAGAAAAAAAGGTCCTGAAAGTAACAAAACTTAATGCACGAATTTTCGTCGTCCGAGTTCAGGCTAACGCACTTCTAGAACTCTCAAAATGTTCTCCGTGTGATGACCTTCACGTAGTTGTACCTTGGATACTACTTTTGTGACACTTCCGAGCTGCTAAGGTCAGAAGCAGTAGTTCAGTTTCCCCTTCAGGTACCTCAGAAATGAGTATCATTTTATGGTGTGAGCAATTGGGAAGTGAAAAAATCCAAACTCACATTGTTCGTGATACATAAATATAATTCACACACGACCAACTTACTTTGCGATTATGATATTCAGCAAATGTGGTGCCAGTTCGTTTGCACATGGTTCGCGGATTTGTCTTGCTGCCATCAAAGACTGTTCACGAAATACAAGTGCTAGACCACGTTTATTATCTGGGAGACATGCTGTTAAATGCGGAAGAAGAACCTGAAAGAATATATTACCCGAAAGTGTATTACTTTTTCTTTTGTTTTCTTAAAACAATACATTACTGATATGTATGTAGAAGTTTTTGACATTCAGAACAATCAATAACAATAATCACTTAAATAACTACTAAGTATGCTTTGGTTTGACTTCCTTCAAAAAAGTAAATAGGGAAAAGCCGTATTAACTCTGTCTTTGAGTAGCTCGTTTACCAAGCACATATTTGTGTAATACCACAACCTATGAACAGACACACGTTTAAGTGACAAATCGTCAGAAATACTTAGATTGACTGATGGATATACATATACACCACTGGATTTTAGTTCGGTGAACTAAGGGCTATGATCTCGTGTGCGATAGTGAAGGTCCTGAGTTCGGTATCTAGGGGCCGAGCCGCGGATACACGCTTCTGAGGATTCCCACACTAGGCCGAGACAGCTATCCGACGTGCTTCAAGGTTTTCAATAGTAATCCAACAAAGGTCAATGCGTGATTTAATCTATGGTAGATAGTTATCCAAACGGAACATTAAAAGCGGGTTTAAAATAAAAATTCTTCCAGGTCATATGTCAACTGATAACATCGAATTCTATCAAAACTTAATTCACGGTCGTTCTCTATCGCAAACAATAATCAAAGTGACATGTTCATAGAAATAAATATTATAATGGTGAACTTACTGTCTCTAAAATGTCTGCCAGGAAAATAACTGACTCAACTGCGACGACGTAAATTTGTATTAATTGGTGTTCACGTTTATTAATATTATCATCGATTGTCGGATTATTGTCAGTAGGATTTAATGTATGCAATAATTCAATAGGTCCATGCAAAGGAAGGGAAAATCGATCCTACAGCAATGTAATTATTGAAAAATAAAAATAAACCTAAAAATGAATTAAATTACGGTATACAGTAATATTTGTACAAAAGAATGTCTCAAGAATCCTCAAAGCTCAAATCACGAACTGATTTCAAATAAACCACCATTGAAACCTGGAAGCACTGGACGGTCGTTTCATCCTAGTATGTGTTCATGCGTGAGACTGAAGATCCTGGGTTAAATTTCTGGTGCCAGGATCCTGGTTGCTCACTAATGGAGAGTCCCATTTCGGGATAAAACATCAGTATAATCCACTCAGATTTTTATTGAGTGTGTAGCTAAGATCAGTTTGTGGTTTAGACTGATAGTTCTACAATTTCAACAAAACCCTATACTTAGAATGTTTTAAGTTAGGAAAAAATTAATCAACTCACTACATACAAACCTTAATAACTCAGCACAGTTCACGTATCGACATTGAGTTACAGTCTATAGTGTGTTTGTATGTGAGAGATTATGACGTAACCTGCCTGCTCAAACCGAAGAAGGATTTTGAAGCACACAAATTATAGGCCTCTGATAAGTTAGCTAAAAGAATAGATGAAGCACAAAGGAATTCGAACTGACATTTTTGGTCAGTAAACTTCAGTATTCCTAGTGTTACGTATTTGATCTTACCAAATATGATACATCTAGTACTTGAACACTTGATAGTAGCATTCTAAATGCCGCTAATTCCTTAGATTCTCCAGTTCTTGAACTTCAAGCTGAAGATAAAAGTCCGGAAGTATGAAAAGAAGCTTTACCTCCAAGGTTAGTTTGCGCACAGGAAACAGGGGTATAACTATACGTCAATAAGTGACTTTGATATTCTATGCGTTTTTAGGTTTTTCAATACTTTCAGTTAGTTACTAGTACCTCAATAAAGCGGCTCGGAACGCACGTTTCAACCCATTTGGTGCTCGTCAGCTGGATGTGCCCATCATATACCAGTGTTCACACTGGGACGTGAATGAAGGTGTAGTTTTGTTAAGAGATGAAGTATATTCATTAGCTGAATACAGACTAAAATTCTTAAGTGTACATAAAAGAAGTTACGTAACAATATAGACTTTTCAAATGAAACGAAATATAATCAGAAAGACATGAAAAACTTAATAAACTAAACAAGCGTAATGCAAAACGTTAAAAGAATGAAAAAGAGTGGGGGAAAGTAATAATAATGGAAAACAGTATGAAACGTAAAAAGCATTCGTTGATTAACAAACTAACCCCGGTTAAAATACTTTGATGATTATCAGTTGTTATTAAACGTTCATTGATACGTTTTATTGTTGTCCGTAAACGTTCTGGAAATTCAGATGAATTTGATATCTAACAGAGGAAATGAAAAAAAAGAAACATTTAATATTTTCAAGTTGGTAATAGTAAAATCGAATGATTTTCAACAACGAAAATGAGAACAAGGTTAGCAAGTGGAATAAAAAATATGTACCCACTTGATTAATTAGACTGTGATCCTGAAGATAAAAAAACTGATTCAGTTTAATTTGTAATGGGTTTGGACCACGCGGTTTCGATATGTTTAACTGAAATTTGAACAGTCTTGGTTGGTATACGTGGATCCTGAGCAAGTTCTTTAAATAAAGTCATTATGATACAAATCCATACATAATAGATGTAATGTGGCTAGTAACGGAGTCCAAAAAATGCGTTTCGTCCTATTTGGAACTCTTCAGGTTGTTGTAACTGCTAACTAGAACCAATCGAATTTCAGTCGAAATATCAAAAAACATGATAATTCAAACCAATACAAACTAAAGTTCGTACCAATTCCACAAGTGCGTTACTGGCTATCTCAACTTAGTATCTAAGTGGAAAGCGCGTACGACGTTTGAAATGAAAGGTACTGAGGTGCAGGTACATCGAGCTGACGAGTCACAAATGGGGCGAAACGGATGTCTTGGGTTCCATCTCGAATCACGTTACTTCCGTTCTATATAAACATAATTCAATGTTCTTCAGTTTTTGGTGGTTCTCTCTGATGACATCAACAAGTGATGAAAATTGACATCGAATAGTATTAAGCCAGAGTTTCAGTTAAAAAATACAATTGAAAAAACGAGAGAGTGATAACTGGTGCTAGCTGCTTCAAAAACAGGGTAAATTACTCAATAGGATTTTACTCAGATCACTTGGCCGTACGTGATAAGACATGGAAATCAGTAAACTTCTATCCTCATCATCTAATCACAACGTGAATTAATTTAATGATAAATTAGGCTACTCTTTCTATCAAACATCAGATTTATAGTCTAATGGTTAACGATCTAAATCTGACTATTATAATATTACATTTTCTTTTATTTATAGATATTCAAGTTGAGTAACAACTATAATGGACGAGGTTATCCACAATGTTTTCAATGTTCAATGAGTGTGTGTTGTATCCAGCGGTTTTAATATAATTCTCTTTACATTTATGATTTTCATCCATCATGTTAAAAGGCGCTACATAGGCTTGTCCATGGTAGACAGTGGCGGATAGCTTTCAAACGCTTGAAATAAATTCTTAATGCAGCATATCTCCAATAAATGAAAGGAAAAATTACTGAAAGTGTTAGATACAACAGACTTATTGAACATTGCAAACAGTGTACATATAATTTCAACCAAAACAATTACAGTAAAATAACAACTTCAGATAATCAATAATTTATAATTTATTTAAACACACAAACATCGGTACAGGGAGGCACGAAATATATATGCGTCACACAAATCATTTGGCTTGTGTGAGGGCTGGAATACTGCCCGCGTGCCCAAACCAAACACGTGGTTTTCTTAAGGGAACACTTCCCAAGCATTTGACCTAGGGGTATAATCCATAAGGCAGTGGAGCGACGTTGAGAGATGCAGCCCCATGGTAGCCAGTAGTCAACAATAGGTTCCCGAACCATTTGTTCCCTCAGGATCCTGTAGCCCATGTGCACCATTGGTTTGGAATCAGTTTTCAAACTCTGTTAGATGTATCTTCGATATCCACCAACCGCGTTAAGGCACCGGACATTCGCTTTTCGTTCTCTCAACTTCGTGAACAACACCCCCGCCACGAGAAAGAAGTGGGCAGAGCATTCCTGGCAGTAGCAGTATACGTATGGCCATGTGAGAGCATTTTAAGAGGAACAGCTGACTCTTTCCACCCTCGGCCGTACCAGAGCACAGATATTGAAGAAAAGAGGAACATAGCAATTAATTAATGATCACTTATGCACAATAAAAAGAGAAGAATGATGTCGAATTCACACACTTACTTGAATAGGACCAAATAGATTAAGAATCTGGAAATGGGAAGTAATTTTATAAAAAAGAAATCCATAAAATGCATTTTATAGAAACATAAAATTTCTATAAATATACACAATTTATATGATTATATTATATACTTAATAAAATCATAATTTATCAAGATTCGTTTTCACTAAAATTAAACTCTATTAACTCGTTAAATATTGAATAAACTGTATATCATTCAATTGGTAAACCCAGTGTTGTTCAATATTGAACTGTATCAAAAACCCTAAATATATGAACTACTGATTTTACGATTGTTTTCAGAAATAAATACATCTTCCTTGTACAAACACTAAGTTTTCAGTATAACTTTGTGAATTATCGTCATCTTACTAATCGATTTATAAGTTCGGGGTAAGTTGACTTCAAATTGATCTTTACAATTAAGGATTTTTTGATACTATCTGACATTCAGGCAACAGTAGACAGAGAAAGACTCAAACATAAGGTCCAATCATGGAAATCTCATTCCATGAACAATTTAACCAAAGTTTCATATACTTTGATCTTAGCATCTGTTCAACATAACCGTAACCCATGCAATATTGTTCATTTGAATAGATGGTGGTTCACTATGTATACAACACATACTTCCAGTCAATGAAAGTTTACGATCTCATTAGCTGGATGTAAGTTCCTTAATTATATAAAGAGTGCTGGAGAAATACATACGTACTTACCTACTAACTAACGTCTGTTACTCCTCGTCGACGAACATAGGCCACCCACCAGGTCTCTCTATCCAACCCTGTCCTGGGCAATCGTTTCTAGTTGCTATTCATCCTTTTCATGTCTGCTTCCAATTCTCGATGTGTGTGTTCTTCGGCCTTCCACTTTTCCGTCATTTCTTTGCCAATCTCCGTCTTTACGTTGGCATCAGATCCCCCTTGTTCATCGATGGTGCTTCCCAGGTATGTAATAGATTCCACATCCTCCAGAGCTTTTCCATTAGGTTGGTGTTCTCCGTGTTGTATTTGAGAACCTTGCTTTTTCCCTTGTGTATGTTGAGGCTTACTGATGTAGAGATTGCTGCTAAACTAGTTGTCTTCATCTGCATATGTTTATATGTATCGCATAGGACCAGGACATCTGCGGAGTCCAAATCGTCTACTTGGTTCTCAGCTGTCCATTGTGGTCCGTGCTTTCCCTCAGATGTCGAGGTCTTCCCAAATCCAGTCGACCTACAGAATAAAGAGAAATGGTGAGAGTAGGCAGCCCTGTTTGATTCCGGTCTTGGAATGCATCTGTCAGCCGGCCACCATGCACCACCTTGCATTGTAGTCCTTCAGATGAATTCTTGATGATGTTGACGATCTTCTCAGCGACTCCATAGTATAGAATAAGTTTACATAATGTCCTCCTATCCACACTGTCAAACGTCTTCTCATTGTCAATGAATTTGATGTAAAGTGACGAGGTCCACTCAACTGATTGTTAAAGAATGATGCGTAGGGTCACGATTTGGTTCGTGCACAACCAATCCTTACAGAATCCAGCCTGCTGGTCTCGAAGTTGCGCATCTACTGCGTCTTTCATCCGACTCAGCAACACTCTATTTAAAACGTTTCCTGGTACTGATAGTAGTGTGATTCCTCTGTAGTTTTCACATTTACTCAGATCTCCTTTCTTTGCTATCGTAATGAAGTGTCCTTCTTTACAGTCCGTTGGCACTTGTTCTTCTTCCCAAATCTCCCTGAATAGAGCGTGAATCACGTTTCCAATTACCTCTATGTCTGACTTCAGAGATTCAGTTGGTATATTGTCAGGTCCTTCTGCTTTCTCACTCTTGATTTGTCTGATGGCCATCCTTGCTTCTTCTGTCGTTTGTGGAGTGACATCTATATGAAGATCTGTGTGTTGCTTCGATGTCCAGTGTTTTCAGCGAAGCTGGTCTATTCTCGAGTTCCTCGAAGTATTTTACCCATCTGTTCCTTTGTTCTTGAATCTCGGTGATTGGTTTGCCTTCCTTGTCCTTGATTTACTTGGTTCACTATATTTTCCTGTTAGTTTCTTCGTTGTGTCATATAGTCAGTCAGTCAGCTATATCGTAGGACCATAAACATACATGCATCGATCCAAGTTGTCATATTTCGTTAGCACAACAAGACGAACACGGAATTCACAGAAGTAGTTGATTCAATGGTGGTAATATATTTTCCTCTCTTGAAGAGTTTTTCGCTTTTCCACGTATTTCAGTTAAATTATATTAGTACCCCAAACTGAATTCCTGATAAAATGCTCTAATCGCTGTTTAGACAGCAGAATGTCATAACATGTGAAACACTAAACAGAAAGGAGACAAATACTGAAAAATATAAAGTTATTATTAGTATGGGGATTGCGGAGACTGCTGAACTTCAGTGGAATTGTAAACCAATCGAAGTTAAACAACCATTGGAAACCTGGAACCATATTGGACAGCTATTTCATTCTATCATGGGACTTCTCAACGGTACACCTACATGACGTAAACACCTCAATAATCATGTGCTCACAAGGGAATAGCTTCGAGGGCAAATTTACAGAGTTCTAGGGGAAACCGTGACTAGTGGAGTTTAACCGTATCGGACTTGAGGAAGGTGATCAGTGAAGATAATGGATGATGACTACGCATAACTCACGTTTGAATGGAATTAAACTTGTCTACCATAGGCGCTTGATTTAGTTGTTTATAGGTTAAACGCTCGCTCATGAGACCGAAGATGCTAAGTCTGGGCTCCGGTAGCAGATTCGTGAATGCGCACTGCTGAGAAGTACCATGCTAAGATGAACCATCTGCCTAATCCATCCAGGTTTTGAATAGTTACCTAACTTAAATTGGTTCGGGATCTCAATATAAAATTATTAATTACTGATTTGCAACCAATGTCATGTTTGTTTAGCACTTTAGCGCTAATCCGTTTTTTTTCGATCAAACTGAAATACAACTACCATTTTCAGTGACTTCAAGTCATGTGTACTATATCTTTTATCCTCAGTTATTTGGAGGTGATCAATGAGAAACCTTGTTATTACGTTTTGTGCCGAGTGCATACGATCTTGAGGGAATTTGTGATTCCCACCTGATTCAATAAGCACTAGGGATTGCCCTCTTACAATCATTCAGTGTCAGTACCTCATATCTACGGGAGGTTGATAACGACTCAAATCCCTCAGTCGTATTGAGCATCAGCTAGCGCAATAGCTTTGGTTCGAAAAACTGTCCCAAGTTGCTGCCAACCATTCAGTGAGTAAAAAAATATTTTTTTATTGTTAAATAATCGCTTTCCACTTACAGAGTACAAATAATAATCAAATACTTGACATAGACAATGCATTACTTCACCAGCAATCGGCTTTAAAAGTCTCATCATTTGCAAGTAACGACCTATTACAGAATAAAACAAGAAATAAAGACAAATTACTAGGTATTCAATAATTAAACATGAAAAGTTTGGTTGGGTTCAAGTGATAAGTCGATATCGCTTGAGTGCTTTCTATCTCTCTCTCCCCCTCTGTCACGTGACACATTTGAATTCAATAAGTTGACCGTTTGGTAAAAACCAGTTATAGACCAGAACAAAACTTTACCACTAATATGCAATACAGAGTAGTAAGCAGTATCAAAGTGAGATGCATTTTACAATATAAAAGAGTCTCTTATATAATGTAGCCGGATAAGTCTGTTTTCAATTCCTGACCAATCACATGTCATTCTGGACACATACGTATACCTTATTAGTATTATGTAGGGACGCATTATACATATTGTATGCTATAAAAAGTGTATGGAGCAGAAAGATTATGGGACTGAAAAAAGGTAGTTGGTGCTGTTCTGCTTGATAGTTCAACGACTATCTACTTAATTCCAACTACATCCAACCTCATGATTATAATATTTGTCGGAAAGTTTTGTTCAAACACTGAAAAGTCTAATGGTTTTTTCAGGTGGTGTGGCTGAAAGCGGACATTAACAACCCACATTGGGCCTAACATTTACGCTGTTTAGCACTAGTTAGTAAAGTGTATCTGTAATTTCGAGGAGTTTAATATTATTCCATAGAGTTGAATCCATGTTACTTAGTGTCATATATAAAGGAGCTAACTCGAAGCTATTTAGTCTACAACTGATCCGCTGTACGATTAAATATCAAAACTAACTGACTACAAAAATAGTGAAAAATTCCATGCTTACACTTAGTCTTCATTGAATTCTATCGATCTGAATGTGAAATGTAGTTACTAATTCAAAGTGATTTTCCCTGATTTAAGGCGACTGCAAACAAACGAAAGGAATGATGGAATTTGTCGCATTCGTGCTGGCCACCACCTGAATATATATATATATATATATATATATATATATATACATATATATATATATATATATATATATATATATATATATATATATATATATAGAGAGAGAGAGAGAGAGTAAAAAATATCTAAGTTATACTACCACTGAAAACCTGGATAAACTGGACGGGCGGGATTCTAGTGAGAAGCCCTGACCAATTAAGCTTAACCATGTCGTGTGTGAGGCAGATGTTCACAGAAAACAATCGAAGATAGTCACTCGATATCTTGGATCGACTACACTTAGATATTAACATCGTTGGACACCACCTCACTGGTCTAGAGGTAAAGGGGTTGACGAGCGAGACCGAAGGCCCTAGTTTCATCTCCTGGAAGTACGGTCGTGAATATGTATTACTAAGGAGTCTCATACTAAAAAAAGGACATCCAGTACTTCCAGGTTTTTAATATTGGTCAAAATTAAATCGGTTCAGGATTTTAATGAAGTTCAACGATCTCCTATGCTTACAAAAAGAAAATCATTTACGATAGTGAGTAGTAAACAGTAAACTAAAATCAAATAACTGTAATACGATAAGAGAAATATCACGTCATATTAATCAGATTGAAATCATGAGTCAGTCGAATCCCGCGGGGTGCGGGATCTTGGATGCGCACTGCTGAGGAGTCCCATACTAGGACGAAACGGCCGTCCAGTGCTTCCAGGTTTTCCATGGTGGTCTAGCTTCAACTGACTCATGATTTCAATCTATGAAAATAATAATTGTATAAGGTAATAAGTTCCAAGTATATTAAGAACGATATACATTTGGAAGAGGGGAAGAGGTCAATGGTGAGAGAGGATTAAGTTCAAGGTCAAGGGGCAAAATACGAACTTTACGTCATCAATTCGATCCGTAGAGTAGATGGGACGACCTTATGTTTATCAAAGGGTGTGAATATACTTTAGTTGAACGTAATCATTGTACCTTTTCTTTATTCAGTAGTAACTTGATAAATTCCATTCAAAAAAAGAAAAGTAATTCTTCCTTATTTTAAACAAGTATATATAACATTCCTGTTTAGTACAATAACGACGTATGATAGTGTTGTTATTAGTATTGTTATATCTATCATAATGAATTATTTTCGAGAAATGGTAATATTTTATTGCATGATTCTGCCTAAATTCTTTAATTTTGTTATTACTAATTAACCGAAATTTATGGATCTAGAAGTTAGATGATTTGAAATAACTGTGTTATTGATTCTATATGCAAAGATTAATGATACCTATATTGAATCGCACAAGCAAAACGGAGTGGAGTTCGAATTTGTAATAAGCTAACCACTGAACTACCATTCGAAACCTGTAAGCCGAAGAAATAGATGAGAATGAGATGTATATGGATTGTTTTAAAGAAAAAGAATGTATGTTGTGACCTCAATGGCTGAGTGGTAGCAAGACAAACTGTAACGAGGATTTGAGCTTCACTACTGGAAGCACCACTTATCTCAAGATTGTAGGAATACCCTGCTGACAAGTTTCGACTAGCGCAAAACCTAGATGCGTAGTTTCTTGTCAATTGACTCAAACGACCTAACAAATAATGTATTTATCTGTTCCAATATAATTGATTTCGGTCCATGTTATCTTATCCGTTCCAAAATACGAATTTTGTTCACCCCATAAATAAAATTATATAGGGTGCTTCTGTAGTTCACAAACTAATAATTTACTGGCTTGATTGATTATTGGTATGTGTTTGGACAGACACTCTTAAGGCATTCTCCTTAAACTCTCAATACTAATTAACCAATATAACAAGCTGTGGTAAATAGTAGCTTCTCATGTGAAACAAATGATCTTAAACACCAGGGTTTAAACTAATTCACAACAGCATTGTCATGAATGAATATCTGTACCTTTGAAACTCTACCTATAGCCTAGAAGTTATGAACTTTATTAAACCTGATGTACACAATCAATCGACTGATCAGTGACCAATGTCATTTTCCTCTTGTCCTTCAGTTTTAATCGAATTTTATCAATTAAGTTGAAATTTAGTCACTAATCTAAGTGACTCGACACGGCGTGCAACATATTTTGATATTAAGTATTTTGAGGTCTGAACACATCAGTAGTATCATCCTATATTCCAAAACAGTGACTCCGATTCAAAGCTCATAGACAGCATCAATTCCTTCAAGATCTAAGGTATCTTACTGATGACGCCCAACTCGCACAAAATCAAGGTTTAGGATTTCCAGATAACTATCCTCAACCACTAAACATACCAAAGTAAAAAAGCAGTACCACAATTTAACTTAATTACTGACCTGAAGAACTTCACATAGTACGACCAATCTTGATATGCCAGGATAAACCAAACAGAACCAATACTATTTCAAGTTCAAATAGTAGAAGGATGCTTGTTTAAGTAGGCTATTACGAGTAAGTGAATTATTTACCTAGGAAAGGACACCACTTCCTACAAGCACCATGTCAATCAGGTAACCCACAAATATACATGAGCTGTAAAAATTACTGGTTGGTTATTAATAACAGAGCTTCCTTAACAGTTTGACCTTTTTGCACGACAAGATCAGTTAATCAAGCATCAGAGACGTAGAAGTGACTGGACCGGCTCATGGACTACAATAAATCCATTTAAGGCTTATGAAAACGAGTAAATGGTCCATTTTGACAGCGGTGTGCACGAAAAAGGAAAATAATCCAATCAAACTACCAGCTGATTGAGAACCCAAGTGTCAGTCTATAGTAATAATAGTAATGATAGTAATAATAATAATTATTATTATCACCATGTTCACATTAGCGACTAATTTCGAGTGGTAATTCCAAGGTGCTTAGTACGAAATCATGACCGATGGAGTTCACTCATGTCGGGACGAAAGCATTCACCTACCAATGACATTGGATGATGGTCGCACAACATAGAGAATTAATTGAATTTAAAAATGTAAACCAGCGGATGGCAACTTAGCAGTCTAAAGGTTAAACGTTGTGAATGGACAATGGCAGACAGTTATGTACTGGAGCGAAACAGTTTCAAATAGATGGTATAAATAAAATCAGTTCATAATGTTAATTAAGAAATTGATTGGTTGTGAAACATTCTCAATGATCACTATCATCAACCAATCAATCAGTAATACTTTTAGGTGTATACCAGATGATACAGTTATATATTAATCGTAACCCCATAATAATGCATAAAATTTAATGAATATTAGTGAATCTTTTTAAATATCAGCTTAGTCGTAAGATAAAATGAGAACTCTACCATACTGATCATATGAGTCAAATATACTTTGAATAAAGGCAGTTTTGTTTTATTTTCATGGTCATTAATACAACCCTTATATCAAGACGTATAAATTTTATATTATAAAAAAAGAATACTTCAATTCCTCAGTTATGCAGATCCTAGAATGCAACAGGCCAAATCGATAATTAATTTACAAGAAGTATTTTTTTTCAGCTTATTGTCACTAAAATAGTCTTTTCTGGATAGACGATTGAATGAATAGTAACACTAAAAGTAGTAGTACGAAATAGCCTTTTAAATCGCATACCATTCTACATAATAGCTAGAATAGAATAAGGCTAATACTGGAACCAAAGACGCGAATTTCCGTTTAATTGTGACTTGTTAGTTGAATGTACCCGCATCTCAATGTTGACTTTCATATTCGCACTGGAATGAAGTAACTTTCACCTCACATTTCAACCCGTTACCCACAGAGCTACTGGTTTCAGGTAGCTAATAGGTTTTTGAACGAGAATGTTTATATTGCTGTAAGACAATCTGTATATGGTGTGCATATGCTAACAAAGACTGGTAAATATTCAATTCTGAGTATCAACAATGCAGACTAATTCAAACACTGACTAGTAACGATATAAATGAAAAACATGCTACTCCAGTCTTCGTGCTAAATAAACTTGGTTCCTTGATACGATTGTCTCAGTTATTTTATCGATATGATCATGACAGGTTTGTTTTTTCAAGATAGTTTCCCACAAAATCCTATTCACTCTCGCGAAATAACCATAAGAATTCTTTAACATAAGATGTAGTGTACCTTCATGGGATCAAGTAAACGCTAGTCGATATACTTAGATTTAAAATGACCATTTAAAGACCAACGTGTTCTAAAAATAGCTTAATTATTATGAGCATCTTACTTACTACACAGAGATGTTTTAGACTTTAATACGGAAAAATATGGTTTCGAATTTCAAGAAAAGTAAGCCTCAGTGCTGTCATTTCGGTTGACTTCATCGTGAAGGAACAGTGCTTCTTGTGGGATTTAGTAAGAATCCATAGTTTGTGGTGATATTGACGATCTGAAAGCGTAAGTGTAGAACCTATGGGACAAGTTAGTCATGAATAGCCATTTTTTGAGTGGTTTCTAACTTAATAGCTCTATACTTTTCAGACCTTACCACCGAAACCGGAAATCCTTGAAGGAAGTTATATTTCAACATTTCATAGAGAAATTCTATTCTAACTTCCTTTCACTTGTGAAGAATTGAGATCGCTGAAGATGCTGGTAATCCATAGGAAACCCTATACTATTACCACAGCCCGGGTGAAACGTCAGTACAATTTTGCATTTGTACCACAAATTTAATGCTTCAGGTTTTATAACCCACCAACCTAACCTACAAAATGTGGTATAATTTCATGCAAAATGTGTTTCAGCTAAATACAGCATTAACAGGTCATCACAATAGGGAAACCCAAACGCCACGTCAGAAAGATAGCTTCTGTTGAAAACCAGAGTGACCAATTTCACGAAGTGAAAAATAAGCTTTTTCTCCAACGATCGTCCTGAAGATACGGAATCCATACCAGATGAGGAATTTTGTTACTTACGTTTTAGATGTAGGTAATTTGTGGTTCGGAGAGGATTTTAATAGCGAATAGGTGAACCGATAGACTGACAGAAAAACATAATTAACATGAAGTGTGGTAAGGATGTGAGTCGGATTAAGATTAACACGACGAGGTGAATACAACAAAAGTGAGAAGTAATGTGGTATCAACTATAGAAAGAAATACCAGATCTTGGAATATGGTTTCAAAAGGCAAACTGGGAAAGCATGTATGAAGAAATATTAAAATTAAAGATAGTGAGTCAGATAAAGACTGTGAACGATTTTGTGCTGTGTCATCTAAAATCTCCAGTCACTCATCACAGTTATTACGTGAAACCCAATATGGTAGTCTAAATCGATGAACATGACTCAGACCAATATTCGATGAATACATAGATTGACGTCGCATTTTGGTCTATACATTCTAGCTATATTCGAACCTAATTCTGGATATATATGCGTCGCTCATCGAAGTAGGTGGTTGTTAGGTATACGCAACACATGTCCCAACCACCGCAGTCGATGAAAATTTACAACTTGACCAACCAACTTGTTACCTTTACCAATTACTCCATGCCTAATTTTAACATCATCCACTCGGTTAGGTAGGCAATATTCAGAGGACAGATGAGAAACACGAGTTAATGACTAACTGTTTCGTCTTATTTAGCAACTGTTAAGCAATATGAATCTAAGACTTTAATAGGTATAATTACATGAATTGTTACCTATTTTTTCTTCATCTGTGTCTTGCTTTATTCTCTGCAACATGTCCTAATGAAACCTCATGTATCAATATCTTCTTTTGTTGTATATAAATAACTGTATCGAAAAGTATTTTATCAAACAATGTTGTCTGATAGGTTTAATCTCCTTGAGGCTCCACATAAGAGGAACATTATAGTGTATATTTAAATCAAAAATCACGTACTTATTTCAGAAATAAGTAGTTTGTAAGAAATAAGAAAATGTACAATGCAGATTTAATCGCACAACTCAGTAAATCATGATAAAACAAGTGATTTTTCACTATGCAATGAGAGTAAAAATATGTCATAAACTAAATATGGCGTTCAGTCGTCAATTAAAAGTGTTAAGAAAAGTTAAAAACTTGAAGTGTTGAGTGCTTTTCAAAGAATGTCCCTTTCCAACTGATGTATCGTTTTAATCATGAGAGTAAATAGCTAGAAATAATCATATTCAATGAAAAAAGATAAATATGAATGTACTTACCGATCAAACGAAGAACTTCTAATGTAGTTGTTGATAAAAGTGGCCCACTATGATCATTTGAAAACGATGTATCATTAGACTGAAAAGTAAATTATTGATTATTAAATATTTCTATTAAGGCGTTAAAAACACAATTTGATTGAAGAAGTATTTCTTTTCAGTTAAATCCTCATCTCAAAGCTCTACAGTTATATATATATATATATATATATATATATAGTTAAGCATAAATGAAATCAGTATCAAACAAATGATGGTTGATCAATTTAATAATGTTCTCTCTAAAATAGTAATCAGTGAGCAACTCAATAGATGTGAAATGTGTAACCGATCTAACTATACGATTACATAATCAGTTAGGCAAAAAATATCGTTGCGTAATAGCCGAGTAGATATGTTTAGTGTTACTCGTAATATAAGAAATTTGTAATTAATACAGTTGATGCAAAGAATAGTAGGTGACCAATCAGCCTATTAGGGCAGGTAGATCACCTTAAATAAAGTTATAAAATTATTGTGGGACAGAATTAAAAATTTAGAGAAATATAGTAACTGAGGAAAAGAAGGCGACGGTGAATTAAAAAGCTGAACAAACTTTTTCTGTGTACAAAGATTAGGTTTATTGATGTGTATAGTAATGGGTTCGGTTGTATGTAAAAGACGAAGTATGAAAAATATGAGATAAATTCTACGGAATTCTGTAAACGAATCTAAAAGCTAACTTCGTTTTGATATGGTGACCGCTATCTACTAAGTATGCCAAAACATAGCTTCTTACTGTTCTCTTTTTTCCCTTGATCAACCATAAGGGGTAATGTTCATGAAAATAATGTGATGTATTTGCTTGGTTGTACATCCACAATAACTGCCTTCACAAGGTCAGTTTAACTGTAAAGGAGGCTGGACTAGACATTTTATTCTTATCGAATGAGTTCACTATGGGCTAACTGAAGAAAGAAAGACATAATATAGATGAATCTACTTAATTCTTTCTACACTACTTTTAACTCCTCCTGTAGCCCTTTTAGAGTTACTGCCGGTCCCAAGCCCGGGTAAAGGAGGAAGGTTAAGCATGGGGTCGGCAACCCCATCCTGTAGAAAAAAATCTTGCTAAAAAACACCAACCAGATTAAGCAAATTAAACCCTCAGAGTTGAGGGAAGAATTATGATACCTCATAATGAAAGCCGAGACTCTTCGATCACAAGGCCGATGCCCCTTCTATCTACCAGAGCAACAATCAACATAGATACATGGAACGTCCGGACAATATAGAAGACCGGAAGGACCAATCAAATAGCTGAGGTAATGAGGAGATACAACTTGGCAGTACTCGGAATCAGTAAAAACTATTGGACCCGAGCTGAACAGCAAAGGCTGGATACGGGAGACATGCTGCTGTACTCCGGTCACGAAGAGAAAAATGCTACAAACATTCAGGAAGTTGCTCTAATGCTGTCCAAAGTGGCACGAAACGCACTTGTAGGATGGGGATCTCACGGATCCAGAACCATCTAGACATCATTCAAAACAAAGGATGGAATTACAGTGAATGTTGTCCGGTGTTATTCACCCAACAATGATAGCAATGAAGACGATAGAGATCAGTTATACAATAGGCTACAATCACTCATAGAGAAGTGCCCATGAAAGAAACTCACCATCCTGATGGGAGACCTAAACACCAAAGTCGAAATGGACAATACCGGATATGAAGATATCATGGGACGACATGGACTGGGAGAGAGAAATGAAAATCTGGAGAGATTTGCAAACCTATCTGCATTTAACAAATTGGTCATAGGTGGCAAAATATTCCCACACAAACTCATACACGAAGCTAGATATGTCTCACCGCACCACACTACGGAGAACTACATCGATCATATTTGCATCAGTAAAAAATTCAGGAATGGATCTCTATAAAAACCCTGGAAACGATTTAAGAAAGGAAGAACAATAAGACATCAAAAGCAACAGTCGAACAAGGCACAAGAGCAATATGCAGAAGGAAACAAGAAGGTGAAAAGAGATATTAGAGCTGACAACAAGAATACGTGAAAGACGAAAAAGCTTCAAGGGAAGCAAATATGAGACAGCTATATGACAAAACGAAGAAACTAACAGGAAAATATAGTGAACCAAGTAAATCAAGGACAAGGAAGGCAAACCAATCACCGAGATTCAAGAACAAAGGAACAGATGGGTAAAATACTTCGAGGAACTCGAGAATAGACCAGCTTCGCTGAAAACACTGGACATCGAAGCAACACACAGATCTTCATATAGATGTCACTCCACAAACGACAGAAGAAGCAAGGATGGCCATCAGACAAATCAAGAGTGAGAAAGCAGAAGGACCTGACAATATACCAACTGAATCTCTGAAGTCAGACATAGAGGTAATTGGAAACGTGATTCACGCTCTATTCAGGGAGATTTGGGAAGAAGAACAAGTGCCAACGGACTGTAAAGAAGGACACTTCATTACGATAGCAAAGAAAGGAGATCTGAGTAAATGTGAAAACTACAGAGGAATCACACTACTATCAGTACCAGGAAACGTTTTAAATAGAGTGTTGCTGAGTCGGATGAAAGACGCAGTAGATGCGCAACTTCGAGACCAGCAGGCTGGATATATATATAATTGACAATAGAATATATATACGCGATACTTGTTTTTATAACTTACGAAATTGTTTTGTGAAATGGTAATAAACTTGGCATTATGATTAACATTACCATGAAGATCATTATCACCACGATTATGATCTGTATTTTTGGGAGAAAACTTTGTATTTGACCTTTGTGTAGCCATAATATCGTTTGATGCTGACGACAAATTCGTTAAATCAGGGGAGTTAGTTTCAGTTTGACCAAGATTATTGTCACTACTAACACCATTGTCATTAATGTTATCATTATTATTACTATTCTCGGGATCCTCAGGGAATTGCACAAAGGTATAAGGGAAGGCGAATAACTTTTTATTTTGTAGTTTTGAAACACTAAACATGAAAATCAATTTATTTGAATAAAGAAATAGTTGAAGATCATAAATATGACTAGAATTAATTATTAACGGAAATTTTCAACAATATGTTCAATACAATTGATCTTATATATATAGAGAGAGAAAGGGAGGGAAAGTGAAATGAGTTTCAAAGATGAATTTCACAGTGAAGTGACATTCATTTGAAATAGTTTACATTACTCTTTGATGTTAAATGGTTGATCTTATGATGTACAGTGTCCGAGATTTGACACTAATACACAGTAACTAGTAGCTGCATTGCAACGTGATCGATGTAATTCGATCAGCATGAAGGATCAAAACAAACAAAATCGTTCACTGTCAAAAGAGTTGAGCCTTTCATCTTGTTTGATCGTACCAACATTCCGTTTTATGGTGCTAGTATCACCATTTTGTGATCGTCCGTGATTGTGTCATGTGCGATTTGCAGTTAGAATCCCGAGTCAGCGAGAATATCCAACGAAATTAGGACATTTAATCCTATTATTGTTGTTTAGACAATTGTAATTGGTATCCTGCTAATATCGTTGTACCAGTGAATGAACTTGTTGTTATTGTTGAATAAACGGATTCCTGTGTCATTGTTCATTGACTGTCCTGGTTTGGCAGTTGAGAATAGTTAATTATACTGTATTTCATTCTCTATAAGGAGGTCAGTATTCCAAACGTGACAATCACTAATTGACTAACCAATCAATGTAAGTTTACAGTACAAACTGATTTTAGGTTGATTACTAAATTAGGCAATTGTAAACACCTGTTTCATTTTAGTTGTTGTTGGCAATGCAAATCAATGCCACCCATTAGAGATAGAACTGGAGTTCTCCAGAGCTAGATGTGTACGCTTCTTCTTTAGATCAGTGAGTTGGGATTCGAATTCTAACAGTTTGAAACATTATGTCATGGTTATCAATCTCTAGTGTAGAAAAAGATCTCACATGCAACATGATTAAACTGCAATCGGTTGAGGATTTTCACTAGAGCTTCAGTAATCTTTCTTAAAATTCATCGCTTGTGACCATATGATTTCATCATAAGGGAAAGCAGTTGTTCATTGCTCATTGGTCTTCGATGGGTGTCTAGCTGAAGTCAGTAAGTGACGTAAACTATAAAACATGATAAGTCATTTGTTACAACGGACAGACAGAAAAGTGATACTCAATATCTTTGCATAATTAATAAATGGTTTAGTGTTAAATCATGACTTCAATTCTATATTATATGTACTTCATTGCTACTTAGGAAGTAGTTCTGTATTTTGTAATCGATTCCTGGAGCCGGCTTTTGGTTAGGCGTATTGATTTTATAACCTTGAATGCCATTCAAAACATGATAGGCTGCTAGCATACTCTGAATCTCTCATTTTCCCACTGGTACTAATTAATTGGACGAATATCACACCAATGCTGACAAGATACAAACACGCCAATAACTTTGTTTACCACATTTATCCCTTCTTAGAGGGACATCAAAAATTCAGCCTAAGCCCGAGGACCCGGCTGATAACATCAGTCAATGACTGGTAATTTAGTGTTGGCAATCTCGCACTCAGATAGACTTCATTGTACGAGTCGCTTCCCCACCACAAGGTCAACCTGCTGGTGATTAGGATTGAAGAGGAACCAAATTACGCATACCTAATACATATTGATCTATTTGCAAATTAACATTGAATCTCAACCATTTTGACAGATAAACTAGAAAGTACTTTTTTGTGCAATATTAATGTGATAAATTTTGATTTAAGTAAAAGAGTGAGTTATAATCTGAAAAATAAAAATGTAAAATTCCAGTATATACTACTTAAATAATTAAATATCAACCGTCTATTATGTAATATATTGGTTGCACTTAATTAAACTCTTTTGTTCCGGAAGAGATTTAATTGTGAACTCGCAATAAAGGTGATAATTAATATGAGATTTTTGAATAAGATCACTAATTCATTTAACATACGATTTATCTACCATATTGTGAAACTTATGCATAGTAATTTTAAGTAATAAGTAGCAGAAATCATGACCTGATTTTGGCTAGATCGCAGTTGAAAGCCTGAAAGCGCTAGATAAGTGTGCAAATCCTAGTATTAGTTTCATCAAGCAAATTGCATCCACAAACTCGTCCATAAGAATCGGGAAAGGACTTTCGGTTTCGCTTAAAATGTTTAGTATCTAGACCACTGGATTTGACATCCAGAGGTGTCTATTCTAACTTTAATCAATCCATTATCCTGCGAAACCCTTCATCCATTGTCTGAGGTGAATAACTGTCTCACACCGACACGGATTGAACTCCGTTGGTCACGACTTCTCACTAAAACTCTTGATATCGCATCTTGAAGCTAGTCACAGGTAAGGACACAACTGTTATTATTATTGTTATTATTATTGGAGGTTGTAGTCTTTCAAAGTTGAAATCACCTTCTGATCATAACAAGATCACTACTGGATGACAGCCGATTGGTCTAGAGGTTAAACGTTTGGGCACGGGATCAAAAGTCCAAGGTTTGATTCTGGTGAGTGGGTTCGTGGATGTGCATTGCTGAGAAGTCTCATATTAGGGCGAAAATGCCATTCAGTGCTTCAAGGTTTTCATTGGTGGTCTAACTTTGATCAGTTCGTGATCTCAAGTGTGCAAATACTACAATCTTCACAAATTTCCTATACAAATAAAGTTATTTGTCAGTGCATGAATGTCACATAGAACCCAATTAAGGCAATGAATACAACAAAACACAACTGGAACACTTCAATTGCTATGTTTTTTCGGTTCAACTAAGAAAACGTAGAAATGTACACCATGAAATCCATAGACTGGAACCCCAGTAAATGATCGTGAATGTTGTATTGTTCGTTACCTGAAATGAGATTATATTAAACCTTTAATAAATCTAACTGTTTTCCGACTGGATTGTTAATTATGTTCTCGCTATACACTGCATACTTACACTGTACAAATATACATTAGTACATATGAGCATTTGAATAATTAACACACTTAAGACAACAAAATTTCAGTTTAAAAGCTTTAGTAAAGACTGATTTAGTTTATGAGTTGTATTCGTCAAAGTTTGATAATAATTAAGGTATCAATGAAAACCGGGGTAATAGGTTTACTGGTGAAGTTCAGATATATCGAAATTGAGACAGCTGTCCCAATTGTATTAGATGATCTTCACGTTCTATTGCAAGTTGATTGAAGTTTAAATCGTACCATCAGAAAATGGCTACCGTTTTCTAATGGCTAAGCGTTTTCCGTTAGATCTGATGTTCTTGGACTCAATCTCTGATGGGGTCATGAAATCATGGTTTTTGATGTCCTTTATACAGGGATGAAAAAGCTGATCAGCGCCACTCTTCGTGTTCTTCAATGGCATCTCAACTGACATCAATTTGTGATAAATACAAACTATCAATACAATGACAACAGAATTTTTTCAAAAAAAGTTTATGTACAAACACAAATATCACTTGTTCAGTTATTTTCCATTTGAGCATCATTACGTAATCTACCAGTGAATGTCATGATCACTTTTATTTCCAAGCTGAATAATTATAATAATAAAATAAGGAGAAAGGGAAAAAGCAATGGATAGACTAAAAATACTTACGTTATCGTTGAATTATTATTATTATTGCTATCTGAGACTTTGCTTAACCCATTGACTGTAATGCTTTTATTAACATTAGTGCCGTTGCTATTATTAGTAATATTGTTGTTAGCTGTATTACTTTCAAATAAATCTTTTACTGCTCTGAATTCCTATAATAAAAGAAAAGGAAACACAATCTCAGGAAATAGTAGGATGCATAGACAGATTGATAAATATGTATTACTAAATAGGAAATGAAAATGTAACAATGTATATTAATCTAAAGGAGTAGCCCAGTCTAAACGACGTTTTGACAAGTGAAATTTTCTTATATTCTTGTGACGATTTGTCAGTTTTGTAGGACCCTTCGTGGAAACCTTTTTTCAAATGAACCAGAATCAATCTTCTAAAGAGATGAATAAAAAACACAGTTTTATTTCATAAATCAGGATTCATGATGTACAGACGGATCACTATATGTAAGATTTAAAAATTTATATAGGCCTTTTCGGTTACGAACAGTCAATTGAAATAAAGAAATTTACATTCAAGTTTATAGCCGTTTTTTAACAAATGAATGAAAAATTATACATTATTAGGAAACATTATATGGTTGATAAAATTATCTTGGCTTGTTACAAGTTAGTTTAGTTTAAGGCAATCAAACTAAATCTTGTTCATACAGTTGGCAAATGTATCATTCCTCTAGAGATACTATTTATTTGAAATGCCTATTGTAAAAATTGCTGTGTTCTTTCTATATTCCACTAACAGTAAAATTATAATATCCGATAAAGTACTCATCATGATCGATAGGCCATGAGAATTCCCATGCTCTCAAACTTCCTCCAATCGGAACAACAGAAAGTCATATGATTGCTAACAGGTAGTCTTACTGTTTAGACACTTAACTCAGGTGATTATATGAGTAAGATACAATAGTAAGATGCACAGTAAATAATAAATTGAAATAATCATATAATTCAGAAATTTTCGGTACACAGTTAAGTAACAGATCTATATATTTAAGTGCCTGGTAACTTATATACCGTGAAAGGCAGTTCGTTTGGTTCTAATTTACGGCTGCGAAACGTAAACATTAAGGGTAAAAGATACTCGTAAGCTACTAGTATTTGATCACAGATGTCTTAGAAATATTGCTCGCGTCTGCTGGGATCATCGGATAAGTAATAGTGACGTTAAACGCAGTGTATTAGGGGATGATGGTAAATCAGTTGACGAAGTTGTGAATCTTCATCGATTGATATGTTTGGGCCACGTGTTACATAAATATATACTGACAATGAGGTGAAAAAAATAAAATAGACTGAACAAAAAAAACAGAAAATAACATCTTATTACCTGAAGATCCATTACAGTGAATGAATGCTTGACAGGACATATTTTCCACGTTTCGTTTTCTAAAAACATTTTAAGTCGGTCCATATGCTTTCTAAAAAGGAGTAGCAGAATAAATTTGGGAAAAAGGGAAACAATCAAACATATATTACTCACAAAGTTTATTTTAATTAATTTCCATGTAAATGAATATACAAATATAGGTGTTTTGATCAAGGAAAATGCACGTGAAACACTAACGTTTACTCATTTAAAACAAGTAGCTAATAAATGACAATCTTTGTGTAGATTGTAGAGAATAGGATTATTTGAAAATGATTTCCTTAATGGACTAATGTGAAGAGGAAAATCACTGGAAAACAAAGAGTACTGTAAAGCTGATTTATTAATGTTTAAAACTGTTTAAACAGCGGTGTACAGAGAACCGCGGTCAGCCAGTAACAACGTAGGACTTCGTACGTATGTACATCAGTTACAGTTGCCATACCACAAAGAACCACAACATGAATAGTGGTGGAATATCAGATTTATAGGCCTAGTATTCAGGGCGTTACCATTCAACCACCCTGAGTTCAAATCTAAAAGTCTGTATACAAAATTATAGTATATTTCCATATTCAAGAAGAACATGAAATTATACACTGTTTTAGTATGAAAGGTCCACATTTTACGGTGCAATAATAAATAAAAAGGATCAAGAAAGTTCGCATACAATTTTGTAATATCTAAAAGTAGTTAAGAAAAACATATGGTCAAATATTTTAAGTTACAAAGTTCGATTCGGTTTAACTAGAGCAAGAGGTTATCAACTTATAAGCTGGTATATAAGAGTGTATTTTTTATTCCTTTAATTAACTCATTTTCCTATTTTATAGGCGAAATTGTAGTCTATTACTGATACAATATGACAGAAATCTTTCGAAAGTAATCTCTTAGCTACCACCATTATCCTGTGGATTACAACAACCCAAAAGTCTTTAACTTTACAATACAGGTCATTTTGATAGTCAGTAACATCATCATGGACTGATCTCATGTCTTGCTTCATGGTCAAACCTCGAAATTATTCACTTGATCATTAGATAAAAGGAGTGATAAAATTGAGCATTTTCTGTAGATTTTGAATAGAAAAATATCGAAAAAACGTCAGGGATGTATTTGGTTTGTGTTAATGATGTCGATTAATAGATACTACAAAAAGATATATGATATTGTCTAGTTTCTATTATGTAGTTATGTGGTTAACGAATATTTGTTCTAATTTTTTGATAAATGGCTGAGTAAAACAAAAACAACCATATTTTAAATTCACTATTCACACCCGCATACTATTTCTTTGTGTATTTGGGTGAATAAAGGGTGCAAACTGAGACGAACTGATCACATATTTCAAAAACATTTAAACCAATCTGTATTTTTTCCAATGTTTATAGTCATGCCCTCAAAATTTACCTTTAAAGCTAAAGTAAAGAAAACCATGATTATTTTAACGTCAGTCGTTTGAGAGATAATTACCTACATTCGTCACAATAAATTAGAATAATTGAGCTAATACGAGCTCAGATTCAATTTAAAAATGTGATCACAACCACGGACAAATTGTTCCTGACTATGCTGTTTGCTGTAGCATTCCAGAAGCTGGAACAGCATTCAGAGATATCAAAACAGCAATCTATTGTCATTTCTTTGCTTGTAATCTACATTGCCGTAGGAATTAAAAATCATACGTAAAGTTTTTATATGGAAGCAGTTGTCAAACAGTACCACGGATAAAAGAAAATCATATTCAGTAAAGGAAGGTAGGTTGAGAAATCAATTATCCTCTAAACATTTATCAATACAAGTCATGTATCTAGATCCCTATCGTTTTACTATATGGGATAACTACACAAAATCAATGCAGATAACATGATATCTCGTCAATTTAGAGATTAATTAAAAAGCAAAACACACTATAAATTTCCATTGTTTTAAATATAATGATAAATACTGACAATCGTTGATATGGTGATAAACAGCGAGCACATGCAAACAAATTAATCAACATATACATTCCCTTTTTCTCTCCCTCACACACACAAAATCTTGAATAATAGGAGAGGTGGCATGCGAATAAACTTAACCATTGTTCTTGAACATGTGAGAGCAGATACACGAAAAGCGAAACCAGAACGAGAAAAGAAAACACAAAAGACTAAATGAGAAGTAAACGGATATAGAAAAATGTTTAACAGACTAGTAATTAATAAACATTTCTGTACGACAGAATTACACTGAAAGCGAAAGATATTTACATGTATGTAATAAACCAATGAAATGAATCTAAACTATTCTTTTTAATTAATTCTATCTATATATTTACTGTATTTTATAATAAAATGCGAATGTTATATACATGTATATTGATTCATTGAACAGGTCAAAACATGAATAAACTGATCAGACAAGAATATAGACAAAATGAAGAGTACAGTAACATTCAAATGCTCCAAGCCTTACCAATTAACTAACAGATTATTGGCAGATTATTTTCATTGATCATTTAACCAATTGGTGTGTATTATTATAATAAGGATTGATTTTATAGCGTAAAAACCACTGAGGTTATTTGGCTATGACTTTGAAATAAATTCAACGCATTTTGTTTATTTACAAGAGTGAAAACTTTGAGTAGATAATCTTAATAATTCTTTCGAAATAATAACTTGTCAGCCTGAGGTTGTCCGCAACATTTTCTATATTTAATAGGTATGTTGAGTTCAAAACTTTGGAGCATTTTTAAAATCATTCGGTGAATGAGTGTTACATATTAGAGTGTAATTTTTTACCGGAGATTTCACTTTAAGTCTTTAATTACACTGCATTTGTGATTATTCGATACCTGATGCTGTGCTATACTACTATGTCAATACGAAACAGTTACGGTCAATTCCAGAGTTTTAAAGTGAAATCTTTAATGAAAACTAAACTCTAATTTGAAGTATTCTCTCACAAATTAAGGAAAAAATACCCGAAGATGTTTGGAACATTGAAAATATTATTGATAACCCTTCCATTAAATTATTTCTATATTTTTCGAATTGTTGGTTTAAAAAAAAGAAAAGAAACTAATCGCTGATGTTGATTAGATAATTTTAAACAAGTTAGAAGAACTAAGGAACACTAAATAGCCATTCCAACCATAATATGAGACTCCTGGGTAGTGTGCATCTACGACCCAAGCGAGGACCGAACCCAAGACCTTCGATTTCGTAAGTAAACGCATAACCTCGAGACCACTGAAATATGGATCTAATGGTATATACATCTAACTCCAGTTAGTTTACAACATTGTGCGGCCATCTCCAATTGTTTGAGGTTTTCAATACTTGTGTTGTAATCTGTACACATTTAACAAAATCCAAAAGCCACTATTCTAGAAATGGATAGTTAATAATAAACAGTTTTTTAAAAGAAAACAAAAATGAACATTTATTTACCGATGGAAGTCTTTAAAATATTTTTGAATTGAAATTCGTAAAGCTTCCAGTAGTTCATTCGGTGAACATTCACAAAATTCTTCACCTATATGTACAAAACTAAAGAAAAAGATAATGAAGAAAGGTTTTTTTTACTGGTAAATAAAAATTAAGGAAATATGATGAAGCATATGGGTAATGAGATAATGATGAGAATTTGAAGCTCTGATGGATAATTTTGGTAACGTTTCATTCTCTGGACTAAATGGATAGGACAAGCTGTCAATCATACATTCATAGAGGAATAGCTTACCTTCACCTAAAGTTTGTCCTGATTTTATTTTTTTAAAAGAACAATAAAAACTTCATAATTAAAACATACAGACTAAAGAACGAAACTCAACCAATAAAAATAATTGTATTGATATTGCAAACACTATAATAAGTTATTAAATAGGGTAGATGATGGAATTATTCGTCCACTAGAGCGGTGACTCAGTAGTTAGGACGTTAAACTTTCGATTACTATGCCACGCGTCTGAACCCTGACCCATCTATTGCAGTTTAGGCAATCGGATAGTATTACGAGACTTCAAACTTAATGTATGACTTGAAGTCAAGTAAACCAATCTACACTCATCTACGTTGGCGTGTAGTCAATAATTTACTCTGTATTATTGTGTGAATTTTGAGTCATGTTTGAAATGAGTGTAAGGAAAAATTGGTTGCTGACCTCCCTCTAGACTCAAGAGTTGGTGTAAAGGTTTGAGTATAGTGGAGCGATAGGAGCTTAGATTGCGTCAGCTCAAGATTAACTGAAGGTTAGACGTGTAATTGGCCACGTCTGCGACATTAGGCTATAGAATAAATAGTAAATGTGGGATAGAGAAAATTTTGAATTCTAATTGATGACATGAACGCGTGATATCTAATAGCGTCTCTAAACACAAAACAGTGATTCTAAATACCAAACAGGATATATAGTCCTAGCAAAAACCTGATAAACTGAGAGAGTCTAGGCATGTTATACACCCGTTCTTGCATTTATATCAAGGTCAGACAGTACAGTAGGTGAGACATCTTAGGTAAGATACGCTACCGAAGGGAGTCAAATTTGATTCTATTCTACAGAAGGACAAATGTAAGTATATCAATGATTAGTGAACATAATTATTTGATTTTACAGTTCTGTTTTACTAACAAGCTTCCGTTTAACACAGTATCTATTCATATACGACTAAATATTCCAAATTTGTTACCAGTCAATTACTTACAGCTTTCCCTATATACAGACACTTCTGGCTCGTTTATTTATGATTGCCATTTTGCATTTTATGGTGTAATGCGGTCCAGGATGTCTGTAAATAAACCACGTCTGTTTTGAAATAAAAATAAAGTAGAGGATGGCTGCTGATTTCTGAACTGAATGGAAGGGCATAGAAAGGAGCTTGAGAATAACAGACCAATAAGAACATGGCTCAGCATCATAAACAGTAGACTAGATAGATCCACTCATTATCTTACACCACATTTTTATCCCTAGTATTCATAAATAAATATCGATCGACTTCTTCGTCATAAACCATATTCCAAATGTTTATTCGGTCTTTCGTATTACGATTAGTAGTAGGATTACTTTGACTTTATTACTATTCAACTTGTTGACTCTACTTCGACATAATAACAATGTATGACATCCTGGAGTAATGACTGATCTTATGGAGGCTCTACACGATCACATACAGTATATATATATATATATATATATATATATATATATATATATATATATATATATATTGCCAAAAACCTTAAAAACATGAACAGTGACGCCTTTCATTTACAAATAAGAATAGTATATTAGAAATCACGAATTTTATCGATGTAAACTAGTTATTGACCACATATTATCATAGATTGAAAAATATTCATTAGTAAAGTCGTGTAAATAAAGGTGGAAAGTAAAGTGAATCGATTTTTCTCGTCTTAGAAGAGATTTCAACAGAAATTAGTGAATTTTAAACCCTCATTTTTTTTATCCAATAAATTAGTGTTTTTGTTTACTGATCGTTTTTAGTAAATATATATACATATACGCATCGTAATTGTCACTGTTTAGATTGAGGGTACACAAATATATGTATGCATTCATAGGCACAAGAATACAACGATTTATCCATTAATATTTCATCTTAATTAATCTTTCATATAGCTTAAAGTGCGATTATCGTAAACAAAAATCGGGAACGTTGAGTGACATGACTCAAAATTCAGTTTCTACAATGTAGACACATTCATTGTTTGTCATCGTTCAAAACATAAGTTTGGGAATAATGTCATACTTTTCAATCTATGAATTCATATTGTCTTCTTGAATCATGTTTCCTACTCATAAAATTTCTTATTACTACCAAAACTTTTGCCACTTCGACGATTTTGATATTTGTCTTGATAATTTCGTGAGCAATATATAACAAATTAAAGTCTCGTATTTTACGTAGATATTCACCTTTTCATTATTAATTCAATAGGCATAACTTAATTTAAAGATACTTAGTGATTGGTGTTGACTGAATAACTGAAAATTCTGAAAGAATAATTAAAAGGTATTTTAGTAAGTGAGATTTCAGGTCGATACCTTGTGTGAAATCGTGGATATTTCAGTAATTAGAATTAATCTTCAATGAAGGTAAAACAATTGTGTGTGTAATTATTACTCGTTTTCATTAATTTGTTATATTGATTTCTAAGTTTAGGATGAAATCTGTCTTAAAATTGAACAAATCTCCATGAAACACTTATCTGAAATAATGAGGTAATTAGTATAAATTGTGTAATCCACATCCTTGTTATCAAAGGGGAATCAACTGAACTCCTCGGTAAGTAATTACACATTAATGTATAAAACAATGAATCATGTACATTAGGTGAAAAGACCTACCATTCGGAATTGATAAAAGTATTATCGAAAATCAAATTAATCATTGCTACTTTTTAGTTTGTCAATGATGGTTACCTAATTCAAGGTGATGTTAACTAGATTTTTCACTTCTACCTGTACTCATCGATTAGGTTATCCCTGTAAACACAGCTATATCGAACTTAATAGCACAATCAGTGAGCACTCACTGAGCTGCATGAAAAGAATCAAACAAAGTCAATATTTCGTTCCGCTTCATCTCACTCGATCGACAGTGGTCATATGTAGTAGATCAAACTAAGGTGTTCAAAGTGATTTTCTGCAAACTCTCACACTCAACCAGTCGGATAAAGTCACATCTCTTATATATACGGAAAGCCATAGAAATTCGAGTCAGCAATCCTAGTTGTGTCTAAAATAAATTTGTAATATATCGATCATGATCATCCTCTTGTCTTTCTTCACTTCTTTTAAATAACCTATTTACCATAGCATACTTAAATTGATTATTCACAACTGTTTCTTATTAAGTATTTTTAATGATTATCTAATGAACTTTATTTTTTCAAGTGTTGACCAGCTTTCTATGCCAAAATATTTACCCCTATTTTTAAGATATTTATTGATCTTATAACCACTACACATTAGTCATCATACTAACAATTTGTACTTTTTCATTGAAATCATGAACCGATCAATATTAGACCACCACTGAAAACCTGAGAGCACTGGACGGCCATTTGTTCTGGTGTGGACCTCTTCAAAAGTCTGCATCCGAAACCCCACACACGGTATTTAATTGTGCAACCTACTTCAATATCATTGATTCGTAAGTTGTTTTGATCGGCTTACCAATTATTAGGTATCTATACAAAATGTTACTGTGGATTAAAGTAAAGCCCTATAAACAGCTAATTGAAAACAATACTGTTAGCTTACATAAGTGCTTTTTCTAATTATTAGTTAATAAGACTAAAAACAATGGTTTCGTTGGAAGAGTTTAGCAGAGACTGATTTGATTTGTAGATTGTATTCAGTACAAATTGGTGATAGTTGTTGAATCTTTGAGAATGACGGATTGGACAGCTATTTCAGCCTAATATGGGTCTCCTTCAAAGCCCATACTCAGAACTTCACCAAGTAGGAACGCTTAATTCTTAAAAACATCGGGTCGGCGTCAAACTAAATAATTTCAACTTCAACCAATTTGCCATATTGGATGACGGCCATTTAACGCCGTTAGTGACAAGTGTTTCACTTCAGAAATGCTTGAGCATCACAGGTCACAACTTATTAAAACTTTAGGAACATCCTTAAATAAGTTTCTGGTGAGATCATGAACGAATATACACTGTTGGGGACTGTTATACTAGAATAAATCTACTGGTCAACGCTCTTGATTTTCAACGGTACTCCATCAGTTGAGATTAATCTGTGACGAATAAAATCTACAAAATGTAGACAATATTGTTTGCTAACAAACATACAATTTTCTAACATGAACACTAACAAAAAAAGACAGCAAAGAAGATGTTACTCAATCAAAACTTACTGATTAATAGTAGATAATAATGAAGCAATCTGATCAAATGTCATATCTCTGGCAAGTTGACTAACAACATTTAAAATTGGTTCAATACGTGAAATGATTTCTGACCATATACGTGACCGACCAGAATCTAATTTACACGTAACATAATCATGCCACTGTCTGGCCAATTGTGGATCACAACCATGATCATTATTTATGATAACGGATGATTTTGTCACTATACTACTGTCTTGATCAATTTCAGTAGTGACAACAATATCATCACGATTGATACTGTCAACTTTTAATTTCGGTTTATGATATTTGGAATTATTAAGTAGAGAATTTGAAGTAAATGATTTATGTTTGGTGTGACTAGATGCAGACGGATATGTTTCAGATGACTAAAAAAGGAAAAAGGGGTGAGAATAAAATCAGAAAAGAATTTGTAAATAGTGATGAAGGTATGTCTTGGTTTTGCTTTCTAGAGTGACTGATTTCAGAAAAACACAATATCAAAACATGGAAGCACTGAACACAGGTGTCTCATCTCAAACAATTCAGACTCGACCACAGCATTATGCATATACGAACCAATATGGGAGTATGTTATTTATCTACGGTTACTTCATATACTTCCTATGATATAAGAAGGCATAAATATCAAACCGAATTATAACTTCCATTAATCATGTGTACAAATGATTACCTTTTCGACCTAAACAAGGATATGTGGACTTAGATTTTGATTGACTACATAATCGAATCTCTTTAGAAGTATGTCTCGTTTACAATTTTTCACTTACGATTTAACGTGGAAATGATTTATGGGTACAAGTATATGATATATCTATACTCGATCAGTATATTAGAGTGAACTCAAAATTTTCAAATCTCGTGGCAACTGCTAGACTAAAATACAATGAGGTCTATATTTTCAACTTCAGTTAAAACAGATAATCTGACGATTATTCAATGTCAATGATGAGCAATTACCTCACTTTTGATATGGTTAAACTACGCTACTAGGGATTTTTTTACTATGCAATGATGACACAAGTTGATTCAGTAAACTGTAAGGACATAAGACATAGTGTTAACTTGTAGCTTATTAATTGAAAAACTAAACAGAATTGAAATAATGAGCATTTTTAGTTAAAGTACGTTTGATTTTTTCATAAATTAACTCATTATCTTGCCACCAACATCTCCTTCACGTATGTACTTTAATTCCATTTTAATTGTACACAACAACAATGAATTTTTCCACAAAAATATTATCTAAAAAACAGATACAAACAAATTGTACCGTAAAACTAGAAGTAACTAAGTATTCGCATAAAAATACATAGACATACTACTGAATTTATTGGAAAAATAATCATGAAATAAACTGTTATATATAAGTAGGGGAAAACGTACACTTTTGCCAGACGCTCGATTTTTATGCCATTGAATTGTACGATGATAACATAATAGAATTTCCCACATATTTTGACAAATCGATCTCAAACACCGTAGTAAAGTCCAATGTGGAAGTTGCTATGAACAATAATATAAAAAGAATAAAGAGGATACATATTTAATGAGACGCATCAATACTGTGGAGCAGCTGTTTAGAGGTAATTAAACCTCATTTGATCTTGGTGGATTTTAAGACTCAGATAGCATTAGTGGTCACATTGCAACTTGACTGACAGAATTCAATAAGCATTAATTAATGAGGACTAGACAAACGTAACATAGGTCATCCACAACTTATTGATTAATTATTTTTATAGTTGAATTCATGAGTCCATATTAGCTAGGCCACCAGTGAAAGCCTAGAAGCTCTGAATGGCAGTTTCGTCCTAGTATGGGACTGCTCAGCAATGCGTATCCACGACTCACCACGCGGAACTCGAACCCAGGACCTTCAATTTTGAGTGCGAACGCTCGACGTCTGGACTATTGAGCCAATATCCAACGGTGTTCATGTTTAACCCTAATCGTAGATCAGCCCGTGAATTCAACAATTAAACATACTTCAATCTCCACAAATCCCCGTTCTGATTAGTCAATTGTAAATATTTTTCCTACAGAAGGTCAATTGTGGCTCAAGTCGTCTGGTGGAAAAGTCTTTGATCTTATTGTCAAGTGCCGTACGTCGAAATACACTAGGGAGTATCAGTCCCTACAACATTGAAGGTTGGTCGTTGATATTAAGTATCAATTGACAAGAAATTTCGGTCGTAGGTTCCCTAAAGACTATGTTCAATCACCTAACAGTATTAGTAGTCACATAATCGAAAGTTGGACTTGAATTTATGTGTACACAATGAGTTGCAATAAACCTTTATAATAATATATACACATAGAAACATATTCTTACTATCTCATGTATACTTACCCAATAACTTCTTACTCATTGGGTTGCGAATATATACTACTTATTTTAGTGTATCATAATCAGATTGAATTTTATCAAATATATGAACTTATAGAAACATTTCATGATAGCCAATTTTTTAAAATCATGTAAGTCTAAAAAATAAACTTGTTCATGCACAAGGGTTGACCATTTGAGCTGTTAACAATGTCAAGTGACTATTCAGAGTTAACGATAATGGAGAAAATTTATAGTTCAAATGGATATAAATTTTACTGGTGCTGCAGTGTCCGTGGAGCCCCTCCGGGGGCTACTACCGGTCCCAAGCCGGGATAAAGGAGGACGGTTGGGCACGGGGCTAGCAACCCCATCTCGTAGAAAACTAACTCGCTAAAAAAACGCTAACCAGAAAATGCTGGTCGGCGACCTATGCTCCATTGGGAGTAACAGGCGTAAGTAAGTAAGTAAGTATAATCACGATGTTTTCAGACAATATCAACAGTTTACTATATCCTTGATGTGATTAAAATCCATTTATTAATCTTATAATTTCAATTGTGTATTTTGTTAAATTCGTTAAGTGAATACCATAATAAATTTTAAAATCTCAACGGACAGACCATACTTTACCCATACAAAAAAACTCAGTTGAAAAAGCTCTTTTTTTATTTTTATACAAAGTATGTGAATACTGACCACTCACTTGACATAATTCTGGATAAGAATGATCAGTAATTATCTTATTCCCAGATGTATCTGGCTGAGATGCTGAATGCACATGAAATTGAACGAGATAGAATGATTTACGTTGTATAGCTGCTACATAATGCATTTGTAATTGAGCAAATGTCGTCTGAGTACTTCCTAGTAATCTGTATATTTGTAAAAATAACAATATCAAATGATTGGCATTAGCTATATACATGAAACTATGAAAAGAATGTTATCCTTTAATGGTGCCGTGACCTGGCTCCAATTAGATCGGAGGATGATGTTATCGCTATACACATTCCAGTTGTCCTCATATATTGTTATCGACATAAGTCGCGTTAGTGAATAACGGGATTAAATAAGCCAAATACGAAAATGAAGTTCGAATATACATATTTCGTACACTCATTGATCTGAACAGACAATCCGAGAAACGAAGTGATGTGCAGCAGAGAAGGCGAGTGAACCAACTCCATTTGACCAAAGAGTAACTCAATATGTTACAGACACGTAATGACCAGGGTGAGCAACTAACACACATACGAACATATCACAACAGACAGGGCTGATAAGCGAATAAGTGACAGGGTAGAAATGTGGCTTGAGAAGAATGAATAAATTGGTCTGTTCAGAAGCTAGACTAACCTATGTAGGCTCGACATAGTAACAACCTCTACAATCCTGTTCTGAATTTTTTCGGTAGCAGAAGAAGTCGAGTGAGTTAACCAACAAGTCATGGTTACCAAAAACAGCTCATTCTCTCCTGATTCTTAAAGCTCAAAGCTATGAAGATATTAGGAGCGTGATTAGAATTCTAAAAACACTGCGGTTAAAATCACTATCAGTTTCATTGAACAATCGGTGTACGCACAAAAGCCTAATCCTTTCTATATACATATAATTATTAATGGCTTTATTCAATATTATATTTTGGTACAATACAGAATTCGCAGTATAAAGTTTTTCAACAAGTTTCTTTTACAAAAATGGAAACAAGAAAGGGAAAAGAAAAAAAGTGAAAAAAGAACGGAATCTGTACAACTTTTCAAATTAGAGAAATATTTAAGAATACAGGCTATTGACTAGGTTAACTCTGACAACCTGTTCGTCACAGAGTATATTTGCTTTCGGTCATGGATTTTAATGTATTTATGTCTCCTTCTATCAGTAGATTTACAAGGAGAAAGATATGAGTGAAGGGGATAGTTATTATCTGGTAAGATAACACCTGCCAGGAGTTTGCATGACTTTAGATGTCTATCCACACCTTGCTAATTGCCTTCAGCACTCTCCGCAATACAGCAGTCTTTTCTCAAAAACCCGGGAAACAATAATGGAGAAGAGTAACGAATAATAGGTAATACGCAGGAATCGACAAATTATAAGAGTAAATGTCGAGTAATCCCTAAACCATGCAGCCTCTTTATGTAGTAAGTCAGATGGAAAACTTTCTTCGATAACACTAAAACGTGAGAAGATGAAGAGAGATCAGAGGAAGAAGTAACACAAAGATAATTGACCTGAGACACTTTTTATCAGTCTCCAACGGCACAAGCAATATGGGAGCCCAAAATGGTGTTTAGGTGCTGTTCATGTCTCAGGCTATAGTTAACAACTTGCAATTTGGTGGATTAAGCATGAAATCATAAACAACAGACCACCATTCAATACGAAACAAAAACTTATTCAATTCTATGGGATGTAAAGTGGTAGAATTCGGCATACATACCGTGAGATCGTCTGCATATTTCACAAAGTTTTTTCTGTGGAAGATGGTAAATCATGCATAAGAAGACAGAAAAGAAGAGGTGAAAGAACAACTTCTTGTGGCACACCCTCATGAGACAATAGAGACATTGAACACTTTCCTCCAAACACAGTGTCCTGTTCTCTTCCAGAAAGGTAGGGACATAGCCAATTGATTACACAGCTGTCATTGTGGACGCTGATTATCTTGTTAAGTAAAAGTTGTATTGGGATAGAATCAAAAGCAGAAGTATAGTTCGGAAAAATGCATCGAACATACTTCTTACCCTTTTACAAATTGAACAATATATTGCGATACAGAACAGCAACGGCATCTAAGATGCTTTTTTTGCATTTTTAAGCAAACTGATACGGATCAATGTGCTCTTTTATTACAGGCTGAAGTGGGAGTATCAGTAATTTTCCCATTGTTTTGAGGAAAGGTGAAGTTGTTGCTATGGGTCTAAATTTCACATTCTTATCATCAGATACTTTCTTTGGTACAGAGATTATCTTTATCTTTCTCCACATTTTCGGTATGAGATTAGTTGAAAAGGATATTTTAAAGATACACGTGAATGGATAACGCAGAACGTCGGCACATTTTTAAAAAGATTTGGGATACCATCAGGTCCTAAACATTGGGATGAATTAAGTGACTGGAGACATTTTCGGACATCAGTTTCAGTGAAACTAGGAACACAACTATTTTTCTAACCTGTGGATAAAGAGAGCATAACATCAGGTGGCTGACTTGTTTCAAGCACAAACATTTAGCTGGTTATCGCTTCTAATGTGCATGTCACCTGTAAGTTCTTTAAAGAGTTTCCACATACTTGGAGAGTTTTTACAAGATAGGGGTTTCTGAGTAAAAAAAAGAGTTGACTTGTTTAATCTCTAGGTTAATTAGACCGTTTAGCTTACGAACTCCAATAGTTTTTCTCTTTGCACATTCTTTCTTATACCTTCTGTAGTCGTTTTACTTGTGGAGATGTAAGTCGATCAAAACTTTTAAAAGGCGTTCAGTGGGATAACAAATATCAAAACAGAATTTAAGATAACAAGTGATAAAATCAACACGATTTTCCAATGAGTCATCTGTAAATAATTTCCAGTTAGTCGTACGAAACATGTTTTTCAGATTTTGAATATTTTCTGCTGGGTAATTCCTATATTTGACTTTCTTGGTCTGATGTAAGAGTGTACTCTTATCATGCTTTCCATATACTGTAGGTAGAACACAAATTATACAGTGATCTGAGCTAGACAATGGAGCACGTTTACGAGTCATATATGTACCCACACCATCAATGAAAACGAAGTCCAAATGAGCATCCAAACGAGTAGAAAAATCTACTACGTTTTGGTGATCTAGTGACGTAAGGAAGCTACAGTTACATGAATTGAAATCCTTAGGCAAAACAGTAGGTGACAAAATTATACACGGGGCAAGATACTGAAAGAACTCGGATATGTGTCTAGTCAAGGTCTTACCTATATATCCTTATCTGAATCAAAAGGACGGATGTATATATACCCATGATTTGTATACTCAGTTATTTAGTTAGTCAATTTAAGCTTCTTAATTATGTCTCATTCTTCTCACTTGCGTCGGTGGTAGGGAAAGTGTATATGAGGCGTACCTAACTGAATCGGACGATTATGGGACGGAACAGCGTCTGCAGTCTTGAAAGGATCTAATATTACAACTATTAGCACTGAAGAACTTTAGTAGTAACCGACATTTTCGTAAGACTGACATATTTATACTAGCAGATCACGGAGTGAGAAACAACCATTATCTCCTAATATTCTCTCTGAATCTTACAAGAGTTCAGTGCCGCGATGTGAAATAGCATTGTTGTAATATCTTTCTCTAATACTGAAAGTACACGTATACATGACTTACTCAAATGCACGCTGAACAGTTGAGTATGATTTCTCGTCAAAATGTTCACAGCTTCTTTGTAATTCTGAATCTAATTTCTCATCAATACGTAATTCTGATGCTTTCAACTTGCTATGTATGGATCTTTGAGAAACAGAGACAATAACAAAAGACAGTGGTAAATATAAAGAAATTAAGAAGGTTTGTGGAAATGAAGCTTGATATTTAATCAAACATTAGATATTGGTATGACGGCAAAATAAAATTATTTACGTTTGTCAATGTTTGCTACTATTATATGATTACATGACCAGTGACTGAGTTGGGAATATTAGCAGTAAACTAAATACTCGACCGATACGCTAGACACATATTGGATCACGTTATAACAGATGCACGATTTAAGACCAGAATAAGAGAATCAGAGTAACGATTGAACAGTAATTTATTTAACACAATTACAAGCAGTCTACACTCAATGAGTTCAGAGTAGGAATCACTAGCTGGAAGGATATCACACATTAAATAGCCAGTGAGTTGAATGTCTATTAGTTTAAACTTACTGACTAATCACATCCTAATTTCACTAAATATATTTCAGAAATTAAAAACTAACGATGTAATTTGCATACAGATTAGGAATTGAATTCCGAGAACTATTTCTATAGCACACTTAACAAAATATTCATTAACTTCTACATACTTGTTGTTCACTATTTAACGAACTTGATATAGTGGTTAACTTTTAGGGAGAAACACTCCGTTTGATCAAAAAGGCCTTGGTCTTATTAGCACATAACAAGAATTAAACTCGGACAGTAGATGAAATGTGTATTGCAATTTGGTACAGTAATGGAAACTTATATCATTATTTGAAAGAATCCCTTAATTCTTAATATTTAAAACTGCATTCGACCAGTCTTTGTTAATGTATGGAATGTCCAAAAGTGATGTCTCTTGGTAGTTATGGATGAATAGGTGGAATACATGAAACTGTGAAGGCTATTCTAGGGTTGATTACATATGTGTATTTACTAAATATATTTTTAAATTGACCTAATTGTAAGCTTTTATTTGACTCAATATCTATTTATATATGTCATACTGTCCATCAATTACACTTAATTGTTTATTAACCCATTACTCAGTTTTCTACTACGAATTGTCTAGCTATTTACAGACTGTCCTTTGTTATTATTAATGAATTCTGGTCATCTAATCCACATATATTATCATTCGAGTTGTGAGTAATAAAATATACAAATTGAATCAACTTGGTTTTATCGTTTTCTAATTGTGCACGTTGAGGACAGAAGTCTCGCAGGCCAATCAGTGTCAGTATCAGTTCGTCAGTCAATCAGCTAAAATGTAAGATCAGGCACATATATGCATCGGTCCAAGTTGCTATACATCATTAGCACAACCAGATGAACACCAAATTCATAGAAGTGGTTAATTCAATGGTGGTAATATATAAAAGAAAGATTGTATATAAGGATATACTACATGAAGCGGCGTCAGTATACTTAATCGACAAGACAGGTACAAAGAAGGTCACTAGTGTTACTTGACATAAGCGAATTTGTTAATATTGGAGTTGATAAATAAGTGATTTTAATAAGTGAGTATACAGAAGTGAGGAATTCTCCTCAATATATTGACGGTCAAAAATTCTCATTATATTCTTCAATAGTGGCTAGCGAAATATTCAAACCCTGAAGTGCGAATATATGTAGTTGATGAGACCAAAAAGGGACAAAATGCTTAACTGGATTTTTACTCTTAGCCACTATCCAAAAATATAAATATAAACCATCGAATAGTGGCATTTGAATTATTTCATGTTATATAAGTGGGTCAGTTTAGACATATAATGCAACAGTACACCATTCAACTATATTTATGAACTGTACTGCCTTGAATGGCAATAAATAAACAATTAAGCTGTTACTAATGTGATAAAAACTATTTGCAATGAGGTTAGACCAATTTTTATTTATTTATGTTCTCAATAAACTTCATACATGAAATACAATGTTCCATTCTATGTCTACATAGGTTTGCTTTTTATTTAGAACACAAAATTTTTTCAAAACCATTTACATAATTAGCGGCTTTGTGAATTTTGCTGGTTCTAAAAAGGTTCTCTTTTATACTAGAGCGAGAAATGGAACAATCATTAAAATCATAGAGAAATGGATAATTTATTATTCCACATTGGATTCCCAAATGAACCAACGTCATTAAATTGTATCAGAGCTGTGAAAACAAACTGTGGACCTTGTGTTGAACAATTTACTTCTCATAAGATGAGAATTCAATCGTTAACTAGTTTTCAAATTCATTGTATCCAAATTAAAAAAGTGCTCACCTGCCTACAGTACAAAGTCAAGCGAACTATAAATATACGTCTGAAGTCAAGTGAGTGATATATTGTTGTATATAATGGTATTTCAGTAAGAAAGCTAGGGGCAGCCAGACCAAAACATGGCATAAGTCCATGAAGTCACTGACAGGTGGTCTGAGTCATGTCGGTAGGTGTAGACTACCTGGTTGGGGACCGCGAGATGATAGCAACCGATGGTTAGAGGCCCTGAATGACATGGCTCAAAATCGTTTGCAATGGCGCAGGTGCATACTCTTTGTGTTCTCCCAAATTTTGATCTCCTTATTCCTCCTTGTCTCTTTTTTTTCTCTTCCCAAATTTATTTCACTGTATTATACTCTTTAAGTAACATCTCCAAACACTAATTTTCCCGATAACTGCTTATACTCTTATTACCTCTACCACTACGGGATTTGAATCGACCACTGCATCTCTGTGCTAATGTGGTGTGGCAACTCGAACTGATGTACGTACGTACGAAGTTCTACGTTGTTACTGACTGACTGACTGATATCTATAAATCTTAATAACAAAAACTCATCCAGCATTTTCTAAATACGACTAGTTATTCAATACATTCTAGCCACCACAAACTGAGCATAACTGAGATATAGGAAACATTCATGATGTTAAACATATACATTGTGAAAAATCTAATTCTACAACTTACTCAATACACCGGTATGAACGGAAATCTTCCAAAAGGACAAGACTTTCACGATGTAGTTGAATAGCATCATAAAAGTCACCTTGCTATAAAAAAACAAATAGAACAAACGAGTTTCTAAGGAATAAATGACACAGCTCAATCATAAGTTTGGGACTATTAAGTATTACATGCTAACGACCCCACCAGAAATTGAAGCCCAAAACGATTAGGGCCCATAACAACCACTTTATATATGAACCATTGAATTCTTGATTTAATCCCCTATTATGAGATCTTTGGCATGCACTGTCGAAGAATTCTACACAAGAGCAAAACAGTTGTTCAGTGCTGCTTGGTTCTCAGTGACTCCATAACTAAAAACAGACATGATGTAAATCTCTAAAAGCAACCAATGCTAAGATGTATCATCGTTTCCGATCAAGATAACTATTACGTTGTATAAGGTTAAATGGTATTTTACTGATTAAATAACGGAAGTTAATTGACTAATAGAACTTCAGTGAATCAAATGAAGCGCATCACAATAATCCATTTTTCTAATCAAAATTACTTTCAAGAGTTTCGCAACATGATAAAACAAACATCCGTGCAATTGTTATTGATATTGCGAACCAACCTAAGCTAGATATACAATGAAAACCAAGAAGCACTAGATATTTGTACGAGAGTTTTCAGCAGTGAGTGACTCAAGACCTTCGGTCTCGCTCTTGAACGGTTAACCACTGGAACACTGAGTCGATATATAAAGACAATAATGTCTAACTTCAATCAATTGCAACCATAATTCATTGTTTTCAGTGGGTAATTGCCTCATACCCGGTACGTTTGAGCTTTTACAGAGTTGGATACTAGGACGAACCAATTGTCCAGAGCTTCCTGGTTTTCAATGAAAGTCTAATTTAGGTTGGTTCGTGATATCAACACCATTTAGTAATCTCCACAAAAATTAATCCGTTTTTCATACCAAGGATGTTACATCGAATTTATTCAATACTTTGTAAATGAAGAGAAATGTTTCCAAATAACGTTAAATTCTAAAAATAAGATAAGCTTTGCTATCAGATGGATATTATTACTTCTACAGAAAAAAAACATTTTTGAAGATAAAGACCAACTATTGGTTGGACTCGAGCATTCAATGTTTACAATAACGGTTTTAATTGATCATGTAGACACTCCTATCAATTCATAACTTTTGAATTTTAAGTAAATTCAAAAGGGTGGTAATATGAATAAACTTTTATTTCAAGACTAATTTAGGCAAACAAAATATATGAACCAAACAGATCATTGAAGCATTTGGAACTGTCGTAATCACGTGAACTACTGCTGATAATTGAAAATGGGAAAACCGCTGAAACTTCCAAAATATCCTCAGAAGATTTATTACATCTTCTAAATAAGTTGATAGTTGTAGTAATGACAAACTACTATATATATATATATATATATATATATATATATATATATATATATATATATATATATATTTGCCGCTCTCTATAACCCAACTACTTCTAAACTTTAACTAAGACAAGGAGAGGAAAGGCGCGAAACGTAAGACCTTTACTCTGGGATTAATGTAAGCACAGAAAATTGAGGGTATTAATCGAGTTGTGTAACCTTCGTCTTCTGAAACATCTTGGCAACATACTTAATATGGTAACAGTTTGGGCAATTAACTAAACAAAAATATAACAGGTAATTCTTCATGTTTTTAGATATTTCTGAGAAGTTACTATTCAATGCAAATTGGATACAAAAACGTTTTCTGGGCTTCTAGAGACTTAGTTTTGGACTATCCAACATAAACAAATACGTAATTGATATGATTAATGGACAAAATCTAACACTGTCTGCCTAACTTTGAGAACTAATGATAATTAGTTACCTTCCTAAATTGAAATGGGTTAAGTGATGCTCCAACCGGCAACCCAAAAGTTGGGATCTGAGAGCACAAATCGCTTCACAAGAAGACACAGCACACTACTACTTCTATATTAATAATAATAATAATAATAATAATAATAATAATAATAATAATAATAATGATAATAATAATAATAAAATAGTAATAAACGTGTTGGAAAACATTAAAACAGAAATACGATTACAAATCCTACTTTAATGAGTGTATCAAGCCGGTGAACATTATTTTGTAGATTGCGCAATCGAAATAAAATGTTTAGTGTTTGTTTCAGCCTTAATTGTCTACGGTGATTACGTAAAACAATTAATCGTGATAAAACCAATGTTTTGTCAGCTTGTTTTAACGAGCTATTATAAAATGAAAAGAGAAAGAATACTAGAATCAAAGATAAACAAGAAAACAAAAGTATCAAAGCAATTCATGATATGTTTCATCAATTAATTGAAAGTATTTAATATCAAAATATATTTTTCTGTTTACTAGTGGCCAGAATTATTGTCCTTGCCTAATTTCTGCTTCATTTTGATAAAAACACTTATATTTGGCCTGCAATACTTGCATATTAAACAAACGATTGAGCCAGTCTAATATACAAACGGTATTATTGTGAGCTCGATAGTGAGAGTTGACAGTGCACAACACCTCAACAATTTCATTGGAATTGTGAGCCGATATAAGTTAGACCACCATTGAAAGTCTGGAAGCACTCGATGGGCATTTCGTCCTAGTATGAGATGACTCATTGGTGCACATCTATGAATCCGCAACCTGGAACTGAACAGAGGGTCTTTGATCTTGCGCGCAAACACTTAACCATTAAACCATTAAAACGATATCCAGCGGTGTTATTATCTAATTCAAATCAATCCCTGACATTATACTTCAAAAATTAGTCGCACTAACACAGGAAAAATTGATATACAAACAGAACAACCTGAAATGATGCAACTCAGTATATGTAGTAACGAAGGCATGACTTTGAAGCACATGGAAAATTAGTGAACTGCATGTAGTGTGACAACGAATCGGTAAAATCCAAAGGTTATGAGAAAAATTAGATAAGAGAAACGGCACTCGTGCTTATCGTTGTTACTAGTAAAATTTTAACTTTATTAACGAAAATTGAGTAACCCCGTGATCATCTTATCACTATCATAGTTAATGACTAATCCTACTGATCAAATAGCTTTAACAGTTATGAAAGAACTAATCAGCATTATTACTTAATATTTTACTGATTTCATCTTAACACACGCCTAATTCACTATAATTGTTCCGAAATCATTAGTCTACAAAATTAGAGATGTGCATGAATCCATATCCCGATTGTCATTAAGGACTTACATTTATGGTAAAAACTCCAGGTAAAGTACTGAAGCCACTTAATATTCAACTAATTGAGTTAGATTATATGACAGTTATTGTGCCCACTAATGGCTAATTTCAAGATGCAGCTCCTGAAGTTCTAATGAAAAACCATGCCTAGTGGGATCCAGTTATATCGGGTAAGAGAAAGTTATCCATCACAGGTATTAGATGAGGGCTGAGTAATATTGTGAATTGACTGAAAGTAAATATTAACATCGTTGGATCCCGGCTAATTGATCATAAAGTTAGGTGTTTACACGCGAGACCGAAGGTTTGAGTTCGAATCCCGGACATGCGGTTGTGGATGTGCACTGGTGAAAAGTTCCATACTAAAACGTGATTCCAGAATTTCAATGATGCTCTAACTAAGATCAGTTCGTGATTTAAATGATGAAAGTTATTTTTCTTATTCTGAGTATAAAGATTAGGAATATTCTACAGTTAACTGTGATGTTATCACTTAAGCAACAAAGCTTTCAGCGTTGATTAAATTTAATCGGTTAATTCTGAGAAGTAGCCATTAAATTATAAAGGTTACGTGTTAAATATAACACTGAATGGTTGGAGGCAATCAGACAATAATAGGACAAAGCTAAATTGGTTACCATTTAAGTTATGGAATAACAGGATGTAAACCTATTTCAAGAACTTCGTTGAATGAAACTTATTTTTTAAAAACTGGTGAACGGATTATGGCTACATATATTACTACTACCATGTAATTATGAGCTACCTTTCTGAAATGACTTAGTGGATAGTTTATTTATGAAGTGGCCAAAATGAAGACATGATATCAGTGAATGTAGCCACTGGCTGTTGGACTGAATCACGTTGATAGATTTGTACTTCAAGTGTGAGATCCAGAACAAAAAATATAATCTGTAGTTCGAGACGACAGATTACGTCATTCAAAATCCGTAGCACCAGTACAGTTGAACTTATATTCTTTATCGTCCTTTAAGTCTGGAGCTTAATATTAAGTTAAACCGTTCGTTCTTTGATACTGTTCGTTTCTTTAGAACCAGAGTTCATATGTTTAAATGTTAGGGATGTAGAGGAATATACCAATCATTATCATGTTAAGTCTAATGATGTCCTTGGACTTAAAATGGACATTCCCTATTGGCCATTATTTATTTCACTCGTTAAATATTGTACAGATGTCTTCTATTTTTATGGTACGATGTGGTCTGTTTGGTTGGTATATAAACAGAGTATATTTGAAATATAACGATTCATATCTCAGAGGCTATGACTTGTGTTCTGGACTCAACTGGCTGGGATAGACAGCGAAGCAGGGCCAATCGGGACTCTAGGTCGTTCATTACGTGTTTTCTGTCGCCGAATCGATCAATAAAACGCTGCTCCACCCATAAACTGCAATCCACACGTTACAACATTAAATTCGCATTAATGTAGGCAGTAGTACATCTCTTCCTTTACTTTCTCTAGATAATTTGCTTTATTACTGTGTTCATGTAAAGTATGGTGACACTTTGGATTGGCATATATTTGTAACAGTTTCTACTTCCTCGTCTATTGGTGACTCTAATATATGTATCACTTACATTCAATCACCTAATAAGAAGTTAAGAAATGAATCACAAACAACTCTAATTTCTGAAATACTAATACATATTCCTTGTTTAAAAAAGAAGGCATTTACTTTCTAATTTCTCGACACATGCACAATGTTTCCCAGTTATCTGATTGTAATGATAAAACACCTTTCAATTCCGCTTCATATTGTGGATGCTTTTCTAGAACCAATTCAGAAACACGTCTAGATACAGCTTTATTTTGACGATCCAACGCTAAAAGACGTAATTTTAATTTGGATAATTCACGACAATTTGGTCCAGCAATATTCTGTGAAATGAAAAGATTTTGGTGTATTTACAGAAAAACTGTTTTTTAAACCACATATAAACGTTTAAATTGGCTAAAATTAAGTGAGGATCTGTTCGACCGCGTTTAAATACATTACTGTGTATACTGAATATCTTGAATTATTCTTGCGGAGAATTATATTTGTAGTGTATAATTATTAAATATCTAGATTGTATCTCTATATTTTTTTCATTATGAGCAATTGTAGGACCTACTAACTGTTGTTATCACCTTGCATTATTCCTTAATTATATCAAATTAACAAATCATATTTTGCTTCATTCTCTCATATATAACTTGATTGTACGTAAGGTGTGATTCTTAGTTTGGAGTATCTTGAGGTCTGATAATTTATGTATAAAAACCTATAAATCTTTACTGTTTTCTCTTACTCGAATTCTAGGCTAATAGTAGAAGAAACAGGTATCCTGGAACAATATGAATTAAGATTGTTCCAGTCTTAGCTCAAATTTGATAGTGTCAGTTAAAATGAATATTTGGTTATAATGTATGACTTTAGTGTGTAGATAAAAACTGAATGGTGCATCTCTCTTTGTAGTGAACAAGAACACCGGTTGGGAACAATCGAATGTATTTGACAACAAATTACAGAACTTGTTAATAAAATCTAACAATCATATAGTAAATGCTTAATTTACAAAATGTCCATCAATTGTCTCAAAATGACTCAGACTCATTGTTCTTGCATTTTCATACAAATTGCATTCTGTTTCCATTCTTTACTGTTCGATCCTCTTGTCTCTCTGCTGCCAGACCTTCTGTTCACGACTAACTACTTATGTTGATCTAAGTTGCACACACCACATCTTAATTGATGTCGAGTAATTCTTTAATTCACATCAGTTTTGAATACAGAGTTGTGTATACTCAATAGTTGACTTCGAACATTACTTTTGAAGGATAAGATAAATCTTAATAATTATTAGTTATTATTCTACTGTTAACTTATTTACCAAGTACAAATTCGGATACTGAGCTTCAAATCACACTTTTATTATGAGGGCTAGTGACACTACTACCAGATTGTTCATGAGGAAGTAGGTGAAGTCGGATTCGATCCTGTGGTTTAGTGTCTGAAAGTCGATAACGTCTTAACCACTGAGCTACCACTCCTCAATCTTAATAACAAAATAAAAATGTCAAGAATTAATCAATGCTTCTTATATATAGTTGCCATTATTACTTATTCAACGTTATGAATTTTGTAGGTATGATGGTGAAGAACAATGAATGAAAAATGAAAATTGAAGTGTAACTGTAACCAGAAAGTGAGAGAGAGAAATGAGCACATGTTTGACAAAAACGAAAAGCAGTATATCCAAATTTGCACAGGACAGGTTAATAAAAAACGTAAGAATAAAGATTTGTCTTGAATGAGCTCAATATGTGGAATGTAAACATTCTGCCTTAGACTGTAACGTTCCGACCAACATTATAACTATCAATATTACTAGTCTTTCAAATCTTAAATAGGTAAATTGTTATTTCCTTGCCATATACGATTACCGTGAATACGACTGCCAAATTTAGATACGCGGACTTATACGACCAACAAATGACCCGAATAAACAGCCTGGAGTCTCGATTGTTCCGCTGTCCTTGTCTGTTAAGTTCAGAACACAAATCTCAGCCTCTGCGATAAGAATCATATATTCCAAATATACTTGAGTTATATACAAGTCAAGCAGACCACATCACACCAGAAATAGAAGATAGCATTTGTAAAAGATCAAACCAAAACGTGGTTGTGGTTGTAATAGACCGTAATTAATAAACTGGGCGTAACTTAAGAATTGGAAACAACATTGCTTGCATAAATATACATGTGTTATTCTAATTTAAACAAGGGGACCTAATAGCAATTCAAAGAATAATTATTATTAATAGTATTGAACAAATTTTCAAAAACTAACTAGTATATTATTTAACCAAATGATTTATTCAGTTAAATGATTGGTTTCTAGAGATTACATATGGAGCTTAGACTTCAGCAAAACATACGTAACATATAAGGTTCAGCTATTTTAAACACTAATGAAGTACAAATGACAGTTACTTTCATATTTTTATTATCTAAGGAAAGATAATTTCGGATTAGAAGTAACCTAGAATTCATAAAAACAATGGAGATTACATTACTGCTTTCATGATCAATTCAATAAACGCTAAAGATCAGCTATAGTTGGTTTTCTTTTAGTCCACTTTAAATAATGGCGGGAATTCAATAGTTAAAGCAACAAGCTTTCAACTATTGAATTACAGCTTCAAACTCCCCTTGACTACCTCAGTTTAAGCAACCACTAAGTATCACTGCTTTTCTCTCCTACTGACTTGATGGATGAATCCTAAACTCATTAAACAGTGGATGACCTACAAAATCGATTTGATCTTGCTGCATATGTCATGTGATCATGTTATTATTTAGACAAAAAAACATTTGATCTTCTAGTTGGCGATCTTGTGTCTTTAATATTAATTCAACTGGGTTCTTACGTCAGTTATTCCGTCTGATGATCAGCTATTACTTAACCACATAGTATTAATGTATTTTATATATTAATTGGGATTCTATTCACTCATTATAACAACTAAAAATCTCATTCACTTATCAAATTTCCATATCATTAACAATTGGAGATGAGATTAATATACAAGTCTCAGTTCGGTTGATATCTAGTTCAAATTCGCTCCTGATCCAGATTATAACACTCATTTACAAATAAAGTGTGGCCCAAAACTGATTGGATTAAGCCTACACTAGACAACTGATTAATAGATTTGAGGGTTTCATTAACTGATGAAAAACTAACCTAAATAGAACTTCAAATTCATGCATTATCGTAAACTGAATCGATGTCAGTGTTTTCTTTTACAACGGGGACAGTATTTACATGTAGATCAATGCTAGTGAACCGGTAACTGCAAAAACACCGGTCAGTATAAGCAGTATTGCTCAAGAAGTGCTCAGTATGAAACCCCATGTGAATTACTAATTGATCAGAATTAAATAATTATTATTATCATTCCTTTCATTATTATTATCATTATTACTAATTCCGTTCACAACCGTGAGTAGTATTGGTCCAATTTTCAGTGACCTGAAGTTGGTAAATATCTATGTAAATGAAAATTTAGATTTTTTTAAATCCTGTCGTGTGAAACTGAAATATTTTTTGTGGGATAAATATATAAAATTAAAGTATACTGTTAAGAAAACCCAATCCCGTAAAATAGAATAACACAGAGGTTATTCAGCAGTCATTAAGATTTAAAATAAGGATTTTTAAAAAGTTGTTAGTATAAGGAGTCTGAGGAGATCTTTGAATTTTATAGTTAACATAAATAACTAGCTTTAGCTAGATAACCAATGAAAACCAGGAAGTATTGAACAGATGTTTAGTTCTGATATGGAACTCCTGTGTTTGTGTATTTACATCAGTGATTAGTAAAGGTTCAGCTATGTCAAATGTGAAGCAGTTACTCATCAATGTAATTTGAAGATGGTTGTACAATATCGTAAGCCGACTGAAGTTAGAAATAACTCAGTGGCCTGAAGCTTAAGTACTCGCCGCGAGAGACCAGAAGAATGTTTCAGGTTCAATCCCTGGTAGTATAACGGATGTCGACTGCTAAGGAGTCTCATATTAGAACGAATCAGCCGTCTATTGCTTCAGGGTTTTCAATAGTTATCTAATTAAGGTCAATTCATGATACCAACTATAAAAATCTTCGAAAAATAATTGCCCCATCCTTTATGATTTTAGAATATTGTATAAATAATCTTAATTTGTAATCGATTTGATTAGTCCTGATAACAAGGACCACATTCATGTGATAATTACTTGAACTAGACTCAATATGAAAGCAAAATGTAGGAAGATGTTTATTATCCGATATAAAATCGGTGTCCATTTAACTTGTTTGGTTTAATAGGCATTTAGCAAAGAAAAAATTAGAAATTTCGAAAGAGTGAGACGATATACACTATCAAATTTAGTAAATATTTAGCACATTTTAATGTCTGTAGAAACATATTTTAGAAAAATGATTATATCTATTACATGCTGTTAAGAGTATCACCTATATGATCCTCCAAAAATCTAAATACGTTTAGATAAGCACAAGTAATGTAACTCAGTTGACAAATACAGCTTCAAATACTAGATATTTAGCCGCGCTATCTGCGTGAGAACTAGTAGTGTTGTAGCTACCATACGGTTTAACCTGAAGGAAACTGAAGAGGATTCGAAAACACTATCCAGTGGCTAAATATTTAGCACTTTAATTATCAAGAAGAACCAACCAGTTTATAATACCGTTTTACTATCAGAGCATTTATAAATGATCTTAACTGAGTAGTTTATTTTTATCGACCAGCACAACTTACTTCAATTTCATATTTTCCAGAGTCGAATGTCATTGAATAATAAACATCTTCAACATTATTGATCAACTCTTGCATAACATGTGGATCTCGAGTTGGATTCGGTGAATCGACAGAGCTCTGTAAAAAGAAATTGATTTAAAAAAATACGAGAATAACAATAAGAGAAATCTAGTCAAAAGTGTATGGTCGTAGGTTTTGCATTAATGGGAAGTTAAAGAGTAGGATAAGATAGCTCTTTGTTTGTACCGTTTTCTCCACTCGAAGATTAAGTTTGAATCCACTGAACCGGTCATTATCGCACAGATGCATTCACTTTTTATTCCTCTCTAGTATTCCTTTATACCTTTTTTCAGTTGGTTGTTCTGTACCATATCCTTGACGCTTAGTCTTTCTCATATTACGCGCTAGTAATTAGCTAAGTGGTACGTTTTATAAATTTCCAGTTGAAATCATTACTTGTTAGGCCAGTTAAGTCAGAACTGAAGGTTTTGACAGTACATAACACTGACTAAGGCATTACCTTATATTACAAAAATTAATTAAATTTTAAAACATTAACCATCGAATTTCAACTCAGTATTTTTCAGAGTATCGCAGAATGAGTGACAAAATGTCAATAAATATACAGGATTTAATCCTATGTGATGTCATGGGTGGACACAGCTAAGGCATCCCAAAATGAGGTTGGATATCCCTTTACTGATTCATCAGCGAGTGTCAATTCTCGGTAAAGTTTACTTTTGAAAATGATATTTACTTGGAATCATGTTGGAAGCCCTGTGATTCTATCCATTTAAATCAGTCAGTCACACGTAACGTTAGCATACTACATTAACATAGGGAGATAAAATTATTTTAAAACGAATCCCGAAGTAGGAGTAGTGACAACATCAGTAGTAGTAAAGATTTATTCTAGGAAAAAAAGATAAAAGACTTCGGGACTCCGGTCCCAGGGTAAGAAAAAGAGTGAAAGTGCCTGCGCCATTAAGTTTTAATTTATTCGTTTTCTAACGTTAAGAAATGTTCAAGAACAATAAGTAAGTTTACACAGAAGAATGGTTGATTTAAAGAGCCATAGAGATGTATGGTATCCTAATAATAAGAGTATGATTCTTTACGTTTGTTATGTCCTATGACCCATCAAATATCAAGTGATAAAACCACCAACCAGAATACCAACTTCTATGACCTTTTTCGTCGTACTAAACTAATTACACGTCAACTAGCACCAACAATTTTGAGTCAGCTCTGAGTCCATAGTGTTCCTCTGTATAACGACTTCCTGCTTAGCCCAGACCGTTCAGTACAAAACACAAATATCAGCCTCCGCTGTATGAATCGTATATTTCAGACATATATGGTTTATATGCAAACAGACCATATTGCATCACACCATAAAGTAAAAAACAATGATCATACAAGATCAATTCAAAAGTGCGGAATACTGTAATTGATGAATTGGGGATTAGTTAAGCATGGTAAATCGTATAACAGTAGCAGAATATATCATTACTACATATTCCTGATGTTGTGACCTTGTATGCACGCATCAAGTTACTGGCAACCAGATAGCATAAATAGCATTCCTAAGATGATATTTATCGAACCAAATAACTTATCTGCTCTACCATTTCATTAATCACAAGACATCCAAACGAACTTGACCGAATACATCACTAATAACCCATTGGAACTAGCTAATCATAGGATTATATAATACCCCCATGCTTAAAAAAGCAACACGATTACGATTAATTAAGCTTGTAATTACAAATTAAACAGAAATTTTAAAATATTGGAACTTCCCGTTGTATAAATTAGAACGACATTAATAAGAAAAGAAAATTGCTCTCAACTAGATCTTCATTGAACTTTAATAAACAGTAATATTTATATCCATATATTAAAAAATATCGGATCAATTAGGGTGGTTTGTGGGTTATACTAATATTTATGTAAACATTTTGCTGATCATGTTTAGTTATGTAATCTACTTCGCTGTTATTATTAACTCAAAAACTACCTCAAACAATCATTACTTAGCGTACAACTGCCCTCATCTGCAACTCTTTCAACGTTGAACACGCCAGTTGTACCAAACTTTTGCGACTATTTAATCGTATATTTAGTGGGTAAATGCTTTACTACTAGTGTGATTTTCATCACGAATCTCAAATCAAACACTAACCCTTACTATGTTGGTGTCTTTATCAAGTAGACAGTTGTAAACAACTAGAGATTCTTGAAATGAAATCTCCAGTGAAAATTATGCATAAATATGCAACACTTAACCAATGAGTTAACGAAAAATGGCCATGAATGCTGGATACTATACACTTATTGAACATAGAAAACGTTGTAAATAACCTCATCCTGTCCATAAAAAATGTGCATATATTTAGAAAATTCTCAAGAACAAAACAGGTGGAATGAACTATTCACAAATAGTATTAAAAACTGGTAAATAACATACATTACTTGTTTGTTTTGATAAAGTAAGCGGTTGAAATGATGAGACCGACTTCTCAACTTCGTCAATATTATTCGGTAGTTTCGAACGCTAAAATGGTTGAAGAAAAGAAAAGGAAACAATGAATATAAAATAAACACCCATAACATCAACAGCAGAAAATCTGGGTTTCAGTTTTTAAAAATATATGTGAGCTAATTAAGGCATATTATGACGATTTATGTAATGTCTTTGGTTTTTGAAGTATGGGCGGTATAAATTTACTAGCGAATTACGGAATATTTTTACTTTACATTTTTAATTCAGGATACTTTGGATGATTTGAATAATCCCGATAGATATTGCTTTTTCTGCTTTCTTGGGACGAGTGTAGATTACCTATTGTTTTTTACAGAATAAATTAATTGTGGCTAGCAGTGGAATCTATGACGGAGGTTTCTACTCATTTGGGATTCGTCATCTAGATGTACCTGGATCCCAGTTTCCATTTTATTAGACCCTATAATAAAGTTGATTCTCGTAAGAAATTTTGCTACACTAGAGGAAACCATCGAAAAATTATAATGCAAGGGACAATTACTCTTGTTTTTAAAGATTCCCTACAGTGAATGTCAATTCGGGATGTAGGTCAATCAATCAGTCTTCATAAGTCCTAAACCAAATTCTGCATACATCGAATGAAATCTGTCAATTTCATCTAATGATATATAATACCCAAAAGAATTCAAATTTCTCGGTTGAAGATCAACTCTATGGAATCCTTCAAAACGATATATAGAAATATACATCCAGAAAGAATTTTTGAAACTTAAAAATATCGCTTTGTTCAAAGGTCACATACTATACAATTATTAACCACATCTTATATCTTTCCAAATTTATGTATAAAAAATTGTTCCATATTCTTTTCCATTGAATTTACATGATTGACAGCATGTAACCAAAATTGTTTAATTTATTTTTAACAATTATTTATTTTCACAGTCAAAATCACGAGTCAATTTAAACTGTGCCATCAATGACAGCCTCTATCCTAGCTAGGAATACATGTTGAGGTAGGTGGCGGTTAGATACATGTATCCTATGTCACATTTACATTGGTTAGCGAAATATCACAGCCTTATTAATAGTTTTCCATCCTCATTTGGTGCCCTATGTTTAACTTCAGTACTGTTCAATTGGTTGTTCCAAGGTACACAAGTAATGCATTAGTAACACCTACAGTCAAAAACTTCCAACATACGCCGGTCTTACACTTTTATAGGTCCCTACCACAACTATGGTACAGAATAGATTGCTGTACAGTATACTCTCACTGGTTGGAAAATGGATATCGCGCCTACGACACTAATAAGGCAAGTCGATGAAAGCCAAGAGAGTTATCTGAATCCATTCTGAGGCTTCCTCAGAAACCAACCCTTCAAGGTTTATGAGATTTTCAAACTAAAGAAAGTGTTTAAAAATCCCCATCATATAAAAATACTAATATTTGTACAAAGAATATTCTTTTCAACAAATTCTCCCCAGGTTCTACAATTATGTATATAAGTGGTTGGTTTGCTATGCTACTTCAGTACCTATACAAAATCTACGTTTTAACACTAATTTGTCCTCAAGCAAAACTTAGCATTTAGTGGCGAAAAAACACACCCTGAATCCGCTTGTATTGTTATTCAGAGGCGTTTAGAAAGTGATGAAATTTCTAAATACTCTCCACAAATAGTAACGAAACTACTAAATCCCGACATAAATAAACTAAATCAGTGGTAATGAACATTTCAAAAAAGAGGTGAACCCGTCAACTAGAAGAGTGAAATTTAACCTCTAAAAGCAATTATTTTAGGGGAAAGTCTATTTGTAGTGTTCGAAATGTGAGAAGCCTATTAGGACTCAAAATGACCTTTTTCAACTAGGTTTTGGTAAGTTTATTAATAGATTATCAATAAAACATGTTTTGATGCAATTATTTGATTTGTACAAACAAAAATTACCTTATGAGTAACGACATGGCCATTAGCTGATGAACCTTATCATTTTGTCCTACTCCATTCTAAGATACTTAGTATCATGCCGCAATCGTAAATATTGAAAGCTTTACGTCTTTCACAAGAATGAGTATTGCATCATACTATCCATCAATAAGTGTATTAGATGATCGATGAACCAGGTTTGTTTTACCTAGGACAATGCCTTGAAAAGCGCTGGCACGGCCGAGGGTGAGAGAGTCAGCTCTCTCTCTCTCTTGAAATGCTTTCACATGACTACGCGTATAAAACTACTGCCAGGAAAGTCCTACTCACTATCTTCTCGCAAAGGGGTGTTTTTTTACGAAATTGAGAGAATGTAAAGCGAATATCCGGCGCTTTAACCGGATTGGTGGACATGGAGAGTCCACCTAGGAAAGTCGGAAACCCCTGATTTCAAACCTATGGTGCACATCGGCTCCAGGATCCCGAGGAGAAAAATGGCATATAAGCCAATTATTGGCCACCAGATACCATGGAAATGGATCTCCTGACGTTGCTCCACCGCCTTGTGGATCGGACCTTTAGATACAAAGGCCCTGGGTGTGGCCTCCTAAGAAAAGCACCTGCTTCGGTTTGGGCACCCGGGCAGTATTATAGCCCACACACAAGTCAAGTGACTTATGTGGCACATATGTCTTTAGTGATGCTTTGTACCAATATTTATGTTCAAATAAATAAATAAATAATGCCTAGGGCAATTGATGCTATCTTCCTCTTTGGACATTGGTAAGTTTAACAAATCTATAACTAAACGGTTAAGAAATAAGCATTTTGATTAGATCAAGAAATTTGAGAACACGACACTACTACAACACTCCGAACTTCATAAGAGGTGAGGAAACGAAGTGGATTTAGTTAATTACAGCAAATAAATGGGTCAATAGTAATAAGGTTATTTGGAGTTATTCAACGAAAACATTAATACTGAAACTAGTACCAAACTGAAGTGTCTCGAAGTTATCGCTCGCCGACTACTACCATTTTTTGAATGATTTAAATAATGACTTACCATAACCTATTATACTCTTCAATTGTATAAGCAGTTAATTTGACACTTATTCCGAGCTAGACGTTATAAAAAGGATAGAACCAACTAGTAAACAACACCACTTCTCAGTTTTTCATTTTACTCTAGCAATTAGTTGAATATATAGACCAAGACAGTTTCACACTGATTCAGCAACTAAAATCTTACATCAAAAAGTTGTCTAGCCATGTATTTGTAAGGGTTTGGAATATGTTAGTGAATAACAGAAATAAATAAGTTCAATATGAGAATGGATTTGGAATACGTATACTTTGTACAATCGTTAATCAAGACAAATGATTGAAGAAACGAAGCGAAGAGAAGAAAGCGAAGCAAAATGACGCGCGATGGAGGTGTGTGAGCCAACTCATAGTCATAAAAAATAAGTTACGGATATGTGGTGAATAAAATGGGAATTGAACACACATGCGCTTACATGAAAACAGTATAGGTTGATAAGCGAATAATTAACAAGGTCAAAACGTGGCTCGACAAGAATGAACAAGCTGGTTTGCCTAGAAGCTGGAATAAACTACATGGCTCGACATAGGACCAGCCACTATGACTGACTTGTGACATGTAGATATGGTGTAATTATAAATTCATAGGTCACGGTATTCTTGTCCCACAAATAATCAAACCTCCAGTCTCAAATGACTTTAACTGAAAGCACTGCAAAGTTATTACCATCTATTTACTTGCCCCAATTAGGTATTACACATTTAATCCAATTAGAATAAACCTGTAAACATCACGTTATTTAGCATAATTCTTGCAAAAATGCTCGATGTAAGATTGGAATGGAAAAACTGAGACGGCCAAAGAATATTGTAATCGAGGAGTAAATAACAGGAAAACCAAACTTTAAGTTCGTGCGAAATTTAATACGCTTAACAATGTGCTGAAAAGCAACTATATTTTTCGAAGCCGTGTTTACTTCATTTAAATGAAGTTCACTCTAGGCTTATAACAGTAATGCGCAAGAAGGCACATGAAACACGTAAGATTAGCTCAAAAAATATTGGGCGAAGTAAATATTCTGCCCGTTTTCAGCAGTTCTCTCGAATAGAACTGGCAACGCAAATAATTCTGTATGGCTTTATTATATTAACAATCACATGTTTTACTTTCAGACAATCAATGAGTACATTTTTGGCTATACTAAAATTAAATACATTGTCATAACAATCTTTACTCTTTGCATCAAATAAATAACTGCATAAAACAAACAAGAGTAACCCTTGAAGCACTTCTAACATACAACAGTTATGTTAAACTCACTTGAGAGACAAGACGCAATATCTTATCCATTTTATTTAGAGACACGAAAATGACCGCTACCTTTTAGACACATACCACAAGGTCAATGAGCACACAGTGAAGTAGAAAAACAAAACATCAGATTTCTAAGATCTCACCACATAGGACATGACTAGTTTCCAATATAAAAACTACAAAAGTGAGCACGTCCTTGATTTATCTCAAGACGAACAAGATAAATAGAAAAATAGTAGACACCAAACTGTTAACCATCACACATAAATCTAATTTTCAATATATACAATATCCTTATAACAGCCCTAGAAGAACCGACCGAATCTTTTACGATCGCCTTTTTTCGTTTTAGTACGGTTCCAAATCTTTAATAATGTTTGATGTTCGTCAGTCTAGCTACTCGAGTGTACTAACTCTAGTCATTGTCGTCGTTATCTGACGGTTTGTTCATCTTAAAGTCCAAGTGAGCCTGTTTGTTTAAAGTCAAAAAGGTTTCCGGAACCAACAGCCATCAATTTGTTGGACAAGAGATTAGCCGGTTGTTATGTGAAAAAGAATACAGAGAAAGTCTGGATGTTGAGAGAATATGTTAGTTTCAAGTGGTAAATAAATAATTTTATTAGTTACTAAAGCAGACAGAGTGAACAAAAGAGAAATTTCGGATGAAAGACAAAACGGAGATTGTAATAAGCAAGTAATGAAAAAATAACTAGGTCTGGTACTAATAACGGTAGATTGGTTGGGAAACATGAATCAGTCACATTTATTCCGAGCCAGAGATATCGTTATATTCGATGTATTTAGTATCGGTGACTGTGGAGTGAGAATTATAATACAAACGTTCTTTGATAAATACTCCAGTAATTATGTTCACTGGCATATACAGTTCATATAAACACCACACATTCCCATCATACAGGACGAACATCCGTACTTAAGTCAGAGATCCTAAATTATTTAGTTGTCTTCAATGCTTAAGCGGATCCGTTTCTTCCATGGCCCCCACGTGGATGGAACCGTTGGCATACTGCCTGTCATATTTTCTGGAGACGCCAAGTAACCAATCAGAGAACTGGAATTTAAATAAAGCTTCTTCGATCTGGAATCATGAAAGCTTTCTAGAGTAAGACAATGAACAGAGACCTGAACGCCCAAATCTCTTTCAATAATCGAGGTAGGACGATTTCTTGCTATCCATGCACCTGCAGTTTGGATGTTAGATATCTTTAAAAAAGTGTAGATTCACTTCATACATATGATGTGAAGACCAAAATCCATTTGTAATTTAACTGGTGACAACGAAGATTTATATTTGCAGTGGACCGTAACCACACGACCTTTGAAGCTGAGCATATGATTACTGAAAATATTTGTATTCAACAAATGACACGAAGAGTATGTTAACAATGGAGAACGTGGGAACATTCAGTTCAATCCAATCTGATGGCACGGCTCAGCCTTGCAGACAGTGTCATTCTGTATAACTTGTCTTTACATTAAATATATTATCCTATCGTTAACTTAAATGTACTAGATGAGCATTGTATTTGGTATTCCTAATCATCCGTCAATTAAGTAAAAATGAATCATTAGTTCGTAAAAATACCACAATATTATGGTCAACATGATTCATCATTGAGATAGCTTATTCAAAAGACATAATGTACCACTTTGTTTTTTATCAGCGTTTGCCGATACCTACACAGCCTAATTATCACTTGTGGAGCACAGGTTTCTGACTAGCAATGTCCACCTTACTCTGTCTTGAATTTAGTTGATGGTTGTTGTGGTGTATTTCAGTATCATGGTTTTTCCCTTGTGTATGTTGAGATTTGCTGATGCAGATATTGCTGCTACACTAGTTGTCTGCATTTGCATTTGTTCATAGGCATCGGATAGATGAACCAGACTTTTTGCCAAGTCCAAATCTTCTAACTGATTCCGAGCTGTCCATTGTAGTCCGTGCTTCCTCTCAGACGTAGAGGTTTTCATAATCCAGTCAACTACTAGAAGAGAAAGAGTAATGGTAAGCAGCCTTGTCTGACACCTGCCTTTGTTTTGGATGCATTTGTCAATTGCATTCCACACAGGAATTTGCAGTGTAGTCCGCCGTACGTATTTTGGATAATGTTGATGATCTCTTGCACACCATAGTGTGGAACAACGTTCCATTAGGTTTTTCTGTTCACACTGTCAAAATCTTTCTCATAATCAAAGGAACTGATGTATAGCAACGAACTCCATTCAATTGATTGTCCATCGATTGTCCGTAGTGTTTCGATTTGGTAGGTACATCATAAATTATCACGAAACGCAGACTACTGATCTTCGAAGCTGGGCGTCTACTGAACCTTTCATTCAGTTTAGAAAAAGTATCCTGATACTGACAGTAGTGTGATCTCTCTGTTATTCTCACATTTGCACAAATCCACCCTCTTTGGTACTTTGATGCGTTGTCTTTCCTTCGACTCTGTCGGCACCTGCAGTAAATGAATTTTTATATTTTCAAAAATATAGTATAGAATCAGGATGAAAATTTATCACTATTTTCCTGATGGGAATATATATATATATATGCGAATATTTTTTGTGTTGAGTAGGGATAGTCTATTATGCTAAGCAATGATAATTGCAAAAGCGAGGAAATAGAGAAATTGTTACTGGTGTGTGTCTTTCAGTGTAAGCAGAAAATCTGGAGTACACAAATATCTATTTGGGAGATGATATTTACTACATCAAGTCAAAAACATGAGAATCGTTATAAAATTCATTGGCGATTGGTTAAGATACGTGTGAGGAAGAGTAAATTGGCTAAGTTTAACCGCGTAGTATGTGGTCCTGCTTTGTCCTATCAGAGGTTCCTCATTAGGATACAAGAAGTAATACCTTAGGGATTCCTTATATATAGGTGAATGGTGATGAAATTTCATTTTCCCCGCCATGTTAAGGTTTTTTCTATATAAATTAATCCCACATAACCTTTTCAAATATCGGGACAACTGTAAACTGTTGTACCACAGAAATAATAGAGGAAATGTACCAAATCTTTCCGATAGATAATCATATAAATGGTCCACAATTGTGATATTTCACTGAGAAAAAATAGTCGATATACAACACATTCAGTTGCTTTGGCTATCTACTAATAGTAACTGACATCAAAGTCCATATTTGTTTCTATGAATCACTTCCTGTTCGTTTGTTATCAGAGGCGTTTCGAACAACTTATTTACGCTTCCTTTTTCGATGAAGTGATTGTAACAAGAATTTTCTAAATCATTTCGTTCTAAAACAAAATTCTGCTGTTATGCTTAAGAGATTATAGCAAACCGATTCATCATCATTAATCTGACTAATTTACACAATAACTTGAAGATGGTGAGTGTCCTTGTGACAAATCTCTCCTCGAAAAGATTTTTATAACCTTTATTTAGTTAATTGAAGTATCGTCTACAAGTTGACCAATTATTGACCCGATGATAATTACCAACACTGAAGAGTATGTATATGGTACTATACCTTTTCAGCATGATCATGCTGAGACAACATAATATCTATAGAGCTTTACGCGTAAAATACTATTGAATAAGCGAAGAACAATATATGATCTGCCCGGTTTCTTCCGAAAATGTCATTTTTGATTATGCATTTAAGCCTCAAACAGAACACTGAGCATAATCAGTCAGTCAGTTGGTATCAACGTATTGTTTAGTACAGATATGCTTTGTACTATCTTACGGAGATGGAAACATACACTTCTATTTAATGTCGATGAGAAGGTCTTACTTAATATCGATACATTGTTTGGTACATTCTCAGCAATTGTCTTGAATGATTTATGTAACAACCACATCAGTTGAATTTTTTGACGAAAGCTTAGATTTGGTAATGTTCCTAGTCTTCAACTTTACATCTGATGTCGTGAATTCCTTTGTTTGGATGAAATGGCCATATATTTTTTATTTAAAAAGTGCTACGAATCGAAGTTAAGGTACTATGTAAACAAGACAACGATAATAAATGAATAAGTCTAAATTCAAAATCAACTGTATGGTTTCACAATATGAACTGACAATAAATTGAATCAAATAATAAAACATTCAAAACTTACTTTGACTCTAATAATTATGTATTATGTTCATCATCGGTGGGTAATAAAGTGAAAAAAACGAATGATCAAGTAGTTGATAACGAACAATAACAAAGCGAGAAAATGAGGCCTGTCTGTTGCAACTGACTTGAAAAGTTCGGATGTATATGGAGTGAGGTGGCCTTACTTTTACCGTATACTTTTAACCCACGTAGAATCTTACTTAGAGATTCAAGTGTACTCTTATTAGTATCTAAATGTAACGTTGTAAAGAATCAAGCGCCAACATAGTCTGTTTTTGCAAATCTACATCGACTGACTCGAAGCTGTAAAAAATTGTATCAAAACGTTTGGTGAATTTACAAGTCAGTACAATTTCATTTTGATACACCTTAGAGTGTTGTAAACCAGATACATTTTAGTACTTTAAATCTGCACCAAACCATCGAGCGTTTAATTCCAAACTCCCGGTATTCATTTCATCTAACACCATTTATAAGTAGTTTTTATGACATATCCGCATATCTAATCTCTGATGCGATATCTTGCAAAGAATCAATGTTCCGAAATTCCTAGTGAAATTTAGAAGTCTAATTGGGCAGTAAGTTTCAAAACGCCGACCGACCTATAGCGCTCAATTTCTTCTAACCGATTTTCTTACCAAGCTGTTTACTACATTTTTACAAAAACAACACAACCAAAACACTATAATCACAGCGGAATCATTGTGTTTTATTTTATTCATGAAAATAACAACGAAAGAAATATCACTCTTAACAGTTGGGGTTTTTGTTTACTAGTGGAAATTATTTTGCTTCTATGGAATCTAGTAGCATAAGGGTGTAAGTGCCTTCAGTACTTATCAAATCTCGGTGTAATATGCAAATAATTAAGGTCTACGAGCTACCTTTTACATCATTCAGAATTATATCACTTAATAACTTCACAATAATTGTAGATCTGGTCTTATCTTCTTTTCTGTTTCAGATTTGCTGGATACAGTCATCATAATTTTAACATAATGAATCTCTCTCTTGTCCTTTTTGCCTGTATAATTTTATTCATTGAACGTCAATGCCTAGTCACTGCCCAAAACAATGGTGACGATAGTTCAAGTCCGTTTCGTTGGTTTAAACCAGACAATTTTGATATTATTTCACGTAAAATGGATCAAGCCAATCCAAATAATTGTGAAACAATGTCTGAAGCTGATTTACGCTTACCACCAACGTCACTCAGCCAGATACCACAATATAATGAAATTCCGATGAGGCAGTGGTTTACAAATCGCTCAAAACTGCTACATCTACACAATTTAGCATTAAACCGTGCATTTTTCTATAGTTATATTTTGCAGAGGCTAGATCACCCAACCAGAGATCCTCAGTATTTACCATCATTAATGTATTATTATCTGTCCTCATCAGCCGATATATCTTCAGGTCCCAATGTCATAAATATAAGTGGTGTATTTATGGATACGAACACAACGTACGCAAATTGGTATGAACTCAAAGATATTAACAAGACCTTACCATTATTCGCACCATTAGCCAGACGGTTAGATAACTGGAATGATGAAATGAATTTTTTGAGAATACCAACTAATGCTACAATTGAAGTAAGTGAATTGATAATAGAATAGCTCTATTGTACTGCTGACATTTTCAAAATTCGTTTAAATTTCATCAATAGGTATGGCACAGCCATCACATTTGATTTTATAATCCAGATAGCACAAAGCTATATAAAGGTTGAATCTGACAATATTGCGTAAAGATTTTCTATTATACCTCTATTAATGCAACATCCAGCCACTAACCTAGTTTTCCTGTATCAAACAAATTGTCCATTAAGATAGAAAACGTAGACAAATGCTCACTTCATATGACGTCCTACTGTACTTGCCTATTCACGTTGCCGTATCAAAGCACTTACATTGAAAAAAACAGAAAACTGGATCTTTTTTTGCACCTCAAAGCTCACTCCATGAAAATGTACGTTAGAAAGCCTAGTGTTTTCGTCTGTGCTCGTCGTTTGCTTGACAGTCAATACAGTGTTGATATTTTAAAACCATTCAGAATGAATAATATCATAACTTCAGATTCACTGCTCCACATCGACAATATCATGATTAAAAGGTTGAATCCTCACCAATCTACCCAAAGGGATGCTGTTTTGAACCTCTCATTAACCTGGCAACTTCTATTTTCCACCATTCGATTACATAATATGTTATGTAATACGTTTAATACCAAATTGCTTTAATGACTAGATCTTTGTAAAGCATTACTAATCTTACCCTGCTAATATTTCCGACATCGTGGTTGTATTTACGCGTCTTTGACATCCTTTTTCATTCTCTAGAAATGCGTCTCAATATGCTGTAAAATGTTTCTTGTGGAACTTCTCCACTTAGTAACATACGAGTATTCTTACACTGTACCGCTTCATAATTCTTTCATAATTGTTATCGTTTATTTACTACTCTTCAAAAATATGATAAGAAGTATGTACATTCGTTATAAACAATTTTACTATTGTTTTTACATCGTAAGGAATAGCAAACGATAGTCCACGAAATAAACGGATTCATTATATTCTACTAAGCTTGTTGTTTTTGCTTTAGTCAAAATAATTTATGAGAAAAATTATTTCTTATTATCTAACCCTTTGATAATCTAACAATTAAGTCTTGTGGTCGAACGATGTCAATCCGTCGGTCACATTGGTAACGAAATCAATATCCTTTGTTCTTAATTTATCTAACACATTTAATAAAATGAATTTCTTTCGACCATGAGTGAGTGATTACATATGAAGGTGGTTAGATTCCTATGAAGTTAAGTTTTAATACTGGAACTGTAAGGTATCTAAATAACGAAATAATCACATCGCACTTGTTTTGGGTTGAGTAAGTTAATGGTAAACTAAAACTGATGACTTATCATTTGCGGTATATAATTGGGACAGGATCATTGATTGGTGAATGCAAACTCTTTGAGATAGGTCAGGTGGTATTTATGGTACCTCACAATAAAATCAAAATCTAGTTTAATTTACACTAGGTATTTATGCGATAAATCGTATTGTGGTTTAAACAAATTTATTCACCAACGACAATAAACAATGTGAAAATCTAAAATGTAATCTAAATTTTATGAACTGACTATATCCAATTATTGTTCAACAGCCAAAGTCTCTGAAAATGATTTTGTCACAATGAACTAGGAATGAGTAGTAGTCCACAGTCTATCGTTTTCGGTTTTGTCAGTAATTGATGTGATTGCTTGTACCAAATAGAAAGTAAATATGATTCATACATACTTCGATCATCTTTCATTTGTCTTTAAGATTTTTAATCACTTTTTTAACTCAGCCCACGTCTTATTGTTTAACATATTCTAAACATCAGATAACTGATCTTGGAGCTGGCCCAAATAATAATTATACAGCATCATGGTATAAAAATAACCCATATATACGTGATCGTGAAATGGGTATAGACTTTATTCCTGATAGACGTGGTACAGCACCTAGTAAAAACCAATACACTACAAAAATACAACTTGCAACTATAAGCGGTGATCCAATAGAAAAGTTGGAGAATACCAAATTCTATGGTCCAAATGCTCCAGGTGTTAAAGAAACTTTTCTACCTGTTCGATTTACTCGTCCTTATTATGATTGTGGGGGAACAAATCGATGGATTGTTAGTTCTGTTGCAGCACTGACAGATTTTATGCCACGTTACTCAAATATTACCAGACTGCGAGGACCAAGGTAAGTAAATGGAGACTCTAAACTAGTATTTGTATGGCCTGAAATATATGGCTTTACTTTTGTAGCAGTGAGCAAAATGTTTTTTACTCTGAAACACCGAGTTTAATTAAACAAAGTGATCAAATGAGCAGTGTTCACTCCAGACAGTATCAATTTTATAACACGAATGATAGATTAGACAAGATTATATTGGCTACTATCAAGTGATTTATGATACTGTCTACATTTTCAATACTGGATAATATCGTTTCCCTCGAAATACCAGGCCTATCTTGTGAATAAATACCATTTTGCATGAAATCAGGATTAACAGCTTCGTCTTACTTGGTTCTGTTCACTTATGATGAAGGAAAATACTACGTAGTGTTCCGTCACTTAGTTGAGTAGATGCATCGCAGTTTGTATGAAGTGTATCAGAGTCTTTGGAACTAAACAAAATGATAGTAGTAACTAAAAATTGACAAGTTCGAGTGTGTGATTTACGTCAACAAAAAGTATCATTTAAACGTTATTGAAACTGACATAAAAAGTGAGAAAATAAAATTATATCTCTAATGTCCTAAATCACTACAATTCTAATATATTAACATCAATGAGTGTGACAGAACTTTAGTATTTAACTATAAGTTTTATCGACGAAAATATAAACTTTCTTTCTAATGCGAAGTTATACCTCACTTGTCAGTTGAAAAAAGACGAGTTTCCTTCGTAGATTATAAATTTCACTGGTTATTTCCAGACTCACTTGACAATCTTCACTACACATAAGAGCTATTAAAGTGACTTATAGTCAGTATTAAGCATACATTTTACGTTGTAAGTTGGAGTTGGTCTATAATGATAAAACATATCATTATTAATATCATTATTATTATTGTTTTTAAGTAGTATAAATGCAAATTTGATTTTTTGTTTTAAATTATCCTACAAAGTAAAACATGACATGGATTTGTTACTATTCAGATGCTTGTCAATGAACTCTTTTTAGAAGTCACAGATCAAGGCAAAATAACATTTTTTGTATTGCATTACCCTCATCGGTTCTTCAGTTGATGTTCAAATCTTGACAAAACGATCTATAAACTTGACAACATTTTCACAGACCATCAAATTAAGCATAACTCTGTCGCGTGATATTTTATCATTTATTTTTCAATTAAAACTAAGTTGTGAAAGCATCTTTTACTGAGAATTCCTAATTGTATTTCAGTAATTAATTGACAGTGATATCATTTTTTATCGCTTCTAAGAAACAGTCCCATGAAATCATAGCCATACTGTTGTGAAAGAGAACGCAGTTGAGGACAAGTAATTGTATTTTAATACAAAATTACGGAGTACTTTCATCAAATGTTAAAACCATACGTTCACTTCGTCATTTGCAAATCCTCTATCAATTGCCTCAAACTTGATTGTTCCTTTATCGCCATAACTATTACTATTTGTTTCCTTTCTCTTTGATACGATCATCTCAACCTTCTGTTGCCAGGTTTTTTAACCTCCAATTGGTGTTACATATTACTTAAGTCTGTCGACATATATATCACACACCACAATACTTGTTTACCAACTGTTTTATACTGTGATAAGAGATCATTTTCCAAGATTGAATAGCTATATCTGAATATATCACAAACTAGTGTGTTACTTTGTTATAAATTTATCTAATGGCTATTAGTGGATTGCTTCAATTAAAAGACCGATCATACTTAAAAGAGAAAACTGTGTTCAAATTTGAAATTTAAACTACTAAAACAGTGATATAGCATTCCAGTCAAGCTTATAATTACTTGCTAAGATTATAACAGATGATACAACTGGGACGTAGTGAAGAGTCATGATGAAACCAGAAACAAAGAATTTACTAAGATTATATGTTTACAATTTTCACTAGTTATTTTTGCCTTTTTTTAAGTGCTTTCATAATGTCTAACCTCTTTTTGTCATCTGTAGAATGATTGGTGTTGTTGTACAAAGTATGGACTTTTATCGAATTGATTTTAATCCTTGCCCGCCAGGATTGGGAAATCCGAATCATTATTTGGCTGGAATCGCTCGATGCAAACCAACAACTTTGGTATGTTTAATATACTGTAATGTATTATTTTTTGAAAGAATATCAGCTACTGATAAGTAGTGTAATATTTTTAGGTAAACGTTTTATGACAAATGTCGGCAGAATATGTATTCTGAAACTATAACACATTAACAAAGTTTATTCACTCACATGTAATTTCAAAGCTAGAATAATTAAACGTATCCTATCCGAAACCGATACCTTAGGGGAGACCGAGGTAAATATTTACATATATGCCAGTTAATTCTATTGAATTACGTGGAAAACAGGGATATGTCAAGAATGATCGGAACTCGGTATTAAACCATAGTGAATAGAATAATTTCGTCGGGGACATATGCTTTTATATAAATTACCTTAGGTGGCTTATGAATATTAGTCCTTAAGCTAAATGGAGTATCATCCGATGGACAGTTACACTAGTTAAACGTTTTCTTCAGGATTCCAGAAGTATTTCAACCAACAAAAGAAACAACTTTTAAGACTGGAATAATTAAAACATTAGATGGTGAATTTCCTTTTCCGTCTAGGTTTTAGCACATCAGAAGTTTAACTGATTAGGTTTTGTAGTGCTAAGAATAATACTTTTCACATGTTAATGATAATCGACCTGTTGAGAATTGAATAAGTTTTAAACAATTAAATTCTGATACAAATGATAAATGAAATGACTTTTTCTAATGAGTTACAAACAGTTGTTGATATGTTCCAAATAATATTATCCCGTACTCATAGATTCCTTTGAAGTTAAGTAAAGACTTCAGAAAGCTACTAATTTTTTAGCCTAGAGAACCGAAGTCCATGAGGAAATAACCTGTTATTTTGAATGCCACTCAATCAAGGTGTCGTACATCGTTAGCACGACTAGATGAAATTAATGAGATGAAGAGTGAAAAATTTGAAATAAGTAAAAGCAGTGATAATGGGAAAGACTAAAGTTTGAAAAATATTTTTTAAGAAGAATGAATACTGACATTGACTATCTAGGGAATGATGAAGAGTAGATGCATCTGAGCAATTGTGTTCAACTCTGAGTCACGCAACCTAAAGCCTTCAATCGTTGATGGTGATTATCTCGTAAGCCTTAGCCAAGTATTCTATATCTATCAACACGGATCAGATCAATAATCTATGATTTCATGCACAGATTTCGCTTTACCCTTCCCTTGTTTCTTTCTAATCCATTCTTAAATTGAATGTTGGGTTAATAGATGATAATTGAGCATACGTAACATATATTTAAGGCTAATTTCTCCATATTTTATGTAAAACCTCTAATTTAAAATATCTGAGTTTAGAAGATTAAATATTGATACCATTCACTGATACTTTAAAAATGATTTTCATCAAACATCATTTTTCTCTGCTTGATCCATAAATCAACTTACGATTTTACCGATCAACTTTCAATGGTTTTCTTTTCTTTTAAGTTTGGTAAATACTACTAATTGAAATCATTTTAAGAATTTACCTTAATAAGGAGGAAGTAGAAGAAGAAAAAGAAGAAAAAAGACGAAATCAAATCAAAACTTACATAATTTTAAATAAACTATTCTTTTTCTTTTTACTGAGTGTTTATGGGAAAGTTATGAATACATTAATTAATTAGATTATAAATGTGATAAGTTTCATTAGTTTATTGATGAGAATATTGTGAAAAAAAGGCGAAGTAGTAGTAGCTGTAGTCGTAGTCGTAGTAGTGGTAGTAGTAGTAGTAGTAGTAGTAGTAGTAGTAGTAGTAGTAGTAATAGTAATAGTAATAGTAATAGTAGTAGTAGTGGTAGTAGTACACTGTAAGTTGATTCAGTAAATTTTATTTTCTGTAAAATATGATATCACTGATTAAGTGAATAAATGAATTATTTCATCAAAATGGATATGATTTGAAATATGAAGATTCAGCGAGATTATAATTTATAAGCAAACTAATCAAATATAAGATAACAAGTCTTGGTTTTTGTTGAAAAATTCATCCGTCCATTTAATTAAATAGATTTTTGGCATCATCACTGATCTCTGTTTGTGATGAAAACTCTAAATCTAGTTCCGAAATCTAATTATCAATTGTAAATTATAATTCTAATTCCTCTCACTGCTTTATAACCTTCATTGAGTTAGTCCTAGTTAGTAGATGGACATTCTCAAAGTTACTTTAGTGTTACTCAAAGGTTGTCCATAAATTGTAGTTTCGCCGAAAATCTCTTTTGTCTTGTTTTGTTTTGTTGGTACGGATCAGAATTGTTAAATCTGTATTATTCACTACAATAAAGACTGAATAATTCATGTTCTATAATGTAGTAAATAAGTTTAAAATCTTGATAACTTTCTAGAAATAAAATTAACTTGAAAATGTTATTATAGAGAACATATGGTATCTTAGTAATGTATTTATTTTTTTTCTAATAAGAAAAAGAAACAATGGAATTACCTGCTCTAGTTCATTTGAAAATTGAATATCTTAAATGATAACTTATTCTTTAAAAGAGTATTTAGTGGGGCCGAGATTCTAACTCCAAGTAGATCGTATAAATGATTGATGTCGAAATGTATGTATCACCTATCCTCGTATATAATCATCTACTTAAATCACCTTAGTCACTAACGGAATTAAATAAATCAAATAACAAGAATGGATCTTTGAATACACATTTTGTATATGAAGCGAATAAAATGCAGAGAAGCGAATCGATGCGCAATGGAGATGGTGGGTAAGCCAACTCCATTTAGTCAGGCGTTAATCAATATTTATAGTCACACAAAAATAGGCTACATACATGTGATGAATGGGATAAGAAATGTACACACACATATGCGCTCACATAAAAATAGTCAACATTGATAAGTGAATAATTAACAAGATCAAAATATGACTCAAGTAGAGTGACAAGATTGGCCTATCCGAAAGCCAGAATAAGGTGTATGGGCTTCACATAATAACCGACACTACAAGTTTGATAATGATTGACGTTTTGATCGGTTTTTATGGATAACCACACTGATGAAAACACAATCTATATTTTTTCAATCATCTCTTATCATTAAAAACGGAAGAAGAAGAAGAATATTCATTTTTTTAATCAATCAATAATCTATATACTTCATAATTATGTTCATTAATACATTTATTATTCTCTGTCCTAATTTTATTTTTTATTAGTGTGTACCTCTTCCGGGTTTTGGTTTTAAACGAGGTGGTTATCAATGTGTTTGTCAACCAGGACATCGTTTACCATATGAACAAAATGGACCATTTCGTGGTGTTGATATTGAAGCGGCAACTGAAGAAGAATATCGTAATAATTTTGATTGTATTCCAGTTGGTTGGCGTGAAGTCATACCTGAAGAAACTGGTATGAAAAATAATTTAGAAAGATTTCGTCGTTCAATAGGTCAACAAACAAGTACGCAAATTAATGAACTAAATCAATATATATCTATTTGTATTGACATTATTATCAAAATAAAATTTATTTCGTTGACAAATTTGACTAAATGTAAATGTGTATTTACTACTTTCCTCAGGTTTAAAAACTCTTATAGCTTTCACTTAATGTGGTGTTTGCTACTTATGTCGACAGATATAAATAGTATGTAACACCAAGCTGAAGTGCAGTGCCTCGAAGCAGAAGGTTGAGGAGATTGAATTGAAACAAATGAGGGTGTCAACAGAGCGTAATTATAAAGGCAATGAAAGAACAATGAATTGTTAGATAATGGACGGATGATTTTAATATATGGTTTTCACATTTTAACAAAGAATTCTATAATTTTGCACTAAACAATAATTTGGTTGTCCCCACTTGAGTTCTCGTTCACAACACTAATGTATCTTGATTTTCAATGGCTATCTAATCAAAGTTACTACATGATGTCGAACTTCAAATTTAACAATTCCCACAGTTATCATATTATTGTTAGTTCCTAACTTCAAGAGGTAAGTCTCTGAGTTCTAATAAGTAGTCATAACCAGAAGAGTTCAATTATGTCGGAAGTGAAATAAAAATCATCATGAATGATGGTCACGTGATATTACGAATTAACAAGTGTTAGAAATGTAAACTATTGGATGACAGTCAAACACTCATTGCGAGGCCTGAATGTCTTGAGTTCGATTCCTATTGGGTTTTAAAAGAGTCCCATACTAAGACAGAACAGTTATTCAATGTTTTCTAGTTTTTAATTACTGTCTAACTAAGGTTAATCCATAATTCAACAATTTACACAGACCCTTACACTAAAAATGATTATCTAACTGAATTCAGTGATGAAAATTATCTTTAACTTAAAATAACTTTACCAAAACTGAAATCTCTCTGTCCTGTTATGATTAAAAATCTTTGATATTTTTAATTAATTTCAGCTGAATCAACTGTAAAGAAGGAAATTCTCATTCTTTCATTATTTTGTTTCTTAGGTACATTATGGAATAGATTTAAAGATCCATCGGTTCATTTATTGAACATGATATTAACAAGTAAGCTGAGATTATTTTCGATTGAGTGATTCCACATAATTAGTGCCCTAATAATTTACTCTTTTATATGAATAACCACCACTTAAATCAATGTTTTTAATTACAGAGAAAAAAACATTTTCGAACTCAATCGTTTGAATGTAGCAAATGTTTATTACTCATTACACATTGTCCAAATTTCTCACGATAGTACATAAGATACGAGCTTGTTTTCAGCATACAGAAACGTTTGTCAATCATGTATCAGTGTTCATCTGTTTAAATCAAATTTAAACCTACTCAACCTACGTTTACAGTGTCTTGGTAGTTATTTTACGACCAAATTACCAAGTAAGGATTTTCAGCCTGTTCTTCCATATCGTTGATAAATTCAACATTAGTCAACTGAACTACTAATTAACACATCCGAATATTTTTTAAAATATTTTAACATCACCTCTTTTCTACCTCATTAATCTGACAAATTGATCAGACCGGAAACAGACCGATTTAGTAAACCATGTCTTATCCATGTTCTAATTCCTCCTTAACTGATAAGTTAGAATCACGAATGATACACTTTAAAAATTAGTTCACTAATTATATTGTCCAACCTAGCAAAGAAAGCTTTATAATGAATGATCCAGCTAACAGAATGTAGCACAATTGAAATAAACGTGCCTCTCTATATAGTTCTACCAAACATCACCAGTTTATTAATTTCAGTATGTGTCGAGAAAGAAATTAATATTTGTATATTAAATTGTTTATTTTCCCAAATTTGACTAGCATTTGGATCATTCAAGCAGAATATCTTCCCAACACCACCAAAATTAGATGAATCACTATTAATCAATGAAATATCGGATAAACCATTTAAAACAACTAATTTAGATGATCAACCATTAGATCGTCTTGTTCCTGGATATCGATCAGTCTCACATTTGCTACCATTGGAACAAAACGATTTTAATTTAACGTATACAGAAGATGTTTATGAAGATGGATTTTTTGACAATGATACTTATATACTTATCAATAAACCAAGTAATATAGATAGTAAGGATCAGTCAAATAACATCAAGAAACGTGTACGACGAAATGTTGATACACCATTTTATACAGTTGGAGTTGGTACAGTATTTGATGCAGACAGGTATTTTGAAGTAAGCTGTGTTTTTTGACATAAGAATATGTTCAGAGGAAAACAGCATCAATTATATATTACAAACAGTTTACATAATAATAAATTAATACTGTATTTATGACTTCAGAGTAATTCGAAGAAGTAGTTTACACTTAGCCATGAAATGTCAGAGATTAAAATCCCAACTTATTAGGATCATATAAATATATCATTAATTTATTATTAATTCTCTACTCAATGCCAAAAACGGATTCGATTTTATCGTCAACAAAATACTGACAAACATTTTCCTTAATTATTCAAGTGTAATTCACATTCAAACAATGTGAATAAGTGAGAGACTATGATGTTAAAAACCACATGGGGACATCTGTAATTTATTGATCATACTGTAAACAACTTTGATAAATTATCAATATAAGCATTGAACTGCTGTTTCGTCCTGGTATAAGATTCCACATATGTGAACATTTACTAATCCAAAGGAGTGCGAGCACTGGATATTCAAATCTTGAAACGAGCGCTTAACCTTCAGACGATGGAGTTAATATCCAGTGGTTAACATATATAAATTTAATTTCATTAATTTGCTTTATTCCATAAAATTTTATTGTTTTTACTTTACAAAAAATAATATATAAGATATATAATTTTAATTTCTTTTGTAAAGGTTCAACGTTTAATTGCACATGTACGCAAAGTGACTAGTCAAAATTGTCATCTAATGACAGTGGATCAATTAATTTTACCAGGAGAAGTTAGTTATGGTGTTGAGAAACAATTTGAAATGGTTGGAAGAACAGCTCTACGTTTATCACATTTCCTAAGTGCTTATTATCAAAATAATGTTGTTGGTGAACTTTATGGAAGTTTAAAAGTAGGTTTTATGTTGTAAAAGAAGTAAATTAAGTCATTCGACTGGATATATTTCTACTCCTTGGAAAATAAAACCATTTCATGGCCAATCATATGCACTTATCATTAGAAGATTTTTGATTAGCCCGCTGTATTAATTGCATTCTTTTATTGATAAATAATTTATATTCTGGAAATAATTACAGATTACATATTAATTTACAGGAATGTTAGGTTGATGATGTGTTTTTTTAATGGAAAATAAAATAAATATTCCATCTTATTAATGATTGATTAAGATTTGTAGACAGTAATGTGGGGTTTGAATCATTAGTTACTGAGAGTAAATCACAGTAGAAATGCCAACTTGGATCCAAGTACTTTAAGTCAACATTTTCCTTTGTTAGTTTTTCAATATTATACTGAGTGGTTAGATGTTTGTTTGATTTTAATACCTCTAAATTAAATTTTTATTATTCATTAGCTATACTATTTATTATACATCACTAGTATTTTGGAGTGGATGGAGTTATGAAGTTCAGAAGTTATTAAATACTGTATGGTACTCGAAATGTACTGTAGTTTAACTAATATGTTATGAAGCGAGCTGTGACTTATTAGTTAAACTACTCAACTCTCAACTATTAGGTTTCCAGCTTTAATCTAATTTAATACCTTTCTGTTTAAGTAACAGTTATTGTTTACCGATCATATCAGCCACTTTGTACTCACAACTCAAAACACATACAATGATATACTGAAGATTACTGAATACACAGCACACCAAATAAGAAACCATACTCTGAACATAATGGAGTCATAAATGGTAGGTGAGAGCAGACAGCACGTAATCAATCAGTAGTCATTAAGTAATAGTGACAGATAAAACAGCAGCTAGTAGGTCCATCAAAACACATTAAGCAGGATACAAAAACGTAACAATATGGTTATTTACCAATCATTCAATAAAGATTTTAAAAATAAAAAAATTGGTAAATAGCTTAGACATTTTCAACTTTCCTAATATTCGCTTTGTTATAACATAAACCATGAGGAAAATGACCTATACATAAAGCGTCTGTCCAGCAGCTAGAAAAGACTCATGTTATTGTAGAAAAAAGAAACCACTGCAAAAGACTGGCTTTGAGATAGAGTTATCAATATCCTAGCTAAAATCCATTTCTACATAAGATGTTAGTCAAGTTTAAAATGTCACTGATGGTGATGATATCTTGGATAGTTGTTGATGATTCCTTGGGTTTTATCACACTGTCAAATAATGCAAACTTTCCACGAAAAATCACTGAAGTTAAACAATACTCTCTTATCTTTTATTGTAGACTGGTTTTCCAATTAATCGCTTTCAATTATTTGGTGAAGTTTTTGCCAATGTTTTATCAAATTTTGATATTGTATCAAGTGGAATATTTTTTGATTATCAAATGTTTACTGATCATGATGGTACAACATGGGATCTATTTGCTCCATATGCGTATAAACCACTCTTGGCAACCCAAGCAGCTGAGGCAATTGATATGAGTATAAATGCCTATCGAGACTATACAGAAAAACCATGGTTTCGAACATTGAAGGTATGATTGTTATTAAGCTAGATATTTTATTTAAACAGCTTCGTCAAATTTCTTAAAAATATGATTTGTTCTATGTTAGGGAAAAACACTGCTACATATTTCTCAAGGTTGGATAATTCTTAATCGATATCATGTACTGTATTGCTAGTTGGATCAGAGACAAATTTCAAGATTTTACACATTAACCAAGGTCTGAACACATATTGGTTCTAGAGTCTTCCTAACCCAGTAACCAATCAAAAGACTATGATAAGAAGTAGATTTGTTCTGTATAGTATTCAATTCAGTCATGACTCAAAACGCATACAATTATATACTGAAGATCCCTGAACACACAACACACCAAATAGGAAATCCAACTTGAAGCAAATCCATAAGTCGTAGAAGGCGAAACAAACAATACATAATTAGTTCACATTAATCAAGCGATGGTTAAATGTATAACAATGGTGAATAGGTCCACTGAAAGCTTACAATATAAATAATAAAAATCCGGAAAATACCTCCAATAGTTTCAATTTTCTGAAATATTTGTCCTGTTCAGTAATATTCACGATAACGAGATAGAAAGACAGTAAATACTTCAGTTCATTTTTCTAGGATTGTATATTTTGACAAATATTATGGTTGTTTATTTACTTAAATTATCGTTAGAAATTATTAATAGAAAAAGAAGCCGATCCTCATCGCTTTAATTTTATCCGACGTTCGAGGAAAAATCGTTCAATACCTAATTCATATATATGGTCTTTTACTATTGAACACAAAATATGACATACTACGACATTTGGTCTACTATAACTTCTTCTTTGACTAAGTAATCTCTGATCTTCCAAAAAATACACCGGCAATTTAATTGACTAACAATTAGACAAATGCGTTTTGTTATAATTATTCTCAATATAATCTCTTATATACATTTATTAGATTAAATTAACTTGGTCAACAATTTTCTGATTGATTCAGTTTCAATTCCCAAACCATTAGCCTATAGTTATCTTTCATTTTTAATGTATGAAGGAATAACTTGATCTACTTCTGTTATACAGTAATTAATATATTTCTAACAATAATTTTTAGTAATCATCATTAATTACCTGATGAAAAACAGATTACATTTCTCAGTTATCACAACTTGTAATGCATGTATTAACGTTTGTTTTCAGGTAATTTTCAGAATAGTAATAAACCTGAGGACACCCATCGTGTATGAATAGTTAGTGGACACTATGAACAGCCGCTTCACATTATATGTATATACAATACTTTTATGAATTAAACTTTCTCACCTTAGACAAAGTAGATTTTTGAGATAACTGGGCGCCGAAACCATTAGTAGTCAAAAATGCTGTAAATACGTTGTCCTCCATATTGTTGTCATTGTGCCGTATTTATGAATTAACTATACATAATATCCTCATTAACGACGGAAAAACCTAATTGATATCACTGTTATTGTCAGAATTATAGACTAGTTCACATGTGATATGCTAATTGTAAAAAAAATATGTTGCCATTTTATTTTTCTTTACATGACTGTTGTTAGGCAACTCAAGATGTGTTTTTTTCACTTTAGATTGACGTAATTCAGTGAAAAATGTAGTTGAACAGCATAAATATCAGACATATTATTAAATTAAATTAATGAGACATTGAACAGTCACTTCATCTGTTTAAAACTGTGCCACAATAGTTTCCGTTAAGTGACGTTGAACTCTTCACAGTATTGAAATTCTTTCAAATCTATTTACATGCTTGTAAAGCATTTGAATATGTCACTTTAAATATTGGAATAGAATGTTATAAATTAATGCACTGCAAATCACTTTAAAGATAATTTCCTTGATACTCTAACCTCATATAGAGAACCATTGAATGTCACTTATTGCTAGTTTAAAGTCTCTTCTTGTTTATATTCTTTACTGAGTTTTAGTAAGAGATGAAAACCGATTTTATCTAGAATAATCCTCAAAATACTTTAATCTCAGTGATAAGAACTATGTGCTCATTAAGGATTAGCATCAAGATCAATATTATTGAGTGATGGTTATGGTGTTTTTGCAAGTAAACCTAATGAATAAAGTGTTACACCTTCACCTGAGAAACATAATAGACCTTAGTTTTATACAGTGGCAAATTTCACTAGTGCACTACTGCGTAGTTTGAAACTTAAAACAAAGTAATTATCCAGTATTCTCTGGTTTTTATTAGATTTATTAGTTAAATCAGTTTAGTATACAAGTAGCGTATAAAATCTAACATTATTACCCATGAATATTCGAAATGGGGAATCCTACTGGTTTAGTTTAAATCACTTGGGATAAAATACCTGGTTACATATGTGGATGATACATTAGCAGAGTTTCCGTCAATGATAGGTAATTTCTTGGATTTATTCCTATCTTTTACGTTACATACGAACTTCTTGATAGTTAACTAATTAAATGTACTCTTTGAAAAGATAATAATTGATTCACATAAAAACATTTATTTTATTTCATCTGTAAAAGAAATGAATATCATTGGTAATACGATGATAGGTAACATGAATTCTACCTACCTACCTACCTACCTAACTACCTACTTACCTACCTACCTACCTGCTTACATAAATACATACATACATACATACATACATACATACATACATACATACATACATACTTACATTCAGTTTAACTGAATAGGAATAAAAAAATTGTAAAAAAAATCTGATTGCATTAATTCAACACAAATTGTGATTAATTCAATTTTGTATTATGTTATGTAATACTTTTTCTTTCTTTCTTTCAAACTCCTGAGAATAAAATTCAACCCATAGATACAATTTTGTTATTTTAATCAACTTCATTTGATTTTTCTCTGATAGATATTAAAATTCAATTTAAATAAATAAATAATATAATTTAATAGATACAGACTAAAAAAGGGATAAGAATTTGAAATAATTCTGAGGAAGTAACAAACCGATACATCTATTGTTAAATCGATGAAATCTAAGATGTTTCATTGAAGTTTTTTTGGTTTCTTAGTACAATTGTACTTAAAAATCTCAAGATTTTCAGTTGAAGTTAGACAGTAACACCGTTGGATGCCGGCTCAGTGGTCTAGTTGGTTAAGCACCTGGCGCGAGACTGATAGGTCCTGGATTCGAATCCCGCGAGGCGGGGTTGTGGATGTGCACTGCTGAGGAGTCATACAATAGGACGAGACAGCCGTCTAGTGCTTCCAGGTTTTCCATGTTTGTCTAGCTTCAATTGACTCATGATCTCAACCCTTGAAATTACTATAATATCCACAAAATCCCTTCTAATTATGAGTTCACATAGTCTAAGAACGGAACAAAGACACTGTGACCAAATATAAATAAGCTAGCTGCTGTTCCGATGCATCTCAGCTCCGCTAACTAGAGAGAGAAGTCGAAGTTCGAATGGAGAAATATATTCCAAAAGCAACTAGAAACACGAGCAACCACGACAAGTCTAGTCGGAAATACACTCATTTATTGGTTTGTACATTCATTTTTGATTAATAATCAGAATAAATCACATACATGAAGAATAATTCATACAAGAGTATCGTATATAATGCAGAATAAAATGTCATAGGGGAAAACGAAACAAATACTATACATGATCTCAACCAAAAACTTAACAATCTCCACAACCCCCATACTGATAATTAACATGTGCTCACTAGTGACTAGCTTCGTGAGGGAATTCTCGAAGTTCTAGTGAGAAGTCGTGACCAGTGGAGCTAATCCGTGTCGGGTAGAGACAGGTATCTACCTCAGTACAATGGAAGGTGGTCGCGCAACTTCGTGGATTGGTTGATGTTAGACACTAACACCATTGGATGCCGGCTCAGTGGTCTACTGGTTAAGTGCTCAGGCGCGAAGCCAGTAGGTCCTGGGTTCGAATCCCGCGGGGGTGCGGGGTCGTGGATGCGCACTGCTAAGGAGTCCCATGCTGGGACGAAACGGCCGTCCAATGCTTCTAGGTTTCCAACGGTGGTCTAACATCAACGAATTCATGATCTCAACCAAATACTATACTAAGTGATCATCAAATTGAATGAAACGGAATTGATGTTGAATAAAAATCATAATGAGTAAATCAATCTAATTTTGACTTTTCATTCCGTCATAACATGAGTAAAATATTATTTCAGTTAATGAATCTCTAAGTTATTGACTCGGATTATAAACTTTAATCCGTTTTGTGATATACTGCAATTTTCAGTGAATGTCATGGAGAGATTATTGCCAAAAATCAAACCAATGGAAGATACAATTAAAACAAAGAAGTAAACAATGGCAATTTTAAGATCAACAACATCGAAGTCTACAGGAAAAGATGTGAATCATATGTGGAGAAATTCGAACACTTCACTTCTGCCTGAAGTTTGTGCTGATGATGTTCAGAAGAACGATGAAAGCTCCACGACCAAACCATTCAGCTCAGAGAACAAAACTCTATCAAAAAGAGACTATTGCTTTATATGTGATATTATTAATTTGAGAAATTCTGGGTTTCTAGTAGAGATTTTAATGGACTGATGTGAATTTATTTAATTGTGAGCACATGAAGTAGTTAAGTTAAAAAATATAAAATTATAACATTCGAAAACGATCTTCTGATTACTTCAGGTGTAATGATTTTCAAAGATACTCGAAAATAATAACAGTAATGACAGTGGAGTTTAATATGTGTCGGGTGGAGACAGTTATCCACTTCAGACAATCGATAAAGGGTTACGCAAGATTATGGGTTGATTGGAGTTAGACATTTACACCGTTGGATGGCGCCTCAGTGGTCTAGGGGTTAAGCGTTTGCACATGAAACCAAACGTCCTGAGTTTGGATTCCACGTTTGGAATCGTTGTTGCTGGCTTCTCAGGAGTCCCGTACTGGGACGAAGTTGCCTTTCAGTGTTTCCAAGCTTTCAATGGTGGTCTAGGTTAGATCGATTCATGGATTTAACTATCAGAAACATTAATACAGTCTCTACAAATCCCCATTCTGATAACAATGAATTTATCTCCCAACTAATTTTAAATCAAATCTAATTAACTGTTGGATCATTAAAAGAACTGTGTTTTGACCTGTATTGTTCGACGAGATAGACTTTAGAGTACTAGCGTTTTCTACTATTTTCTTGAAGTTTTCAATGGATGTCTTGGATAATATTATCTATAAATATCAAAACAAGCTAAATGTTTGGATTACTGTTGCTATCTATATTAGTATTCAAACATAATACATTCCATTATGAAATAATATGATATGGTTAAATTTTTAAAAATGGTATTTGAATTTTCTCCTTCAGTCAAGATGGGCATCAAGCCGTCAGAGCTTAGAGCGAATTACAGCGAAACCATATATAAGAAGTGATGTGAATGGTAGTCAACTACAACGTTATTTCACATTTCCCATCTATTATCGTGTACCACATTATGAAGAAGGTTATTGGACACAACCATATTTCGATTGTGATGGTCTGGTAAAAGATTGGCTTATTACATATGCAACGCCATTTTTCGGTGTTGTCGGTGAAGAAAAAGCTTTAAGATTTATGTAAGTAATATTTTTCTTTTTTCTAATTTGAATTTTGTATTTATTTTGCACACAGAAATGAACCCCCAAATGAAGATCTTTCACAGTGGTTTGTTGATTTTAAAGTTCAAAGTACAAAACGTCAGATCTCGTTGTTCAGTAACAATTAGCAGTCAATAAAAAGCACAATAGCATGATTCTAGTTTTATTCAAGCTGTAGGTTTAATTAAATCAAGAAAATTCAGATTTGAATAATTTTAGATCCATTTAAACTAGGTTAAATATCAAACGATACTGCTCAGTGTATATGTGACGTTGAATGATGGTTTTCAATTTAATCGAAGTACAGAATGTATAAGAACTACAGAAGTCTTCAGGCCAATGTAGTTCAAGTATTTAGTTATATGCTTACGCTTATGTGTGTCAGAAAGTACTGTGACAATATTCATGTGCTGAATGACATGCCTACAATGTGTAAGAGGTAGTCAGTTGTAGCAAATACGTTTCCAAGTAGGTGATGAACACCTACTCTTCCAGGTGGGCGAATATACCTATATGTATGCTACGAAATGTATGGGATAAAACCTGTGTGTTACCGGTGTGCATGTAACGTATATTTGCTCACACTGTATGTACACTTGTGTGTAAACCAAGGAACACTCGAATGAAAGTTCGTGTGTTACCTAGTATGTATGTAGACTATCCCTATCCAAAGTAAGTGAAAACTTTAAAAATCACTTACTTACTTTTCTTATGATACCCAGATACACTCAAAGACTTCCGAGGCCGCTGTTCCCTATAAAATCACATCCACGCGGCGGGTTTGTGAGACTTGAAAACACGGAATCCATCCCAGAAGGGCATGTAGATTTAACTACAAAAGGCTTTATCAACCAATCTTGTTGGAATACCTCATCACAGCATTATCACATATATTAAATAAAAAGTTTTTGTGTCAATATTTTGTCAGTAGTGAAAAAGCAGCAAGATTTGTTAAATAGTTGGTTCTGTGATCTTTAAGTACAATTTAATAATACCAGTTTATTTAACTTTCAGTTACACTAAGAAAACATTGACAACATCTGATACAACCTCAGTAATGATGAAGTTGTTTTACTTGTTATTGATTGGTGTCATCAATGCATATTCTATTTGCTTTTTTTACTTGTTTAATAATAAATGAAAGTCATTATCTGCAAAGGTTCGTTTAAAAACAATAACCGATTACAGTCTTAAACAACAGAGAGAAAATACAAACACTTACAAGTAAAATTCATACACATTGAAAACAACAATGGCTAACTGGCCCCAATAGCACAGTTGAGTAATGCGTTGGTATAAAGGGTAAAACATCGTAAGTTCTAGTAATAGTATAAACACTGACACTACAATATTGTTTACATTCAGTTAATAAGTTAGAAATAAAATAAAATGTATGTTCTAATTCTCTCTACTAATTTATATCAAACTTGATCATTTTTAAGTATAGTTAAATTTTATTTCTTATTTTCAGGGGTGTTGTAACTGCTTCTGTAAAGCTAACATCATTGGATATAAATCAATGCCCTCAATCGTTTTATACACCGAATTTCTTTAAAAATACAGCAAGATGTGATTTCCGAAGCACATATGTATGTTCTACTTTTTGTTTGTCCATGTATTTAATAAAATATATATGTATGTGATGAACAAACACTCAAGTGGGATAGACGAATTTACTGTTTAGCACGTGATCACACAGCGATTTAGCAAAATGTTCAAACCATACGGCACTTGCACATCTTTGTTTTATCTCACAAGTTCCACTGTTCTTTGATCTCTGTCGTTATCCTGATGGCTTTTAGTTTCCTTCTCTCTTCACTTCATTCTTAGCTTCCCAATCTTCTGTTGCCAGGCATCCCACTCCCATCTGGTGGTACATACTACTTATATCTGCAAACATAAGTAGTGCACACCATACATATATATATATATAGAGAGAGAGAGAGATCAACATGATTTGACTAGTCATAATAAAGATCACTTAAGATGCAAACTGATATCAAATTATTTTAGTCCATACAGTGGAATGAAAACATTGTTTATTCAACAAGTTTACCAAAATGGCTCACCTATGGATATAAAACTATAAAAAAATCTAACCCCGTTTTATTACTAAAAGAAATTACAATAATTCTTCAACTTGATTAAAGCAGTAATAACATAGATTATTATACTGTTCATAACATTTTACATAGCAACATAAATATTTATAAATGTATCCTGATAAATTCTCTTTTTATTGTATAGTCTTCCCGATGTTTGTAATTTTTTTTTTGTAGTGTAGTAAAAAAATGGCGGGGAAAATGATTACATTTAGAAAAAAACTAATGACATATTTGGACTAGTTTCTTTTTTTAATTAGATTTATCCATGAAAGCAAAATATCATCATTTAAATAGTTGAACAAACGAATAAAGTATGTAGCATAGAATACTGGCCAAGTCCGATCAATTAGAGATATAAATTAACACTTCATAAGTATATGGATGCAACTTCATGTTCATATAATATAGGCATCATGCATTTTACCAGTAACCATATACTTTTAAAATTAAGTTTGGTTAGGATTTTACATACAACAATGATTAATATATAACAGCTTGAGTTTTTAGTCAAGGCATTTCATTTTTTTCAAGTATTGAATAGAGAAAGCAAACAGTCACCCGAAAATGTTTTGTATTTATTGCCTTATACAGTTTTTGAAAACATACTTAACGTTAAACGTATCTCAGAAATTAAGATTCATGTTACTGTGTGATACACATATAGTTAAACAGTAAATGTTTTTAACAGAGAGTAGTAGGTTATAAAAGGTTACAACTATGCCCTGCCTATATTTTCTAAAGGAGTTAGATAGTATTTATAATATTTGAATCTAAAATTTACTCTTTTCCTAATGAGTATGTTGTATAGGGTCACTGCAAGAAAATGTTGACTTGAGAGGACGTTCAAGTTTGATACTGATATCTACACTTGTCGCATACTAGTTCAATCAGCAATTTCAGTAGGAAAACTTAAGATAAGTAGGAACCTTTTGTGACTAACTTGAATACACAAACCCATTCATTAATATAGATGTTTAGGCCTCAAAAAATCAAGTAAGATTTTCAACCAAAAGTGTATATCTACCTCCTTTGTATAATTAAGTCAAATCAGTAGCATTCATCCATCAGTGTCTCTCATTTATCATCTGTCCTTGAACAAATATGCCTGATTGGTCCAACCTTTCAGGATGGAATAAACTTAATTTGATGACTGGATAACATTCTGGAACAATTAATTAAATGGTGTTACTTATCCGTACTAAAAATGTATGCCAAACAGAAATATAGGGATAGTCACTATTTTATTTCATTGATCATTACTATGTAATATACACTATCGAATTTTCGTTTGACTCTTCCACTTTAACAGTTGAACTCACGAGTTGATCTAAACTAAACCAACATGGAAAATTTGGAAACACTAGACGGCTCGTGACTTTAACTTTTAAAATACTACAATCTCCACAAAGCCCCATACTAATAATCTTCCATTAGGTTCTCATTAGCTGCTTACAACCTAAAATATTTGAAATTTAACGTTATTATAGGTATTGACATACTTATACATCAGAGGGCGATGAAAGATGAATAAATGTAGCATGATGTAGCAAAGATTTTGTTAGAGTTAATGAGGTCATAAAATTTTGTTTCGGATATATAGAGTTTGGGAGGGAAGGTTCCAGAACTTCGAATTAGTGATTAGAAATCATGGAATTAAAACACATAAGATTATTATGCAATGAAATAACTGAAAATAGATTAATCTTAATAAAGAGAGATATGAATTGAAATTGGTCCGTTATCAATGATGTAATTATAAACTTCAGAAAGGAGACATCTCCTTGACGCAGGACACGAAGTCGATATACTGAAGTCATTCAAGATGATCAACAAACAACCAAGTTCAAACCTTTCGAAATTTGCCGAAGCAATAGCAATCAAACGTTTAAAACCAGATCTTTGTATACAAAAAGAAACATTAATAAGTCTTTCTTTACCCTGGTAACATTACCCCCACCACTTTTATTTATTATGTCATTCCAACTCTCTGAATTTTATAATTACATCATTGATAACGGACCAATTTCAATTCATATCTCTCTTTATTAACATTAATCTATTTTCAGTTATTTCATGCTATATATATTCATCTTTCATCGCCCTCTGATGTATAAGTATGTCAATACCTATAATAACGTTAAATTTCAAATATTTTAAGTTGTAAGCAGCTGATGAGAACCTAACGAAATAAAATGAATTCATATAGGTCTGCACCAACCTTCGTTCTTGCTCTCTTTAAAATAATAAAGGGAACTATGTGTATAATACTCTTCCATTTTATTTTATCCATATTTTAGTGCAAATTAATACCAAGACATTATTTCTCATCTGGTAGTTATAAATGTGAATGCCGTCAAGGTTTCGAATATCCATTGAACGATCGTACTTGGTATTTTCATGGCGAAATGATGGAACGTGAATATCAATTAATGTTAGCTGGTAAACCGAATCGTTATGAATTATTACGATGTCGTCAAGGTGTCGCAAGTGGATTATCTAGTTCATCAGTTGTAATACTTGTGTTGGTCAACTTTATAGTGATTTATTTGCATTCATTATAACTAAACAATCTTGAAGTATTTTTCCTTAAATGATAATAATAACAATATACTAACTTATTAGCATGTAATTTTTATTTTCTGAAATATTTTGTAAATAAAATGTTTACTACTTATATGCTCTTATTAAGTAGCATTTCAGTTCTATATGTACAATTTGTGAATGTGTTAGTATACTTCAAATCACTTAGAAAACATTATTAATCAGTAGTAACAAAGGACTTCTGTATAGGTAAGAATGTAATGTTCAGAGATCTTTAGAATACTTAGCTTTTTGTTAGTTATTTATATTCCCATAATTCTTAGCATCCAAAGGAACAGTTAAGTGTATTTGGTGTTATCGAGATCAAGTGAAGCAATACGTGGAAGTCTTAGAACCTAGTTACAACTGAAGAGTATTCATTACAATTGAATCAGAAGAAGAAAACGGAGTTATTTCGAAAGACTACTAAAAATACTTTACTATGATTAGAAAGGGTTTTTACAGTAATATAACTGACGAACTCGAACTTCGCGGTGGTTCTTGAATAGAAATTCACTTAATCTACAAATGAAAGAATACAAGATTATTGGTGCAGAATGGTTTATATGAATTTTGGAATTTTTATGGTTTGGATTATAAACTGGTTTTAAGAAGATAACCATTGAGAACGCGGATGCACTTGACACCTGTTTCATCCTAATGTAGAACTCTTTAACAATACAGATCAATGACCTCCACTACGTAGGGATCAAACTTAGGGCCTTCAGTCTCACATACGAAATGTTAACCAATAAACTACCGGCTAAATCTAAACATGTATACCATCGGATGCTTGTCATGAATTCTATCTCACATATTGTGGTCGTAGAATAGCGATGTTTACAAGTCCCATACCAGAATGAAATAACTCTCCAAGGCTTTTTTTTGGTTCCAAAAGTTGTCAACCTAAGTTTATCTTGTGTTTTAAACTGAGAATAACAAGGTCATAACATTTAAAATAAAGTATAATTAACTCGTCAGTTTTTCGCAATTTGATTATAATGAATCAAATGATTGATGTGTAATGATTGTTGTCTAAATCAGTTGTAATGGAATAGAACAACCTTATGATATATTTTAAATGATTTGTAAAGACAAAATGATACGCATTAACCTCAAGTTAAAACAAAATGATGACGATGAAGTGACACTTAATGCACATGCACATATCTTAAAAGGTCATTCAGTAAATTAGTAGACAAGTAATGTTTAACATTTAATGCTTCATATTATGTTTTAAAGGGACTTTTTATCGTTACTATTTGGTTTTTTATATCATCAATAACTCAAGCTTAATTCATCTTACGGTTTTGAGAAGATTCACTTATAATGGGTAGAAAAATCATATATTTGTTAAAGATTTAATTATTTTTAAAAAATGCTACCAATATACATTAGACACTAGCCTGTGTTGATTGTTGAAAGAATCTTGTAGAATTTTCTTTGTCTATAGAGTTTCGAAGTTAAACAAATCAATTTACTATGCACTCCTTTGTAATCGTTTTATCGGCTTATATTGAATAATGAGTGATATGATGTACGTCCAAATTCATCTTAAAATGTATTGTGTGAACTATGAACAGAGTAGGATGGTAGCAAGTTATGCAATCCAAGTTGCATGTCTCACTCTACTCACGAATTGTCATCTGGATATACCTGCATTTTAGAGTTGAAGTTCACTCCAAGACTTGAAGGCAATAACTTTAAGGTGCAAACAGAAGTGCGGTATCCACCTAGCTAATGATTTTAGATGGACACTAGCTTGTGTAAACGGGTGAGTTTTGATTCATTCGTATCGGCTGTTTGAATCATCGTTGTCCGGGTCCAGGTAAATTCGACTGACGAATTACAAATAGGATGAAGTGTGTATCCTGGATTTTTTTAACAGCTACCATCCAACTTCGCTTATGATACTTGTAACTTATTGGTAATACCGAGCCAATTCTCACAGGAGCACATATGCCAAAATAAACTAATTAATTGCAGTTCTAAACATCAGTAGGAAAATTCAAAAAACCAAAGGAAATGAGTATAATGTGGACCATTGACAAGACCATATTGGGTAGGAGAAGGAAATGAAATATGTACAAATCTTGATTTACAAGTTATGGCATTTGAGGCTTGTATAGAAGTAATATAACTTGTTTATTTAAATAAACACTTATATGTTATATTCCAACTCATCTATAATGAAATGCTAACTTTTCATGCATTCGATGTAACTTTCTATACCTTGATAATCTTTGCTCACAGCGTACCATGTTTTTCTTTTATAATATACACTATTTACTTTAAATCTAGTACTATACATTATAGTTACTGAAGTATTTATGAAAATCTTATTACTTTATGTTTAACATAGGTTTCTTTTAAGACAGATTCCCGGATCCTAACAACAATGCAAAGATTAACAGTTAACAAGATAAATAGTAAAGTAGTTTTAATGAGTAGTAAATAAAGTGAATGATATCTAAACAGAGGGAGTTTTATTACAAAGAAGAATTTAGTTACTTTATTGTGATGGATTCTAAGTCGATTTACTCAAGGTCACAATTGATTGATCACTGGGTGGTGATCAATGTCATGCTTGTCTAGTCCTTATTAGTGCAGATCGAATGCTATCGAGCTCAGTGGTAACGTCTCTGACTGTGAAGTTGGGTGACACGAGATCGAATCCGCCAGGGAGCACCAGTTCCCTCAAGATTACAGGTACACCTTGCTGACGAGTGCCAAGTAGCACGAAACCCGGGTCCAGGGTTTCCTGTTGACTACCTCCAACCACCATCTAAATTTACTCAAGGTTTCCAATCAGATATAATCTTATTTGTCCATGCCAGAACCAGTAAAACTTTACCTCCCATTATTGACTTTAAGAACTGACATCACACCGTGATTTTATCACGGCAAATCTTCTTCCAACTTATATCTAAATTAACTAGCATTTTTGTTGGATATATGTACCAAATGTTCCAGATATCTCTGTTGATGATGATGCAGAACAACGTCAATTAATTTACGGTCTTTATGCAGAACTTTAACTAATGATACACATGTTCTTCACTTTCATGAACCAAGTATTACTGTCATCGCGTTTTTCAAAGTAAAATAATCATCAGAAAAGGGAATTCTCTGCAGTAGAATTATGACCTCTTGCTAAAAGTGATATGCAAATCGTTTTTATAGTGTGGTAAATTATTCAACCACATGACAAATGTATCAAACCCTATTTTTGTACCATTTTTTTGTCAAATTCAATTATAATACTCATGAAATATTGAGGCCTGTTATTCGAGGTTTATGAAATCAGTCTGACTACTAATAATATTTGGATAGGGCCCTGGTATCTTAACCAGTTTACTTCCTTATTGATCAGATCATATTTGCGTCAAAGGAATATGATTTACTGGTACAATATGGAACAGGTCATCACAATGATAAAACAGTCAAACGGGTATTGACAAGAACTTAACTATATTACGATAACTGTACCAAAATATTTTCATTTCTTCATTATTTCTTTTTGGATTAGTACAAAACAATGAAACTCAATACATACTGATTATTGAACAATTTTAAAAAATGAAAATAGTTTGGAAATAAATATTTACATACCTACATACTAAACGTAAATGTTATCATTTCTCTAACTAACCTACAAAATGGAACCTATTGTTGGTCACAGGCTACGATGGAACTGCATCTCTTGACGTTGCCCCATTGTCTTGTGGATTAAACATCTAAGTCAAAGGTTCATTGAGTGACCCCCTAACTAAACTATCTGCTTCACTTTGGGCGCTCACACAGTATTCGAGCCCTCACACAAATCGAATGATGAAATGTGACGAATATGTATTCGGTGCCTCCTTGTACCAATATTCATGTGTTTAAATAAATAAATAAAAACTAAAAATTATCAACTCGAATTTCACAAATCTATCATAATAAAAGCAAAGCCATCAAACTACTGATTTGTGAAAAATGTAGCGGTATCAAATTTATCAAGTTATATCATTAGAACTCTGTTTATCATTCATTTACATTAAATTATCTGATAACTATTGGAATATAAAATCACTGAATTTGTTAACACACTGTATGGATATGGCAAATATACTTAGTTAATTCACTTTAGTATCTAATTTGTGAAACACATTCATACTAAGTACTTATTTAACTTACATTGAAAATTTTTCTATACGGATTAGTACTAGTTCCCTTCACTAAAAATCTACTCTAGTTAAAACTGCACAACTTGAAGAAAAAAACTCTTAGACGAATATTCATCAAGATTAGAACGAATAGTTTGACAGAAATTGGGCGCCGAGTATAAAGAAGTCATTATATATGAAAATATAATCTCAGCGACTGATGATTTTGATTATTACCCTGAAGAAGTTCAGACAAGTTAAATGGACGAAACATTTGAATTATTTAAATTTCAATCGCTCACATTATTTCAAATATAATTTTCACATATAATAATACTTTTGACACAATTATTTTGGTTGGTTAAAATAACACCAATAATCTGATTGGTTATATTATGATAGTTTATGTAAATAGGGATTTAATTGAACGAATTCAATTAGTTCATGGAACCCATAAATTCTTATATACTTTCATTTAAAAACATTTATTAGCTATGTAATTAAGTTGTATTGACTTGCATTGGAAATTGCATTTTAATTTAACATTTCTTTCTTTTGGCATTCTGTTAGGGGAAAAAATGAATCTCAACATCACAACAAAATTCATTATAACATTTTTATTATACGTTAGCTTATTCATTTCTTCATGTTCAACTGAGAAATATTTCCAAAGATCTAACTCTCCTATTGATATGATAGATACTAGCAGTAGTAGTAAGGAAAAATCACAAAAGTCAAATGATCACTTTATGTTAAATGATTCACCAGCATCAAATGGATATAGTCTATTACGTAATGATGTAATTCGTCAACATTTACATGTATGGCGTGGACATTCAGCACCATTATTACATGAACATTTGCCTATTTTACCACGTGCTCAAAAAGGTCAAGTATGTCATGTAGAAGTTGAAGAATTCCAACCGTTATTATCAATGGTTGGA